GAGAACGAACGTGTGTGTGTGCGTTGTCGTGTTGCTGCACTGACGTGCTGACGACTGGGCGAGGACAGGAGTATGGTGTTCTATAGACGCCAAATCTGCGTCGCGTCGTGCTTTCACGTCGTGCCGTCGCGTCGTACCGTCGCGTCGTGCCGTCGTCCGTCGCGTCGTGCCGTCGCCCGTCGCGTCGTGGCGTCGCGTCGTGCCGTCGCCCGTCGCGTTGTGCCGTCGCCCGTCGCGTTGTGCCGTCGCCTCTTAAATTACCGTTTCTAAGCACGTACACTGCAAGAGGAAGCGACGCACCTTCACACGTCGCGTCGTGCCGTCGCCCGTCGCGTCGTGCCGTCGCCCGTCGCGTCGTGCCGTCGCCCGTCGCATCGTGCCGTCGCGTCGTGCCGTCGCCCGTCGCGTCGTGCCGTCGCCCGTCGCGTGACTGTATCTTTCTTGGCAATAGGTGGCGCCTTCATTCTTCATGTACATGTGTTTAATAGAAAGGGGTGTAATCATACATTTCGCCACTACATTTTAAGTTAAATGGAATGAGTTTGGCCGCCACCATGCATTAAAGTTTTTATCAGACTTGTGTTTTCTTAGAAAGAAGTGGTTGTCTGGCTAGGAAAATAGCAAGGAAGAACCGGTTTTGTGCGAGCAAAATTCAGGGAACAATCTGTTGATACTAATAACTTGTTGGAAAGTTCCAAAGTCATTCCAAGAAAGTTGCCACCGTGAATAAGGGTTTAAAACAAGGGAGGAGGATGGGATTTGCTATCAGAATCAGCAGGGCCGTTCCTCATTCTTTTCTTTTTATGGGATGTATGATAAAATTGGAGTACGAGGGGCTCTGCGAGCTGATGAATCTTTTTGAAAACATTGTATTTGCAACCAGCTAGGGAAGATTTCCGTTTATTTAAGACTTAGAGGCACTGGTATGGATACCTGTGTAAGTATATGACTAAACTGCCCTTGTTTAGGTTTTTTCTTTTTTGGAAATTCATTACGCATATAGGGAGTAACATCAGTTCCACTGCTGGGTTGCAGTGATGGGTGGGTTACAACTTATCAACACATACCTCGCCAGCGGGCCCTTAGATTGGTGATAACCGGAGAGCGGGAGTTTCAAAAAACTCATCCGGTGTTTACGCGACGCAGGGACTGGTTTGTGGCAGCAATTATGCGCCGCAGCACCTAGCAAAAAGGTGCCATATACTTCATTTACGCTTTGGTAGCATTCTCCCCCAGCGCTTTGTATCCTCTGGCAAAAAGCGCTATATAAATACAGTTATTAATTATTATTATTATTATTGTGTACATGTGGTTTTTGTTTCTAGTTCACTTAATGATTTGATTTATACCGGTGATAATATGCCGTCCCACCTGTTTTTTCTTTTGTGTGTGTCGGGGGAAACAGTGCATATTTTCTGTGCCCTTTTTACGCACTTCATCAGTCACCTTTGTTTAATTCTTTTATACGTATTTACTTTATTGCTAATGATGGTTAAGAATATTTTACGCATGAGCATTTCTTGTAATGATCAGATTAAGTGGATTCCTTCTTTTTTATTTTTTATTTCGAATTCTATGCCTAAATGACCATTATGTTAGTTCTGTTCTTCAAGAAGTTCCAGTAGGATTTGTACGTTCTCCTTATCCACGTTTTTTTTTCTTGGTTGGATGGTGGAGATGGGTTCATCCTTGATCGGACCAGGCCATCTTTTATGTTTTTGTCGTTTGTATGCCAGGATGGGTTGGGTCGCAAAGAGTGCACTTAGAAAATCATTATCGCTGATCAGATTCCAGTGTTTCAGAAGGGCCTGCTTAAGAGCTGGGTGTTTAATTTGTGGGTGGTAGGGTAAAACAAAGACCAGCGGGATATTCTTTTCGGATTTTGCACGCTTTTTAGAGTTCACGGAATCGCGTGTATATGTGCTTTGTTGTTTGACAATTGGAAGCAGAAAAAAATCTATGTATTTTGAAATTGATTGAGTCGGACCTCCGCAACCACTAATAATAGGCCTCCCCACAAACCGTGTACAAACTGTACGACATTGCAATTTGCAACACTTTCACCGCACGGCACGCATGTCATAAATACTGTACAGGTACATGAAAAATGAAGGCGTCCACCTATTGCCAAGAAACTACAGTCACGCGACGTGCGACGGCACGACGCGACGGGCGACGGCACGACGCGACGGTACGACGCGACGGGCGACGGCACGACGCGACGGGCGACGGCACGACGCGACGGGCAATGTGTGCGTCGCCTCTTTAAGCAGTCTACTTAGAAGCGCCGAGGTAACAGGCGACGGCACGCCGCGACGGGCGACGGCACGACGCGACGGACGACGGCACGACGCGATGGACGACGGCACGACGCGACGTGTGAAAATGCGTCGCTTCCTCATGCAATGTACGTGCTTAGAAACGGTAATTTAAGAGGCGACGGCACGACGCGACAGGCGACGGCACGACGCGACGACACGACGCGACGGACGACGGCACGACGCAACGGACGACGGCACGACGCGACGGTACGACGCGACGGTACGACGCGACGGTACGACGCGACGGCACGACGTGAAAGCACGACGCGACGCAGATTTGGCGTCTATAGAACACCATACAGGAGGTTAGTAGCCGGAGACACACCGGGGATCTGAAGCTTGGTCTGTGTGTTGCTACCTCGTGGGCTGTATCCACTGGGGCCTCGGGAGTCCTGCCGCCGGTAACTTGGGGATGCCTGATAGTAAGTCGCAAAAGAGCGTGGGGGAGCGCTGCGAATAGTCCACCCTTGACGCAGCCCCAACCTCGTCCCCAGGGTGGCGAGCAGTACGCGCCCACCACTACCTGCTCTCTCACCCTGGTATTGGATCATTTGCATGTGCAAGATTTTTGCACACGTATGCAAATGAGGAACAGTCTGGTGCCTGGATATGCGTTACACATTAGCGTTTGTTTTTGTATGCGGTGTCTGGGGTAAAAACAGAGTCAATTCGTAGCAGCGCGAGCACGGCGTGAGTTACGAAAACTCGATTTTTGAAATCAAACTGTTACGATCTTATCGAGACAACATGCAGTATCATATTTCATATATAATATGAGCAAATTGGAAAGGAAATTAGTATTTTCGAGAAGGCGTGGACGAATGATCGCGAAAACACGTACTGCACGTTGTGGATATATAGCACCAAGTACACGATAAAAATCCATTACTAGCCAATTGCGGTATCCAATCGGGATACAGGAAGAAAGTTTCCTATCCAGGGTTTACTATTGGAAACGCGGTTGGAAATAAAGTAAGCACTGGGGACGAGGTTGCTGCAGCCCTAATTATAATATACCGTATTTTGGTATATTTAAATTACACAATTCCAGGGGTTACGATCGCGCAAGGCATGATGGGAAACAACATGGCGCTGCAAGATCGTACCCACGGGGCACGAGGTTGTCGACCGTAAACTTTAAAAATGGACTCTCCATGGCAAACTCTTGGTGGCGCACTGCATTGTGAATCGCCCGAAACACCTTTTTGTGATCCGTGGACAGAACTTTAAAAACGGTTTTTGTGTTCAAAATTCCGTCACTTGAAAAGCACATGAGTGATTTGAATGATTCTTGAGCCAAACGCTAGAAAGTTCATTGATTGGGCTTGAATATCCTAGATTTGGAAATTACTATAGGCAAAACTTCATTCAAAAATGGTCCTACCATTTTTTTTAATTTTTTTTTTTACTCACCCTGTTTAGGCCTTTAGCAATATTGCGACTGACATGTCACATGCAATAGAAAGTTCACTCCTGGTGGCGCCCTTCCGGAAACCATGTATAGGAAAATTAACGCGCAATAATTCTAAAATTTGCTCATATTTTTGGTACATTGATTTCTCAACAAAATCACCCTCGAGAAAACGCTTTTGTAAAATTGTTACTAGCATCTCAAATTTTGGAGACTGAAAAAATCGCCTGATGGGACTGAGAGAAATATAGAGCCAAAGATTGACCTCTCACTTCCGAAAATCTAAAACACATGGGGCAAGTGGATCTCGGTGTACTCGAACAAAGATGAAAATCTATTAAATAATTTTGTGGCTGTCGATTGAGTAAAAACTGAAACTTAAATAGGAAACTAAAATGTCTTTTAGGATGCCACATGTGCAAGGTCGTAAATTAAATTTATTTTTAACAATCTTCAAGTGATTTCTCATCATTTTTTCTTGAGGAATACCAATACCAAGATAAAATTCCAACATGAATATTTCTTGGGGTGATATAGTTAGAAATCATTCTGTCAAAAATTATAGCAAGAAAAAGAGCAATAAAGTGTAAAATGGGGGGGGGGGCAGCCTAGGATTCCAGAAGCTCGCCGTGTGAGGTCTCTATGTTTATTTCGCGTGAGCGTATCCCGTACCAAAAAGGCGAAGCAGTGCAAAACGAATCATACACCATATTCAATGACGCTCTTTCATTGTAGGCCTTTTATTAATAAAACAAACTGAAAATGGACAAAGTATAAACTAACAGTTGCTAATGCGAGTCATAATACATGTAAAAATGAAAATCAAATCCTTTGACCTACACGTCAAACTTTGTTAAATCATCTTAATCATCAATATGACTTTAGATTTCCATTGTCCAAAACTCAAAACTGAAATCGTTGGTCAATCATTCGTACGGTCACATCATAACGCGCGGTTAACAAATCCAATGGTTGTGTGTATATAGTGACATGCTTTTAATACAGGTATTTCTTGCAATATGAAATTATTGTCGTCGAAAATATCCAGCAATCCCTAGTATCGAAATCTGAAGCGTTTTATTGCTTCTCCGTTTCACTCTGACGGTTTATGCACGGTGTTTTTTGAGATTGAAAAAATGAAAAACACTCTCGTCCAACACAAAGGACGAGACGCCATTTTTTTCCTTGAACCTATAATTGGGTTCGCCACTACGCTGCACGCAGAGCACACAAAAGCCCTTTCAATCGATTCCGAATGGCTATTCACTGGAAGTCTTTTCATGCATCTGGTCTTCACAAAAGGCCGGATTTAACCCATTCATTGGCGTTACGAGGTAATCCTATAGCATCGCCTCGCTCTCTACACAATGTCTACAACAACAAAAAATTGAATTGCACGTCTACAACAAAACTGGCCAGCTAGTTCTACGCCTGCATTGTAGTTAACTTGGTCTTGTATAGCAGTGCTTGCAAGGCGAATGAGTTGCCGTGCACCGCCGAACGTGCAGGTTTTAAAGCCATTCCTCATCATAATCGTCGAGGAAGGTTTTCCCGCATCTCTCATACTTGAGATATCGTAGTGAGACTACATGTATTTTGAAGAAGACGAAGTAATCTTGGTGGTCCTTTGCGTTCCTCTTTGGAAGTCGTCACCTTTGTTATACCGAGAAGCAGTTTAGGAAAGATGGTTGTTGTTGTTTAGGTGTATATAGGCGTTAGTGGACAAAGTCTGGAGAAACTCACAATCTAATTACACATCGTAAGACATACCACCTGGATGAGAAAGGCAGAGATGGAGACAATCAAGGATCAATACAAGGATGGACAGGCGAAGATGCTAGGCATAATTCCTCCTCAAATGCCTCTCGGATACATCGTGGAGACCTATCCGGCTCACCGACCCTCGGGATTTCCTGCTGTGTCAAGTCCTGTCCTGGAGAACAACACTTTCATCCCGGGACAAACTCTACCGAGCTCTGGTGGAGTTAAGCGTCCGGCGCTAGCGGGAATTTCACCCATCGATTTGACTACCTCGGCAACCAACTTGTCAGCTCACTCTCTGGATGGTGATGACGGGAGGTACCCCCGAGGTTCGTACCACCTCCAATCCCCCGATGGTAGACTCCAGGACAACGTCATAATGCAATGTGAAGAAATCCCAGACGACGATGACACGAGTCAGTTTGAAGAGGGAGTGGAGGTCCTGTCAGATGCTTCATCTTTCGGATCAGAAGGCGGATCCGCGTTGGAGGGATATCGCGAGGATGACGAAGAAACGGCGGAGCAGGACAGTACCGACATGGCATCGTTAGACGAGACGCTCTTCCCTCACACTTACAGCGAGGTTTACACCCAGAGATCCGTGGCTTATGTCATCAGCGGCTATGCATACACCAAGAACCGCCAACAGCTTGACAAGACGTATCTCAGGTGTCGCCAGAGAGGCTGTGGCGCCCGTGCCATGATCATGGGCGACATCAGACGAGCCACGGTCTTCAACAACTCTCACAACCACCCTCCTCCCTCGGATATTACACAGAAAGCCCGGAAGAGGAGGTACTCAATGTCTCCGCCGAGTGACTCACCCAGCGAGGGTATAGGAGGAGGACCTGATAGTGTTTCTTCAGTTCAGATGATGCCTCCATCAAGACCGCACCCAGGAGGTGGTGCTTGGAAATCAATGCCTCCTGGTTCTCAGAGTGATGCTATACCGAGAATCGTATATGTCCGTTCTCTACAGTCAAGGTAATTCTTTTTCAATATCGAGCAAAATACTTGCATTTAGATTTTCTAACCAGAGCTGGACTGGACTTACATGTATATCAATCCTAAAAGGAAACGATAGTTTGTGCTATATAAAATAATGTCAGTGCATGACAGATGCCTCTCAGAAAACGAAGTATTTGATTACAAACATTAGTGGCAAGAGAAAGGATACTGGAGGACTCATTTTTGTAAAGTTTGTTTTTGAAAATCATCGGTTTTGTACAAAACCATATCTTAGATCCCCTGCCATGTAAAAAAAAAATGTCTGAACTGAGTCGAACTGGACGTATAATATTCCGCCCTTCCCCACCAAAAAAAAAAAATCAAAAAAATAATGTTTTTGCCGCAATTAAAGTGACATCCCCTACACACGTTATTTTCTCTAAGGTATGTGTATTTTATCGCCAAATGTTAGCTTCATATTTATTCCCACATGACCAATTTTATTTCAATAGTCGCGGCGTCTGGTATATAGGCCAACAATATAATACATCGATCGATTTGTATAGTGTAATCCAACCTATAAACAGGTCGTGCTCTGCATGTTCACGCGCACGGTAGCCTGATCACATCTTTCTATCCTGGAAAAGTGAAAAGAAGTTTACAGCACTTTTTGAAAGGCATTGTATAACATAATTTTGAGGTTGAGTGTTCTTTTCAAAATCACTCGTGAATGCTCGCATGCACCTATATCCGCAAGCAAAGTTCAGAATTCAGCCCACGCGTGCTCCAGAAGCACTATAGAATGATGTTAGTACACTTTGCAAGTAGGCCACCACTGATTTGCACGTAACACAATCCAGAGTTAAACGAGTCAGTTTATTTTGTAACTCGAGTTGAGTCAAATTTAAGGAATTAAGTGACTCGCCGGAGTCGAGTCACAATGTGTGTTCGAGTCAAGTCAAATTTATGCTCCAAAATGCTCGAGTCAATTCCAGTCACTGATATTTGAACACCATCTAATAAATTATGGAATGGAAGAAGGAACACAAGGCACCAGTTTATTATGAACATTCAAATACTTCAAATATGCGCCATGGTACCCAATAGCAGCTTAATTCTGCTGGACGTTTCTCAGTACAGTTGACACAAGTGAAGTTTCGGTTTTATCTCTGGTTTGGCTTCTTCGGGTCTGGAATAATGTTTACACACTAACAACTTCAAAACCAAATTTCAACACACGACACTGTTTCAGAGAGCCTATTTGAGATGTGGCGAATACAATAGGAGGGCGCTATTTGGTTTGGGTAAATACGAAAGGGTTTAACCAAATCAAACATGCTCTTTGTGACAAAAAGTTAATCTCGACCACTCTCACTATACCACACCTCCAGTTTAAATTCCCTAGATGGAATATTTTGGAGGACCACCAACTAAGTAAACAGCGGCCTCCTATTGTGTCTGCCATATCTCAAATATAGTCTAATATAGCCGGAGTTCCATCAAGGGCTTAAGAAATCGCACGAAAAGCCGATGATGATGCGCTTAAAGTCTTGTTCGGGGATAGCAGTTAGTGCGCTTCATTACAAAACCAGAAGATGGAAGTCCGTGGTACGGTGGTACGCGATTAGCGGGCACAACTTGACGTCAACGCGAAGTGCTCGAACATAAATACATGCAGTTGTAGCTTTGTACCGTAAGTCACCATAAATATTTTTGCAAAGTTTTGGGACTCGAGTGTTATAAGCCTTCGACTTGAGTCGAGACTAGCCTTCCGATCAGTGACTCGAGTTGAGTCATTTTCGCATTAACTCGAGTCGACTCAGTAACCCGTTTAGTTGGGACTCCAGTCGGCGGCCGAGTCGCCAAAATGAATGTGACTCTAGTCGAACTCGAGCCGAGTCATTGACTCGAGTCATTACAACTCTGAACAAATCCGGAATGCTCGTTGGCCATTCCGAGCTGTACATAAAAAGTGAAGCTACGCACTGGTTCCCGATCACTTCATTCGAATGTAGCGTGGGAACCAGCCTCAACCACTCCCATTGTTAAAAATATTTAATCTTTATTTAAATCAAGGTCGTTTAAGGTAACGAAACCTTTCTTTTTTCTAAACCAAAGTTTATATAAAATATATTTTGTTATTTTTGGTTGCAAATATTATTTGTTGAGTAAACAGTGTGCATGTTGATTAAATAAAATATCTTTCTTTACCAATGTGTTCTTGTAGTGGTAATGATATCGCTACTGCCAAGTGGACCATCGAAAACAAGTCGATGCGATTATTAGACTTTGCCAAGGCCTTTGACAACGTCTCTCATAAGAAACTTTTCAAACTTCAGCCTAACGGTATCTGCAACCACCTCATTAAGTGGCTATACATGTCGGTTATAACTCTGCAACATTTTGCCAATTCAAATCCACCCTCATTCTACCTTAAATATTCATCGGTCTCACGCCCAACCTTAATTGGCGTGATATCCCAATCAAGTGGACTTTGCCTGCGCTGTCTCTTGGCGGCAATTCTCCCACCCGCCCAAATTGGTCGAATCCTTTGTGGCAGGTGTTGCGCCATGCTGACCTCTTTGATTCTTGATTTTTCCAGGTGTCTGTAGGGACTGCAAAATGCCTTGAGATTTGCCTTGATGGCGTCCTTGTATTGTGATCTTTTGCCAGATGTGAGTTGGTCAGTTGACCATAGAAGATTGATTTTGGTATTCAGCAATACTATGCGCAAAAGGTGGCCCGACAAGCGAAGTTGAGCTTGTGTCAGAAAGAATACCAAGAATATGACAGCGCTCGAGGACTCGGGTGTCAGGTACACGATCACGCCAAGAGATATCAAGTATCTCTCGAAGACACTGTTTGTGGAAGCGATCAAGGCGTTTGATGTGCCGTCGGTAGGGCGTCCAGGATTCACAGCCACACAAGAGTGTTGAAAGTATATGGTGAAAGATTATGGTATAGACATATTGATCTTGGTATACCAAGCGGATGCCTCGCTTATGCCAAAGGCGATGTCTTTTAGCCTCCCAAAGGAAGCGCTTTGCCTATTCTAGATGTTACTTCGTCAACGATCATGGCATTTTGGGAGAGCACACCTCCAAGATAGCAAAAAAAATGTGATGACAGGCTGTTACGGTTGGTGAACCACCGGGCTTCGGTTGGAGCAAAACCTCGGTCGTCTTAAGGCTAATTGTGAGCTCGTAACGGCTAGCAGATTGTGTACATTGATCAACAATATGCAGCATGTCCTCAGGGTTGTGGCTGACAAGAGCACAATCATCAGCATGGAGAAGATCCAGGAGCAATAGTTCGGATTTCTTGGTCTTGGCCTTCAGGCGCTGTTGAATACACCACCGTCAGTGCGAAACTGGATCAGAGTCCCCGGCCCGCGTGCAGCCTCGTTGAAAGTTTCACTGAGCATGAATAAAAACAACAATTCTAAAATGCAGTTGGGCTAGGACACCGTTTGGGAAACGGGACATTATGTAGAGTCGGCGCAGCCCCTTACACGGGCGACCATACCATCGTGCAGGGATTTGATGATGTCAGTGATTTCGGCTGGGCAGCCAACCTTAATTGTGCTGGAGTTTCCACGGGCCTTCTCTGCTGAAGGTCGATAGACCATGAAGAGGTCACGGTGTTGTTCTCTACACTTTTCCTGGACTCGTCGGGCACAATACATCATGTCGACTGTGCCGCGCTCGGCATGCATGGAATCCACATTGACTTTGGGGGAATATTACAAAGGCCCATTTTTTAAAATTGTATGTTTAGGTCTGGTGGCATCAGACGCATAGCATCATGTTTTTGTTTTCAATTTGTAAACTTGGTTTCTCCAATTTTTAGTCGAAAGTTTTAGTTATGAACACATAATGAGCAAACATTTAGTTTTGGAATATTTGGCGTTCCAGGGGTCTCCAACAAATACATTTTTTTTCCTTCTAATTTTCTTTGGGGGGGGGGGGGGCGGGGCTGGCTTTCAGTACTTAATTGGCACCAAGTACCAGCCTATCCCACGAGAATGAGGGCTGCGAGTACTTCAGTGTTTTTTTTTTTTTAGTTTTCGGTCGATGTCTGGTTCAAAAGTGAATAACTTTTGTACTGCTAGAAATACAGAAATTTACAGAAAGAATTTTTTTGGGGGTGAAACATTTGCTTTCGCTGCAATTTTCAGAAATAAATGGATTTGGAGGATTAGTGTGCTATAGAAAATATTGTTAAACTAGCTTGTTTCATGTTTTGGGTTCGGAAATGCTGGAAAATCTAAGAAAACCGATCGTGTGATTGTAGTCTGGTTCCCTGACCCCACTTATAGATGAGACTTGCAATTTATAGACTTTGGGGATTGTAAAGTAAGAGAATCAGTCTAACAGGATTGTACCCCTTCACAGATGTGTCATCAATTGCAAAGAAAATGCGGAATGACTAAATATGAACAAGTAGGAGCAGTGTTTGAAAAAAGCCAGTTTTCTCCAACGATGGTCGTCCCACCAGCATTGGAAAAATACAGTTTTCTTGAAAATGTCAGCACACCAGTAGCCACGATTTTACAGGATGCTTTAGATTGTCATTCACTAACAGTCCAGTAAGATATTTCGTTATAATTTGATCATTTCGTTTTTTTGATGTTTGCAAATGTTGTATCTTCCCTTTAACTCATAAGGCCCCCAAAAAAGTCTCCGGTTTCTGGTATGCGCGTGCGTCGCCGCAGCCATGCGCGTCGGCAAAATGAAAAAGTTTTTTTTTCAATACAAGATGATGTCTCAAAATCGCCAAACTCACTGATTTGACTGGAATCCTGCTGCTGCACAATTTTAACGTGTTTTTAGATGGGGTTATGATCGAGAATAAGCTTTATGTGGCCTCTCTGGACTCCCATATATTTGCTCTAAGTTTAGTCGGGCACCATTTGCAGTCATCAGTCGACATTTGAAGCAAAAAAAAAAAAAAAAAAGGTAAAAAAAAAAAAAAAGCCGCGTCGCCGCACTACTTTTGGGGCAAGCTCCATACCAGAACCCGGAGCCTCTTTTTTTTGCCTAATGTAGGCGTGCCCTCAGCTAGCAAATAACAGACCTCGAAAACGATAACAAATAACTGACAATAGAGGGCGCTAGTAGTGCACAAAAAAACATGAAAAAAACCACTGATGAAAAAAAAACGCTGGTAGGTCAGAGGTCAAGCCGATCAGCTGACTCCACAGTTCACCACATGACATAGCCTTGGTAAACACATGAGCTATATAGATTAAAACACTGCAACAATAGGACTTAAAAAGTAAACATTTGGCGTTCGAATATTTATTCTGTGCATCCTTGACACTTCCTGAACAAGGTGCATAGTTAAACGAGGGACAGAAGCTGTAAAAGATTGCGGTAGTCTGTACTAGAATTTGGTAATTTGGAACAGACGATCTTTTCATTTCTGCATTGGTTTTGCGGAAGTCGTGTACACATAGGCCTACACTAGCTGTGGCTCAATACGCAAGCACTTTCAATTTGACCGTCCTTCTTTTGGTAAATATGATCATATCACTCATCATACGACATTATAATTGTGTACAGAGTATCTCAGTTTGCAGAAACTTTCTTTCAAAATGTTTGTTAAATTTATTTATTATTGAACAGTGTTGAACTTGTACATGTTGTAGTACTCGTAGTCATACTCGGTACTTACCCCTAGAACTATGGTTAATACGAGTAATACCCATTTTTCTAGGGGTACTTGTACTCGAGTACTACTCGAGTACTTTTTTGGAGTCAAAGTACTCGAACTCAAAATGACGGTACTCATACTCGACATTTTGAAATTGTACTCGATCATTAAAATACTCGTAGTCGTACTCAAATAGTAGTACTCGGGGGGAGGGGGGAGGGGGAGGAAATGTTATACTTATAGCTTCACTTACCATGGCCTTATTTTATCGATACTTTCAGTTTAAAATTGTTGATTGTCTTGTGGAGAAATCGAGATTTCCTGATTTTCCTCTTTGAAAGTTCGGACAAACACATTTAAACAGCTAGCCGTGAGTGGGTCTGTATATCGGTCTGACTGGGCCCAGGCCAATTACACAAAATGAACCATTTGCGGTATGGCCGTATTCGGAAATGTGAGTACTCGTACTCGGACTCAGAAGCACAAGTACTCGTACTCGGAGACCTGTTCTTGTACTCGGAGGTACAAGTACTCGTATTTATACTGGGCAACCTCAGTACTTGGCAGTACTCGGTACTCGGAAAAAAGTACTCGACTACAACACTTTTATTGAAGTGGATATTTGAGCGTGAACTGTTCCACGATTGTTTTTTTTGTTTAAACCGGCATTGCACTGAACATGCTGAACGCATGCAGTGAGTGTATTTTTGGGACTTGGCAATTTTTATAGTGACGAGTCTTTGTCTGGCCCCAAACTTCCATTGTTGTTGTGACTTCGTATTCACAAGAGCTGGGAATCGGACCTAATGCAATTTTGGACTTACATTCCCCCCCCCCCAAAAAAAAAAAAATTCCTCCAAAGCCACAAATCAGAAAAAACAATTTTTTTTCTAAATTCTAAATATTTGATTTTAAACAATAAAAATGGAAAATTTTTACTGTTTGGGACACAAAAAATAAAGTTAAAAAACAACAGCAAGGCTGGGAGATGGACTCGAACTCGCACGGCATGCTCATGAGGCGAACAAGCTATCCACTCATACACGTGCATGAGGGCGCTTTATGAAATGCCAGCTCAATAACAGAAAAAAAAACGTTGGGCGGGTTCACTGCTATTTTAACTTTTTGTAAATAGTTTAGACCTCTAAGAGTCTGCCAAGTTGCCAAACTTAGTTTATATTTAACAGTGTCATAATCAATAGTTCCACAAGATTAAATGCCTATTAAGCAGCTCAAAAATGTGAGAAAAGAATTTAATTTTTTTTTATAAAAGTGAATACCTAGTTAGACAACAAAATTGGACATTTCGTTCAATTCAACCAATTTACAATGAAAAATTTGTGATTTTATTTGTCAAACTTATAAAATAGAATTCTTTGGAAACCACATCACTATTTATATTATAAAAAAAATTCTTTGAAATGTACACATTGCATGCATCTAGTACATGCAATGTTGTTTTGATAAACACTTTGTTGTTGCAGAGCGAAGTAGTCCAGGCATAATTCGCATTCAGCTGTGCCGATTTTCAGCTGTTGTGTAGTCCACAGGAGGGATCTTTTGTTCAATTTTCCTTTCATTTTCGAGCCCTTTTGTCGTGACAAAAAGCCCAGCCTGTTCTGGCTTGGAAACACTCGAGGTCTGTATTCCATTCATTCGCTCAATAGGCTTTTGTGCAGCGCTGAATATGACTTTACGCTCACGAAGAAGAAAAATATATGAATTCAACCGCCGCATTCACTGCAAGGCATGCATGTCGAGCAAAATAAAATGAATTAGATGTTAATCTCCACAAATTCTTGCCCAGTTTGTCGAAAAGTAAGAAGTATGGATCTGTAGTGATTCAGGGAGGTAGATTGGTACTGCTGTACATCCTGGTAACTAGTAATTGCCGAAGCTGCAACAGTAAAATTGGCAAAGGAAAATATACAGGGGTAACTTATGATGAAAACTCCCTGCACAAGGTGAGTAAGTATTGCCAAAGGTTCATTTTTGGGATAGGAACTAGCTGTATTTTTTCTAGAGTGAGTTTTTTTTATTATTATCTTTATTACTAACAAAATGAGGACTGACTTGTGATCCTTCAAGGATATTTTTGAATATTTTTGTTCGCATCGTTGAGCATGGTATAGAACCTTAGCGCTGTTTCATTCCATGGGGCTTGAAGCTCAAATGAAACTCGTACATGTAGAGCAAAGGATGTGTGGCTCCACTCGTGTGCAGTGGTGAACTTTGGAGATTTCAGAAAGCCTTCCCAGCTAGGCTACCAGCAAAGCTACCAGGGCAATTATTGGACACTTTGTGGAGCCATGGAGTCTGATTGCAGTTTAGTGTATCGCTACATCGGTGCTCAATTGAAATATTTTTGTTTTAAATTTGTTTCTGTGTGTGTGTGTTCAGTAAAATGGCAACAACAGCAAAGGCGAGGTTGCCAGAATTTCTGGAGATGATGGAGAGGGAGTTGGACAGAGTGATGGACTTCTGGTTGAAGAATTCCCATGACACCATCAACGGGTGAGTGACCTTAACATGAACTCAAAGGTTTTTCACCTTCATTCTCTTTATGTGGTTTTGACCTTAACCAAAATAAATTTATCAGTGTTTCTTGCTCTAGGTTGTCCTTGAGCTGGTGAGGGAAAAAAAATTCATTCATTCATTCATCCTTTTCATATTTATTGGACCAATGCCCAGTCTAAACCTGATTGCAGGGTTATTATATAAACTTAAACAGAAAATGAAACCCAATAAATAATTGGAATTGAAGATAAATAAGAACTTCAAAACCAGCCAATCAGGGTTTACTTTGAAATTGTGCCGTCATTTTGAGCAGAAATTCAGCCTAACCTCGAGTGTTTCCAAGCCAGAACAGCTAGGCTGGGCTTTTTGTCACAACAAAAGTACTTGAATGAGTTCAAAGTACTCGCTGAATGGTCCGAATCTGGAGGTCAAGACGCAGTCTTGTTTTGCATTATTTATCGCCGAATCTACTCGCATATCATAGATGCTTGCTGTGCATGAGGCTATTCCATAGATTAGCCCCACCAAAGCAAATGTGTACTAATAAGCTGAGCCCGCGGACAGTAATATACTGTTACGCAGCTGAAGGACAACATTATTATTTTACAAACTTAGTACATGAATCGTCTTTTTTACAAAACAAACTCAGAAGTCACTAGGATACTTCTAGCCAAATGTATAGAGTAACCATGGTATTTTCTGTATACTTTAACCCTAACGCCCTTGAGTGATTTACTAGAAACGTTCCTCACTCTTGCAAATTCCAACACCATATGGTAAACTCTACACCCAAAGTGTTGGACTCTGATTATGGTGGTTTGCATGATCCCATTTGAAGCATAATCTGTTTACTAGTGCAGTACTCACCCCAACAGATTCCAACAAACCCTGGTGTTGGAGTTTGACTGGATGGGGATTGTTTAGGGTTAATACAAATTTTGGGGATGCCATACCCATTGTGAAGAAATGCTGGCCACCTGGCTGGGCTTACAACACTTAATTTTTTCCAATTTGATTAGTTGATATATTCTTGCATAAAAAATTAAAACAGTGTCACAATATTTGTCCCTGGTTCCCATGGCGGAAGTGTGAAAAAAACGAATTGTGATAGACTTTAACCCTGTTGTTAACTTTTAAAGGGAATGTACAACATTTGCTCTCGCTGCAATTTTTAGTAGTAAATGGACTCGGGAGATAAGAATGTTATAGCAAATGACTTAAAATGACTTGTTTCACGTTTTGGTCTTGAAGATGCTGGAAAAACCAAGAAAAACATCATGTTCTTGTAGTCTGGTTCCCTGACCTACTTAAGATGAAACTGAGCAGTTTGTTGACTTTGAGGAATTGTAAGGTCAGAAAATCAGGCCGGAAGACTTTTACCCCTACACAGGTGTGTAATCAATGCAAAGAAAATGAGGAAAAACAAATAATGAAAAATTAAGAGCAGTTTTTGAAAAAAAGCCAGCTTTCTCCAACGCTGGTCGGCCGACCAGCCTTGGGGGAAAAACACAATTTTTCTTGAAAATGTCAACACACCAGGAGCCACGATTGTACAGGGTTTTTAAAATGTCATTCCCTTACAATCCAGTAAGATTTTTCGTGATAATATGATCCTTTTGTTTTTGGATGTTTGCAAATGTTGTATCTTCCCTTTAATGTTTTTGTTCCAACGAAAGGTTTTCTCGTCTTTGGGCCTCACAGTGTTAGTCCTTGTTCTGCCTAGCACCCTATCTATCATTCCTTATACTCCCCTTATCAAAAAAACAAACAAACAAACAAACAAATGCACCAGCCCTCTATGGTTTTACAGGGTTATCAATGAGTAAGTACAGTTGTGGTACAATATAAGTTCAAATGGGTTATATTTACTGTTGCTGTTTTTTTGTTTTTGTTTTTCAGTGGCTTTTATGTGTGTCTTGGTCGAGATGGTAAACGCTATGATGACCTCAAATACTGCTGGCTGCAGGGAAGACAGGTTAGAAAACTGCTTTTAATAGATTTTATCCATGAATATCCAACACCAAAGCGGTATTTTCTTTTTTTCCCTTGAAACGATTAACCCAGTAGTGTTCTAATCCCCACATCCCCCCCCCCCAAAAAAGAAATAAAACTATGCAAGTCCAGTAAAACTGGTCCATGAAATCCCAAAATTGTTGGACTTGTGATAGACTTGTGATATCACAAACGCCTCGACTACAAAGCTAATAGTTTTTAGAATCCCAAATCCCTAATTATAATCCTGTGAATGTTTCTTCTTTTGCCACAGGTATGGATGTACTGTAAGCTATACAACAATCTTCCCAAGTACCACACCCCAGAAATACTCCAGGCAGCCAAGAAAGGTAAGCCAGTTTCCTTTTAACTTTAGAAAATTAAATTAATACAAGTTTGAAGAAACAATCTGAAAATTTCAGCCATTTTAAAAACTAAGTAACATCATGTTCCCTTAAAAAACTTGGAAATTTTCTTTTGTGATATTAAATAATGGTCCTTTATTTATTAATTAGATCCAGATAAATTATAAAGTTTCATTTTATTTTATTTTTTGGATTAATTTTAATGTCATTACTTTTAAAAATTTACATCTATGGAATTTTAATTGAAAGAAAGTGTTCATGAACCCTTCAAAAACTGTGGTAAACAAGTGTCACATTCTTTGTGACATTAGTACCATGGTTCAAAGAATTTATTTGGTTTTATTTAATTTTATATAAAATCATTGAGGGGAAAACATGAAATAAAAAAGTGCTTTTCAATATTATTACAAGTTTGAACTATTAACCAGTTCACGCCAGGATTGTTTTGACAGAACGGAACGAGGCGTCGGATTACATTTCACTTGACCTCAAGCCAGGCTGGTTGAAGCCATCACCCTCGGACAGCACACTCATATTTCCGACCTCGATTGCTACGAGCGGGTCGCAGACAGATATTTCCGGCCTCGCTCCCTGCGTGTTTATCTGTCCTCTGTTCCGAATACTGCAAAACTTTGGCCTGTACATGGCCGCCAGCACGAACTGGTTAAAGAAAAGTTTCTTTGAAGAAACGTAGACATCTTTCAATTCTCATTTCATACCTTTTATTGTAACAAGAAAAAGCTGAATATGTAAATTTTTAATGTGTGTAGGGGGTCAGTTTTTGATGAATTACGTGAAGAATCCAACGACGGGGAAATGCTACTTCACCGTGACAAAGGAGGGCAAAGCAGTCAAGGTACAGAGGACGATATTCAGCGAATGTTTCTACATGCTGGCCATGTCTGAACTGGCGAGGGCGACAAACGACGACGTATATAAGGTAAGGTGCACATCTTAAGCGCAGTAGCCGATAAGGTATTCGAACTTCACCACTGAACCAAATAGTGTTAGGAGTAACTCAGGTTGAACAAAATAGATTTTCGTTAGAGAAAGGCAAACTGGATGTAAATTTAGTTTTCATTGACGAAGCTCTCGTGTCCTTTCAAACAACAGTAACAGTCAATTTTTTGATGTAGTCTCTGCCAACTGTTTCAGATTTTGACATTTCAAGTACTTTATTCAAGTCTTCAGTATACTTTGGTTCACCGCGACTCTGGAACGGCAGTCTGAAACGGGCATAATTCACAATATACATCCAGAACCATAGAAGGAACCAATCAAATTGAAAAGTTCTTTAGTAAGCACAAAATGGACTGTTGCATGTTTTTTACATGCCTCAACTTATGCAAATGCTATACTTCTAATTCTGTTTGGGATGGCAGTCAGTTACCATAGACTTTTTATTTAAAAGCTCATGTTTATACCGAAGTGAAAAGAGAAAGACTGCGACCGAATTACTTTGCTTTAGCTTGCAATTACACATGCGCCCATGGAGCAACTGAAGCTTCTCATATTGGCCTGTGCCATTTGCCGGTCTTGGCCAAGTATCTGGAACCAGCGTAACTTTCAACACAAATCTTTTAGAAACACAATGTCTTCCATTTTGCAACAGACTTTGAATAAAATATTTTAAAAAATTGGACTGATTTTCGTGGTTCACAGCAAGAGGCAATCAAGATGCTGGACCAGCTCCAGCACTGGGTCTGCGTGGACGACACGGCCTTAGGGCGCCCTCAACTGCTGGGCGCGCCACGCGTTAACTCACTTGCTAGAGGCATGATTTTCCTCAATCTACTGGACGAGTTGACAGCCGGTGACCCGGCACTACAGGAGAAGTACGCCTCGCTTGAAAAGTGGAGCATTGAACAGTCACTACAGCATATGCAGGTATGGGAACAGAAGATGTACATGTTATTTAGTTTTACTGATTTGTTTTGTTTAATTTACTCGACAGGTGCTAATCGAAGCCAAGCTCACTGTTTGAAAGTAGTTTCACAAGCAAAAATGCTGTAGACTGCTTAAGACATTTTCAAAACAATCTGCATAAGTTGTTGACATCTTTTGCTTTAGTTTCACCAGAAAAGCATTTTTTTTTGGGGGGGGGGGCTCTTTCTAGCAAGTATAAAAAAAAAAGGTTGTGAACGTTTAAACCTCAAATAGCTGTCAACGATTTAAAACCAGGTAAAAAAATGTTTTTCTTTACCCCCTCTTTTCTGCATACAACTGTGCTTATCAGATATAAAATGTTTTAAAGGGAAAATACAACATTTGCAAACCTCAAAAAATAAAACTACCAAATCATTTTGAAATACCTTGCTGGACTGTTAGTGAATGACAGTGTAAAGCATCCTGTAAAATCATGGCACCTGGTATACTGTCATTTTCAAGAAAAGTGGTATTTTTGTATCAATTTCCAACGCTGATCGGCCGATCAGCGTTGGAAAAAACTGGCTTTTTTTCAAATACTGGCCCCAGTTGACCATCGCACTTGTTTGCAATCGATTACACACCTATGAACGAGTACAAGCCAGCTAAGACTGGTTCCCTGATCTTACAATTCCCCAATGTATGTAAACTGCTCTGTTTCTTCTTAAATGGAGTCAGGGAACCAGACTACAGGAAAATGATTGTTTTTCTTGGTTTTTATAGCATTTTCGAACCCAAAACCTCAAAAAAGTCAGTGTAACTATATTTGCTATATATTTCCGACCCCCCAGATCCATCCATTTCTGAAAATTACAGCAAAAGCAAATGATGTATATTCCCTTTAACCCTAACTCCCTAGGCATTTTTGCTGGGATGTAACTTCAATCCTTTAAAATCCTCCAACTGCCTCCATGTAATGATTACATTCAGCCTCAATCCTGCAAAATGCTCCATTATTTCTTGAATGTGGTCCTTGGAGAGGTGACCACTGCCTCAATCCTGTAAAATGCTCCAAGAATCACTGTCATTTTGTTAGGAAGAGCCAGTGACATCCTGGAGCAGTGCAGAGGATTTCAAGTATAATCCAGGCCTAACTTTACGCACGGCTGAGCATAAACAACACATGGTCCAATCCAAGACCTTGACACTAAGTGCATCAGCCATACATTTTTGCTGTATAACCTCAATCTTGCAAAATCCTCCATTTTGCAAAGAGGATTTTAGTGGACTTGGAAAGGTTAAGGTCAATGTTATATATACTGGTATGTCTTCTTTCTGTACAAACACGGAAACTTAAAGGGCAATAAAGTTTATAATAATCTATCAGGCTTCTTTGCAGTTGATTTTTAAAGTGGTTAAAAAGGTGTTGTCTTTCCTTTTCACTCGCATTTCAGAGAGAAGGGACTGTGATTTTAGAAACAGTCAGTACGGAGGGTAAAGAACTACCAGGCTCTGCTGGCAGATTGATGAACCCAGGTTAGTACTTACTCAAGTTAAACCAAGGTGATGACTTTAACTAGTTAGTTAGGGAGTTGGAGTCACAACTCAAGTGCAGCCATTTTTGGTAAAGCTTCTTTTTTGGGGCTTGACAAATCATGGAAAAAATTTAAATTTGAGTTGCCTTGAAGTGAATACTAATTAGTGGAATTGGTGGACCATTAATTGAAAAAATAAAATTAGAACTAAGTATGAATGATATATGAAAGCAGAGGCACGTATGTCGAGGTGTCAAAAACCAACCAAACAAACAACAACAACAAATGCCAACCGAACCAGCCAACCGATCCCGTTTGCTCGGTGGTCGAGTGGTAAGACATCTGCACTAGAAAGCAGGAGGTCGTGGGTTCGAGTCCCACCGAGTGATTTTTTCCAACTTTCACTCAGGAGGTAACACACTGAGTATACAGTGTTTATACGTCGGTGAAGGGCAAAACCTAATTTGATTTACATCACCCCGACGCAAAAATTCCACCTTATGAACAACAAATGTAGTAAACATGGACCAAGAGTGTGCACTCAGACTGGCTGATCCTTTTTAACTGCAAATTCTGCCGACAATCTGCAAAATGTTGATTGATGTTTGTATGTACTTAATGTGCCGATGGAAGGTAATAGCAAATAAAACCCTAGAATTGAACATGGGTCAGAGAGTACGCTCTATGCAGACATGGCTGGCTCTTTGTAACTACAAACTTGTGTAGATGGTAATATCTGCAGACTCTTTCTTGACATATACCTAAACTTTGGACTCGCTCTCCCGTTGATCAAGGTCACGCCATCGAGACGGGCTGGTTCCTGCTCCAGTGTGGCACAAAGCACGAGCTGGCCGAGCTCAAGAAGCTGGCCGTGGACAACTTCATCGCCAGGCCCTTCCAGACGGGGTGGGACCAGGAGCACGGTGGGCTGTACTCCTTCCTGGACGTAGACGGGCTGTCGCCGACCCAACTGGAGTGGAACATGAAGCTGTGGTGGCCGCACTGCGAGGCGCTCATCGCCACCCTGATGGCCTACCGGGAGACCAAAGAAGAACGCTTCCTGGACATGTTTGAGAAAGTCTTTGATTATACCTTTTCACGGGTGAGTATAATGGGATTTTGATTCCTTAATTCAGAAATAGATCAAGATGGATGCTGTTTTACATCCCCACATTTCTTGTGTCCTCTTATTTTCAAGAGACATCAAGTCCAACAGAAAGTCGTGGTGGCTGAGTTCTTCCTTTCCCAATCCTGAAAATTCCTTTAAGAATCTCTTGATGGACTTTGAAGGGTCCTGAGGGATTACAGTTGAATTACCATTCTATGGACTTGATCCTCATGTACCTGGGCCCAATTTCATGGCGCTGCTTAACAGTTAGCAGAAAAGTTGTGCTTACTATAGCAGAACATTTTGGTAATCTTAAGCTCTATTTTGTGCCGTGGTTGTGCACTTATGGAGATTTCTATTGTTACGTCACTGATTTAAACAACTTTTTTACTCCGGAGTTAAGGTGCTTTTGCTGTTCTTACTGCTTACAGTCTCCATGAAATAGACGGACATTCTGAAAATCAAATTCTAAGCAGCACCATGAAATTGGGCCCTGGTACCCACACCAAGATGCTACAGGTCATTTGAGTATTCAGTTGAAAGCAGTACTCACTACCATGTGGGCTCGAATCAGTGTGTTCATGTGTCCTGCACACTGGAGGTCTAGTTAGGGCCGGTCACACAGTACCATCCGTTCTACAGGCCACCTGTCTATATGAATATTGTAATTTTCTTGTATTCAAGCTCACTTGTGATGATGCAATTACCGCATTGTTTCCTTTCTGACCCAGTTTGTTGATTTGGAGCATGGAGAGTGGTTTGGCTACCTCAATCAAGAAGGCAAAGTCACGCAAGACTTCAAAGGTGGCCCCTTCAAAGGTACATGTATGTGTGAAAGTAGTGACATAGAGTAGACATTTTTTTTCAGACAAGTGTCATTGATAATTGTTAGTTATCCCACGAGCGCGAGAGGAACACAGAATTATGTAGTGCGTTTGTGTCCCAAAGGCTGAGTATGTGGGACGCAAGACGCACTTCATTTCTGTGTTCCACGAGCTTGAATCTATCTTCAAGCAAACTTGAACTTGTACACGAACTTTTCAACAGTTATCCTAGTACACGTGCATGCAGTGGAATATGGCATGCATCTTGGAGTAATGCAATACGTGGATTGGGATGTTGTTGCCATGGATCAGCCAATCAGGATTGAGGATTCAAGTTTACTTGAAGATAAATGTACTGGTATCTACTGCTAGAGACTAATTTGGCAAACCAAATTAGACGGCATGTTTGAAGTGGAACCATGTCTGGATGCCTTTTTAAAGACGAGGTCACTCACGTTTTTGTCAATCCTGTTGGTCGAAGAAGCCCCAAGTGCATGCGCGCTACCCGAGTGCGACTCACACGAGCCTGGCGTCACCTCAGAAAATGTCTCATCGCCAAATTAGTCTACACTATATGACATTAACACTAACGGTGTTGTTTTTTTTATCTGATACTGTAGGATGCTTCCACGTTCCCCGATGCCTCTTGCTGTGCACACAAATGCTGCAGAAAATCCTTAAAGGAGAATGACGTCAAACATTGCAGTATTAGGAAAAACGCTGTCAGTGGCTTCAAAACAGTGATATATATCGCTCATGATGGATTGAAGATGATTGCACTGAAATTCAACTCGGACTGTAAATGATTATGTAGACTCTAATCGAGGTGACTGAAATGAATGGTTTACACTGGGGCCGATTCACTGAGCATGCTAAGCAGGCAGATTTTGCTTGGAAGCAAAACAGGGCACCAGCCAATGCTTCGTTGGCATGTTACATTAGCGACTGGTCCTGAAACTAGTTTTGGAAAAGCAGTTTTGCCTGTCTAGCTGTGCCACAAAATTATGCACAGTATGACAGAGATGAGACACAACCGTTGTTTAGGTTAGGCATGGCAGCCAATTTTCTTGTTTAATTCGAACCAGCCGGCAAACTCCAGCCAGCTCGGTGGTCGAGTGGTAAGACGTCTGCACTAGTAAGCAGGTCGTGGGTTCGAGTCCCACCCAAGTAGCTTGTGAAATTTCTTCTCACAAGCACTAAGACAACACCAGGAAAAGAATTTCATGTCTGTTTTTTTTAACTTACACGACTAATACAGTTTGAATCTGTGAATCAATGAATCTATGAACACTTGAGTATGCAGTGTTTATAAAATATGTCAGTGACGGGCAAAACCCAAAATTGAATTTCTTATTTGAGCAAACTTTGTGACCTGTGGCTCGTTTGAGCAAGCTTGGTGGCCTGGTGAAGATATAAAGAAAATCATGTTGTGAGGAAATTCATTGAAAAAAAAATACCAGGATCTTTGAATCTGACAAGATGACATTATACTCCATACATATGTAATACCATTTACCTATGATTTTTAATCAGGTGATGTTTGCAATAGAATATTTACTACTTTTAAACCAAACTCGAGTGGAACTTGCCATTGTCAACATTTCTTTCCATTCAGCATTCTGTTTACTTATTTCTGTAGCCATTGTTGACAATTATTTTACTGTTACACAGTACATTTACTCTTCTGTCAGGTATTTTTTACTATATTTTACGAGTGTTCCATTGTGTGGACATGATGTCTTAGCTTTTGTATATTGTTTGTTCGAAATAACTTCATCCTTTTATAAAGCAAAATGTGGGTTTATTCAGAGTGTTCAAATGCTAACAAGTTCTCAGAAGTTTCACAAGTCAATCTCAAGTCCTTCAGTCTCAAGTCAAGTCACAAGATATTAAGATGAATCCCTCCAAATCCTTTCTAATCCTTTCTAATCCCTTGCTGTGCAGCAGATAAGCCATTCAATACGCTCCAGTTGCAGCCCTAAAATCACTTGGCCGGTGAGTCAAAGCATCTTGCAATTCACTTCTGCTGGAGTGCATTGGCAAAATGACATGCACTATAACTACAGGGTGAGTAAAAAAAACGAAACCCAAATGTCGGGACTATTGTTTTATTGAAGTTCTGCATGTAGCACTTTCAAAATCTAGGATATGAAAGCCCAATTCATATTCGTTCTTTTAGTACAAGAATCATTCAAATCACTCATGTACTTTTCAAGTTACGGAATATTAAACACAACCATCGTTTTAAGGTTCTGTCCACGGATCACAACAAACTTCAGTGTTCTTTCAGCAGAACGAAAACAAATCACATGGGGATGTTTGTGAATTGTTCTTGTTTTGGTGAAAGAACGCACACCTTTTTTGTGATCCGTGGACAGAACCTTAAAACAGTGGTTATGTTTAAAATTCTGTAACTTGAAAAGTACATGAGTGATTTAAATGATTCTTGTACTAAAAAAAAGCTTATGATTTGGGCTTTCATATCCTAGATTTTGGAAATGCTACATGCAGAACTTCCTTAAAACAATGGTCCCAACATTTGGGTTTCGTTTTTTTTACTCACTCTGTACACCACTCACCAGAAGAGCAAGGGTTAATTCAGTGTGGTCAGAAGTACGCTTACTGCAGCAAAATGCTGGCCCACACTCGGAGACTTGTATTGTTACACTATTAGTGCCTTGAAGTTTGGGTCCACTTTTCAGCTAAATTCTGCATTCGGATCTTTGGAGCTTTGGGCTGTGTATGTCTTTTATACATGAAAATGTAATCTTGACATAATCATTGACATCATCAAGCCAATCAATTTGTGAACACAGATAACGCCTCTGAATTCAATGGAGCTTTTTTTTCTCATGACTTTCGCAAACTTTCCTGTAATTTTTTTTTTTGCATTTTTTTCCAAGTTTGTTTTATTTGTAGGTAGTCCTACAGTCCGACCTTATTTCAGGAAACATGAAGACTGTAATGAATTGGTTTTCATCCAGTACTACTTGTAAATAAAAGTTTTATAAATCATATACTGATTAAACACTGATGCCTTTCATTGAAGAGTGAAATATGTGACAAAATTTTCTCAGTGCTAGTACTGTCACACTGTATGTATAAACTTTTGCAACTTTCTAGACGTCTAGATATGATAATCACAAAACAGTTCGCCATTGAGGGACAAATTTAGGGTGCTGTGATAACCTGTTCTGGAATAAATGGAATGAGCTACTTTTAGTAAAGTTATTCGCTGCATTTTTCTTCAGTTCGAAGAAAGTACATGTAGATTGTAAAATGCAAGGTTTTGAAGTTGTCAATATAAAGTATGCTTAATGCGTACCTTGGAATGTCTTGAAAAGTGCCCTCTATTGATACAAATTTTAATAGCTTGTTTGAAATGTCAAAACAATCATGTCATTTTTGTAACAATTATAGATAGCGATTTCAAATATACATTATTGCACACATTTTGGAGATTGATTAATTAGTTACGTTGATAACCAAAAATGTCAGTCATGTCCCTTTGGATTCTGTAGACAGTGTATACATTTAGATAACGGTTAAAAGTTGTGTTTTTCTTTTAAAATTTTGGTTCAAAAAGGAAGACTTTTTTTACGGGGGTTGGGGTTGGGGGATTATTTTAACACTGGACAGAGAATGAAGAAAAATAAACAGAAGAAAAATGACATCTTGTTAATTAATATTTTATTCAAAATACAGAATATCGTGTCCGACTTTGTTAAAATTACATTTTGGCATTAGACAATGAAAAGAAATGTTACACTTAAGCTGTCTTTCCCAGGTTGTTTTTCAATCTGTTTTTGTCTCTATTGCGTGTTTGGGCCTGTTCTTAATGGTAGGTCGAAGTACAAAGTGTTCTTAAAAAAAGTCAAATTTTGTGCATTTTTAAACGACCTCAAATGACCCTAGATGACATTTGACCTCCATTTCGGAAGAGTTGTGATGAACCCCCACCCAAGGGATCACTCCATACAAGTTACATTCAAATCCGTCAAAATCGGTAGACAAAGAAACACTTGAAGCATATTTGAACATGACCTCTAATGATCCCAACATGACCTTTGACCTCAGTGAAGAATTGTGTCTTCCCACCCAAGGGTCACCGCATCCAAGTTTGATCAAGTTCCATGAAAGAATGTAGAAGGTATACCATTTTTATTTTTTTTTAACTGAACCGAAACTTTAACATACATGTATATTAAACTGAGTCTACGGTCAGACGATCATCCAGAATTTAGGACTTGTAAGTGTCTTCCAAAAGTTCCTTCGGGCGACACAACAACAGACTGAAACACGCACATGGAAAGGCAGCTTTCAGTTAAAGCTTTGGTTAAAATATTACAAACTCCACACATGTAAATATATGTCCCTCAAGCACATGCGGTGATTAAAAAAAAAAAACTTTGAAAACAATGGGGTATTATTTGATTATAATATTAATTAATAGAAACACAATAATATCAACTAATCACTATGAAATTTCTATGGATACTTAACACTAATATATATTATACACTAAAAGACAAAACAAAAATAGTGTGGATTGACATCTGCATACAGATGAACACAGATGACTTGCTTCAACAGTGGCTTTTGCTAGAAGCTGGAAAATAAACGAACACCTTACTCAATATTTTGTGGTCGGATTTCATTTTTTACTCCATTTTAGGTAGAACAGCAAAGATTGGAATTAGTAAATGGGGAACAACGGGAAGTTTTCATGGACTTGGTTCTTTTTAAATGCTTTTTCTGTCGCATACATGAGTTGGTTCTGCATCAGGTCACAACTTTTTCCTAAAACAATCTGCTGAGCCTTAACTGCCATTTCAAATCAAAGCCATAGGTCAATTTAGAATTTAAGAATTGTAATTACTTTGGAATTCTATGAAATGCTTAAAAGAGGAACATTACATGTACATGTATATGCAACATACTTTGGAGCAAAATAAGAAACAAATGAATCAAATAAGACACTACCATGTACATATTAAGACGCATATTCATCTCTATATTCACAATAGGCTCATGTATGTCTTAATCATTATGCAGCATTTTTTTTTTTTACATTCAAATTTCAGTCCACAACTCTTGGATACTGTCTTGGATACTGTACTTTCATTGTTCTAAAATGGTCATTTGTCTACAAAAATGACTGTTTACCTCATATACATCACATTGCAAATAAACTACCTTGCACGTGCCTCGTTATGTAGGGTGTGAGTGCAGCCAATGCAACCGTTCATAACTTACGTTCGCTAAGAAATTTCTATTTTACCTCGGCTTCGCATGTCTATGGATCACCTCGGGAGGCTAGTTTTACTACGCCACTCGAAGCATTCACTATTTGTATAATGCATCCCGAGGTTAACAACGTCATGTTCCACATCATAACAATTGGGGCATCATGCATGATTAGAATGGAAATTAACCTCAGTTGTGCCCCATTTAAATAAATCAAATCTTCCAAACATACCTTTATAAAAAATATCCATCACACGCACTGCATCTACATCAAAACACAATTTATACCAAAGACACTTTCACTAAAAGGGCCGGGAAATATGCAAATTTGAGCAAAAGTTGAAGCCAATTTTGTTTATATAGATTTAGGTGAACTGATGATGACTAATACAAAATGGTGCTCAATGATTGTAAACCACACAAAGGTCTATTTCTGCGATTTGGAGTGTTAAGGACTTTATGCACGAGACGGCCATATTAAGTTGAGAGCGAGGTAAAATCTTCATTTTTTTGGAACTTGTGAAGTAAAATAAAAGCAATGACATGAAGTTAATTACAAATTAATATCAGTCTGCTCTGATGAATAATTTTTAAAAAGTGTGATTTAAACATACCTTAATGTTTTAAGCTACATTTAATAAAAAAAAATTCAAGTGAGGCTAGAATGCATAAGTAGTCTGGCACCATCCCATTCAACAGTTCACAATTTATATAATACATTCAGGGAACAGGGCCTACGACCAAAATGGCCTCCTCGTGAATAGGGTCCATGGAGTGGAGATGACCCAAATTCAAATCCTAGGGTTTTTTATCAGTCCCTGGCAGACTGCATGTTCCAAATGTTGCTGTCCTTCTGTTATTTTACGACACAATGCTACATGTGTAAGTTATCTCTGATTATTTGAATTTGCATACCTTTGAGGTGCAAACTTTTTCAATATTTTGGGGAGAAGTGAGTTTAAAATTTCAGTTTGGCCACCAAAGAAATCAGAAAATACACCACTTGAAATATATAACAATATACGACAGAGAACAATAATATTGACCGAGAATCTAAAAACAATTAAAAGGAAATGTCTAAATTATGAAGGTAATAAGCTTGCTTTTTGCAAGATGTCAGAGGAACATGTACAAGTCATTCAAAATGACAATTGAATATTTTGTCCTATACATGTATTAAAAGTCGTAAATGGGAATTGTGCCTGTAGGACCATGGCACGGTGAACAGTGCAAGAGTTCCATAATACAGGATGACATAAGAAGAAATTTGTGTGGCAAAGTCTTTCAGTTCTTCAAATTTGTGCTGCCATTCGTTACTATGGATGCTAGTTATACGCTCGGCGTTCGTTCCTCATTCGTTGGGCATTCATCTTATACGTCACAGGTTCACTAAAAAAAAAATTTTAGCTGAGAAATTGAGCGTATCTGGACTTTGCCAAATTTCGAGAGAGAAAAAAAAGTACACTAGGCATAATTTAGCTCTATTCACTACTATGTGACAGGGGTTTCGGTCGCAAGTCAATTCTTGGCACAGGAAATAAGACTATGAGAGCCTAGTCAGGTACCAATTTAGGTTTGAAAGGGACAGCAAAGAGTGCTGCAATTGAGGTCCTTGTGATAGCTCACAAGTCCATCACATGTCCGGTCACAAGTAAATCCCAAGTCAACTCACAAGTCCAGTCACATGTAACTGGGTATGAACAATTACAAAGGAATGCCTTTGTCACGGTTCATTTGAATAGCTTGCGAGCTGTGTTTGGGCTAGATGACATGCGACTGACTTTTGATGGACTTGTGATTCATCACAAATATCTCTCCTAAAACAACGACAACCAACACAAAACAGAGAGAACTCTCATTCTCCTGCGACAAGGTTTTGGTCAGGCTGGCCTGTCTCCATACTGTACCAGACGAGGACCAGGAATCCGGCTACCAGGAGGAATATGAGGATCTGCAGCCAGACGGGGACTAAGGGCTTGCTTTTCTCCTCTCTGCGCTGAGCGGACACCGTCGTCTTCGTTGTTTTCTCCGTCGATGCGGTTTCTGTCTTCTTCTGCGGGGTGACGCTGCGCTGCCTGGCCTTGGACGAGGCTTCCTGGTCCATCAGCCGCGTCACTTGGGACTTGTAGGAGGAGCTAGGCAAAGGAAGGAAAATGTATTAAATACCTTGTTGCCTTAGTTACGTTTTTTTTTCATAAATTCTTTTTTTCATTAGTTTATGTTTTAACATTGGTACAAGTGCTTTGAGATGTGAATTTTACATGGAAAGCCTTTTTAAAATTTTTGTTAATACTTTCTGTTGAATATCTTAAATACTGGCCAAGCTTGTTTACTTGTTTGGCAGCTATTTCTTGACAAATTTGGGGGAGGAAGAGAAGAGGAGACGATTGTGTAGGAAATAAACAAGTAGGAGAGGGAACACTTTCACATGTTCGAAACTTGTATGCACTCATGTGAGTTTACAAAGAGCATAATGCATCCTAGGCATCCTCTTCTCTTTTGTCTTTGTTTAACCTTAACCCTAACCCCCTAAACCATTTTGCTGGGAACCATCCTCAGTCCTCCAAAATGTGGTGTTCAAATGAAGGATACTTCCTCAATGCTACCAACTGCCTCAATCCTTCGAAATCCTACAACAGCCCTGCCTCTCAAAATGCATTCAGCCTCAATCCTACAAAATCCCTCTCTTCTTCAAACACCATTCAGCCTCAATCCTCCAAAATCAACCGATACTGAATGTCTATGTGCCCTCAATCGCACAATCCTCCAAAATTACATGTTGCGATCATCTTCAATCCTCCAAAATCAACCGATACTGAATGTCCATGTGCCCTCAAACCTCCAAAATTACATGTTGCATTCATCCACAATCCTCCAAAATCCTCCAAAACCACCCAGAGAACTTGGGAGGATTGAGGAAGGTTAAGGTTATTAGGAAAACACATCTTGACATAGTACCAAAAAATTATTTGGGCAGAACACTGCCATTTGCTTTTCCCCAGCAAAAACAAATTATTAAGAAGAGCATGTATTCCCTGTTTGTAAATTGTAAACATCCTTACCTTGTACTCCTGGTACTGTATGAACTTGTTGATGTTTGTGATTTTCTGCTGTCTTTGATAGGCAATGTGTCCGGAACACTTTCTGTAATTAAAATTAAAAGTGAAACTTGAAACTGTGAATTTTTTACTAATTTCTCACAGCCACGACTTGAAGGCCTGCATGGTAAAAAAAGAGCAATTAGAGTAAGTTTATGGTTGCACCATGAAGTAACAATTCTCATGAGTCGTGAGGTTCTGGAAAGAACTGGTGGAAAATCTACGTTTCGGACAGTGTGCTCTGCCAATTTTGTAAGTAGACCATTTCCCCTGTTCTTTTCTGGACTTCTTGAATTTGGGATAAATGGAAATTTGCTATTGCTGTTGATTTCTGAAAGGGATTGGGTCACACAGCAAATACATTTGATGAAATTAAAAATTCAAATTACACTGCAGCAGGGCATCCCAATTTACAAGAATGGGAGTATTGTCTTTTAAACTGCCTCAATACCAACCCTCAACAAGACTTGAAATTGGGTATTCAACTATATTTCTCTCTCTATACAAAACTGATTGCATTGAAAAAGTGTACATTGTTGGTGGTATTGTAGTCAAGTCCATCATAAGACTGGTCACAAGAATTGTTAGGACTTGTGAGGACTTGCAAGGACTTGCAAGGACTTGTGAGGACTTGCGAGGACTTGTGATGGACTTGTGAGGCCTGTGTGAGGACTTGTGATGGGACTTGTGATGGACACAACTAATACAAAGTATTTGGATCTGACCGTCTACGTCCGAGTCGCTGTAGTCGTCTTCATTCTCCTGGCTGACTCCTTCTTCCATCCTCTCCTCCTGAAATCCATCCTCCTCGTCTTCTCCTTCCTCAAACTCCTGCTGCTCTGGCTGCAGCAACAGGTCGGCCAGCTTCCTCTCGTACACGGCTCGGGTCGACGCTGTGTGGCAAAAGAAACTGATGGTTGTTATGCTTACACTACAATTAGGAAAGTTGTAAAAGTGAACTTTGTGGGCTTCGTTTCGTTTTCTACTTCCCCAATCTTCAGTACAATGTTGTTCTACTGCAACAAGTGCACTTCTTGACCTCTATATTCCACAAATCTAATGAACTCACCTACTATTGGGCCTGGTTTGACCCCCCTAATCTGCAACTCCTTCTTGAGGTCAGCATCTGACAACCCCTCCACCTCAGCAAGGCGGTCCTCAAACTCACTCAGGTTGGCCTTCTTTGATGCTTTCCTCTGTAATGGGACATGAAATAGTTAACCCTCAGAACAGGTGTATTATGCCATGCAAGTAATGGCGAATCAACCAGCGTAACATTCCAGAGGCATGTCTCCTTGCAAATTGGACAACGTAGTAAACCTGACCTTGAAGTTGATAACTGAACATACCGCATTGTCTGGTTGTTCAACTTTGCACATGAACATTAATGCTAGCTCACCTTGTACATTGTAATTGTGATGCAGCTTATATCTTCAACTTTATGTGGAAATTATAAGCCCGATAAAAATAGGTGTGGTTTGTAAAATACAAAGATATGGACTTTGGCCACGCTGAAACACTCATGCAGTATGCACAAAGAACAGGGGATTTCCTGCAATGAGGTAATCAGGCTTGCACAACATGGTTTTCCTGAAACAACAGAGGGGGCTATTGCTATAGTTCCAGGGGCCAATTTTAAGGAGCTGCTTCATACACACATGGAACTTTGCCAAGCAATGAACAAAGTACCAGGCTAACAGCCAAAAAATGATTTGTTTTCTCTGCTAATTTTGGCAAAGCACATCTATTTGATTGGTAGACTTTTCTGCCTAGACCTCCCAGAATTTGGGATAAGCTTAACAATAACATGAAGCTTGATGTACCGGTAACTTAAGTATACACTAGGACAGTATCAGTAGGAGAAAGAAAAACACTGTGCAGAAAAAGAGAATTGTGCAAACAATTTTCTAAAGGGAAAGCTATTTGAAGTATTGTCCACCCCAAACTAACACAGTAATTTATGCATTTCATAAGTACTTTAAGTTTAACTCAAACGTCACGTTTGCTAAAGTAAACATGTTTATTTATGAGCCTTGCTTAAATGTGGTAAACAAATCTGCTAGACTATTCAACAAATCTATGAGTATTATATCTAACATTTAACAAAAACTAAAAACATTTTCCTGTCATTATTTTCAAGGTTTAGTCTAGTTTAGGTTTAGTCTAGTTTCTTTGCAGTTTATATATGACTGGAAATATGCCAACCACTAAAACTGTTTCCAGAAAGAAACAAAGAAGACTCGAAATAAAATACTTAAGTTGATAATTTCTACCATCAACTTCACTTTCAAGCAGTTTGCTGTAAAAAAAAAATTAAATTATAAAAAAATGCATATATCGAAGTACCGAAACCACTTGTAGAAAGATTTCAAATGATTAGAAATAATATGGATAATTATGAGTCACTATAAAATATATTTTATTTCTAAACCTTATCTTAAATTCTGAGTAATGCCATATTCCCAATTTTAGGTATTGTAAACACGAACTGCGCCTGAACCTTGCCCCCACAACATGATGCGAGAGTCATCCACACATGTACATTGTGTACATGTTAGTTATTAATCAACCATATGTCAAGTGGATACAGTCTGCTCAGACCTGAACTCTACACTTGGCCATTTAACTGTTGTTTACATGTTGAGCGTGAAATTCAGAATGGCAATGCTTTGCACCTTTTTATTTGCTTACAGAACATTCATCCTTTTCTTTGAGAGATTAAGCATTGAGTTTAGCGTAAGCATTGTCAAGTCTTTATTGTGAAATATGGTCAAGGTTGGTGATTTACTTCTAAAAAGAAAATGAGAAAAAAAAAATTGTTTGGAAGAAATGATTATAAGCCGCTCTTTGTTAATTTTGACAATAAAATTACTTTGTAATTAACCGCTGAACAAGCTGATAAATTTTAGAAATGATCACCACAGCACAATTGAATAATTGTGAATAATGCCGCCTACAAGTACACCCGATCTTCCCAATAGTTACAAAAAACATGGAGCTGTTTTTTTACAGCTCTGTGCACAAGCATGTTAATACCACCACCACCACAAAATGGTACAATCTTTTCATCATGGCACACGTGTTATTGCATATCTTTACAAGCGGAAAATAAGCTACAAAAAAAAAAGGGACGCCGAGCTGTGCAGCCATCCATGATTAATAAGTGAATAAGTGACGCTCCCTGGTACGGGTCATTCTAATTCAAACCAAACAGGATTCTTTAATGTGTTCCTGCATTCTTTGCATGGGACCCCATCAATTGAGGAGGAGCCAAGGACAAAGCAAACATTCAGGGCACCCCTTCTGCATGTTTTGGAAGAAGTCTTCAAGGACAAAGCAAATGCTGGGATTGGTAAGATATGCCCAAGGGCAAGGAAGAGTCTGAAGACACAAAAGGAGGACCCTGGACAATCCTTGCCCCTTGCTCCCAGTCCCAAGGACTAAGCAAACAGCTGTACACGTGCTTATTGTTGCTGCAATGTATGGCATATTATGCTGGTTCTCTGTGCAAGAAACCCTGCAGACCACATTATTGAGAAAGAAATGCTTATTGGCTCATATTGAAGAAAGCACAGCTTTTATTTGTTTAGTACAAACAAGATCCAAGGGCGGATCCAGGGGGGGGGCCAAAGGGGGCCATGGCCCCCCCCAAAACGAAACCAATTTTTTTTTTTTTTTATGTGACATCGCAATAAAGGCAGGCAATGAGTACACCACCATCTTTTCCTCAAAAAAAAATTGGTTAAAGTGGTCAGAAATTGCCTCAGATCGCACCACAGAGCATCTAGAATCCAAAAATTTTTCGGGGCCCTTAAGCGGGCCCCGAACCCCACGCCGTAATTTTTTTGACCCACTTTTTGGGGGGTCCAAAAAAAATTTTTGGCCCCTCCCAAAATTGTGTTCTGGATCCGCCCTTGACAAGATCCACTAAAATCCCCTAATGCAAGAACGAAATAACACAATAATTGCACACAAAAACGGCTTAGCCTATCCTTTCTAAAACCAAACTTACTTTTAGAGTTTTAAACTAGTTTCTGGTGGCCAGAATGAAGATTGAGGTTTTGGAAGGTAATTGAAAACTTGGCTTTTTCCCAATCCCAATCCTTCAAATCTCATACACTGCAGCTTATGTTACATCCAGCTGCACTTTCATTCATTGGGTAAGACCAGAAGTAATTTCAGCAGTTTATTATTTCCTGTAGTGATCGAGAGATGCACTTTTTAAGTAGGGCAAAAGTTGACTTCTGGGAAGTATAGGTCAGGGGGTAATATGTGGGTACAGTGCACCGCTTATTAACACAATCAGAACCGCGGTAAATAATTATTAAAATTCCAAATCATGTTGAAAACATAAAGAAGCATGACTTGTCTCTACACGTTGTGTGTATACAAGATCCCATGATGGTGAAATTGTTTAGGTACCAGTAGCTATCAAAAATATTAAGGATGCAGGCTCTAGCTAACCACTGATTCTTACGCTAAGCCGCAGCAAGATTCCCCACAAACAACTTAAACTGTGAGCAGAAGTCCAAACAGAGTACAAGAAAATCCTATTCAATTTGACAAAAGTGTCAGAAGAAAATCCTGCACCTAACCATGTTGCTTTGCATGACAATGTGTGACAGACAGAAAAATGGTGTAGAGAGGCTGCACTCTGCCAGTCAAGAGTTCCCTGTTGTTTGCAAACTGATGTATAACAATGGGATTCCAGCAAACCGACATTCAAAATCCCCCAGTGAAGTTATAATTTCAACCTCCAAGTAAAAGTTTCTGCTTACACATTCCTAATTTTTCGAAGCATAAGCATTGAAATTTACTTTGAGAAACGGGGAAAAAGCATTGGCGCATGATATGTACATGTACCTATTATTTCAAAATGTATTTCGTAACAAATAAGCTGAATGTGGTTCGACTGTACCTGTCTGCATGCATCACAATATGTTTGTATGTTGCAGGGGAACAGACATTTGTAAGTGCAACAACTGCCTTTTTCTTGGTTCTTGGTTGGTTCTTCTCCTAAATACTCCACGTGGGAGTTTATACAGGAGGCCAGAAACACCGGGGCAAACCCCTTCTCTTAGCGATAAGTGTTTACTGGGTTCTTTTACGTGCATTTATACAACACACGGGACCTACGGCTTAACGTCCCATCCGAAGGACGAAGCAATAATGGTTAAGTGCCTTGCTTAAGAGCACAAGTGTCCGCCGGCGCTCAAATATCGCTCAAATATTATAAAACTAAAATAGTTTTGTTTGATTACTGTTTGTGCGAAATCTCAGTAGAAATATTCACTTTGATCTAACATAACAACACTACACATGTGGTTACCTCTTTCAGGGTGCAACAGATACCCCAGGCACAGCATAATCAAGACTATTAGAACTTAATTGGGTTGGTGTGAATTTTATTACCCTTGTGTAATAATGGTAGCACTTGTGGTTTGACCTTACTAGGGATACTGTGGTTAATGGGGCCTCATTTTGCATTGTTGGGGGGGGGGGGGGGGGTTGTATAGTATGGGGAGTCTGCTAATGGCTAAATTTACAATAGGCTAGTTCAGCACTAGACCAACTATGGTGTAAACTTGGTGTCTGAGATTGTTTAATTTACCATATTGTGAAGGTCTGGGTCACCATTGACAAAGTAAATATTGAAAATCCATGTTTGTTTACACCTGAGACAGCAACCATTATTTTATACCTTGCCTAAACATTTCCTGCAGTGGATATAACCATCAAAATTATGAGCTAAAGCTGTCAGGATCAGACTGGGGCCTCGTAATTACAATGTGACAATTCACGGTGGGAAATCAGGTCCAACAGCAGTGAGTGCACATGTGTTTGAAGCACCTTTTTAAATGAAACGTGCACAATAAAATGTGATTGTAATCAAGACTGAACTACTGAAACTTGCGCAGGATAGGAAAGGACAGCTTTCAGCCATTTAGTCGCTATGGTCACCAGATGGCCCTGCGGAGATTTGTAAATGTTGTAATCCAACTTAGGCCAAAAAAAAGTCTCCAGTTTCTGGTATGTGCGCGCGTCGTCGTAGCCATGCGCGTCGGCAAAATGAAAAAAAAAATTTTCCAATGAAAGATGATGTCTCAAAACCGCCAAACTCACTGGTTGACTGGAATCCTGCTGCTGCACAATTTAACGTGTTTTTAGATTGGGTTATGGTCAAGAATAAGCTTTATGTGGCCTCTCTGGACTCCCATATATTTGCACTAAGTTTAGTCGGGCACCATTTGCAGTCATCAGCACATATTTGAAGCAAAAAAATCAGGTAAAAAAAAAAAAAAGCCGCGTCGCCGCACCACTTTTTGGGCAAGCTCCATACCAGAAACCGGAGCCTTTTTTTTTTTGGCCTTAGGCTTGATTTTTTATGACCAAATTTTAGTACCCTGTAATTACTTGTGGAATGCTTTCATGAGAAACCACACATTTTCTAGGCATGCATGTAGTTGTGTGCACTAATATATTCTACTTTTTAATGATCTTTCGAACGATTATTATTTCGCGGAAAGCACCTTTTAAAAGCCCAAATGGCATGTACATGTACGTACACGCACGAGGAAAAAGGGCTAGAAATGGTCCAGTTGATATTTCAAGCCCAGAATACACAACAGACATGACAAAGAGTGTACATTTACATAATTACAATATATCACTTTATAAAAGGTTCAATTCACACTGTGTTCACTCACTTCATCTACATGTACCAGCAACACCACACTGCATTAAACAAAAAGAAATCAGTTCAACCATACAAAAAAAGGACTGACAGAAGCTGGTTTTCCAGTAACCAGTTCAACACCACTCACACAACAACCCTGTTGATCTGAATTTACCTAGGTGAATTTAAGCATGTCACAAGAGATTAAAATTTTTCTTTGGATGTCCTTACTGTGCTATATTATAATTGAAGATAAAGATATCTTAATCTTGATAAACCAAATGAATGTATGCCATTCATTTGGTATGGCAGGATAAATAAACAGATCAGGATAGCAGTGCAATACAGCTTACATATTTTCATCATGGTGAGAAACTGTAGTAGCACAGAAACATGTGTAGTACTGTCGAGCGCAATCTGAGTCCCACGCGCAAGTTTAAACCTGCGCGCGCAAGTTTAAACATGCGCGCGCAAGTGTCTTAAATTGCGATCGCCTTTGCGCAAGTTGTAACGTGCGCGCGCAAATTAAAATGGCGCGGTGTAGTTTGCGTGCTTCGAGAGTCACTCGCGCAGGTTTAAACTTGCGCGCGCAGGTTTAAACTTGCGCGGGGGACTCAGATTGCGCTCGACAGAACCACATATACCGGGTAGGCCTTGTTTGAAATAGTTAAGAACCAGTATTACAGCAAATTGTCAATATTTTGTTGATGTAACTTTAAGTTGTAAGGATGATAGCTCTTGAGAGTAGTCTATACAAAATTGGGAATCAAAAGCTGGCATTCAAAGCAAGGGAAAAGTGCATGCAACAGTAAAGTCAACTATGCCAAAACTTGAAGTTTAGCCTAATTCAAACAAATTACCATGGACAATGTTATTTATCATTTACCTCTTCCAAAAAAAATTGTTAGAGGTTCACTTGACATTAACATTTCATCCCACATCCATAACAATAAATCACAAACAGTGAGCTGACACACACATTTGGATAAATCAAGATTTCTTTTTGCAAAATACAGACCATCTTTTTATATTGCTGCTTTAATTGCAGGTAGGCAATGGTAGGCTACAAAACTAAAATGATCATTTTGTTTTCAGTGACATTTCTAACAATTATAAATACAGTCATGACAGTTGCTTTAAATAATGAATTTTCAATAATGCTTTTTGTCAAGTTCCCTCGTTTTCAAGGCCCCTACCGTAGCTCCCCAGCTTGCATTGCCTTGCAAAAAGTTGCATACATTTTAAATTAATTCATCAAAGTTTACATCAAATTGATTTAATTTGTAAATTGTACATGAACCACTGTGCCTGTCTGTCCCTGGCCCCTACTCTGCCCCAGGCAATACAACTTATAAAAAATTGAAATATAAGTTATAAGCTGCACTTGCAGCACAACTGGCACCAAGGGCGGATCCAGAACACAATTTTTTGGGGGGCCAAAACATTTTTTTGGATTCTAGATGCTCTGTGGTGCGATCTGAGGCAATTTCTGACCACTTTAACCAATTTTTTTTGAGGAAAAGATGGTGGTGTACTCATTGCCTGCCTTTATTGCGATGTCACATAAAAAAAAAAAAAAATTGGTTTCGTTTTGGGGGGGGGGGGGGGGCATGGCCCCCTTTGGCCCCCCCCCTGGATCCGCCCTTGACTGGCACAGCACTTTTTAAAGTTTTATGCAGCGATTCCCGCCGAGCCCGCAGTTTGTCAATCAAAATAAAATCGATTCATATTGCATGTATTGACTATTGGTGGCACTTGGCGGCGTGGCTAGCACACGCTGCCAACAACTAGAGGAGCAAATTACGCTTGAGGTCTTTTCTAATAATACACCACGCTTACTTACCGGACTCCTGTTGTTGTTCACATTCTTCACCTGCGTCTTCCTAACCGCAACCGCAACCGCAACTTCCTCCTCTTCGTCACTGGAAAACCCCAACTTGGGCGAAGTGTTAACCGACATATTCCGGTAGGATCCCCACTGTTGCTGCTGCTTCGGGGTGCTGGACGATTCGTCTTCGTGGTCGAGCAGATACCGTCGATAAAGGTCCACGTAAACGTCCTTTTTGGACCTGCTTCTCGGCAAAGGAATGTTGTTCCTCCTGAGCTCCTCCGCCAGGCGCTCTTTGGTCATTAAAGAAGGGTTCCTTGGGAGGGCGGGCATCTTTGACAGGTATTTTTTTGCAGGGATTCCAAAAGCAGGCTTTTTCACAACATGCAAATGTCGAATGAATGACGCTAGCGCTCACGCGTCCCTGGCAAATTATCAGACGCCACTTCTGATTGGCTAACCGAGTGCGGTGGTTTATTTTTTTTATTTTTTGGGAGAAGAATGAAGTCTGGTAACCAAGTCTTGATTACCGTGAACGTGTAGATAATTTGCAGGGTATCAGCCTTTACACCTTGTTCAACACGTACTGTGTACAGCGTAAATAAACGTGTGTGCAGACGATAATTGCATGTTTTGCTAGCCGGTACGGTTTGTGTACATGGTTACTGTCACGCATTTACATAGTACGCTGTATGAGTGCAGATATATATGCGGTGCACCTTTTCATCGGCGTGATGGGGCCGGGGATCTGTTATTCGGAAATTGCGTATGTTGCTTCCGCAGTATAATATGCCAGTAATGTCTCGTTGGTGTTTTGGATGCAGTGCTGCCAGTGACATAAAAATATGTGATTGTGAATGTGTTGATCACGTAGGCTGTATTATGTTTCCTACCTCCATGGTATTATTTAGTACGCAGTGGCTATTGTTACGGCAGCCGTAACGCATTTCCCATTTTCTATCGTTACGGTAGACTGCAACCTGGCAACTTTTATAAAAAAAACATGACAAGAAAATATAAAATTAGAAGGAAAAAAGTGAATTTGAACTTTATGAAATTCGGACTTTATTTCCCTTTTAAAAAAAATCCTCCAAAGCCTCAGGTTAGAAAAGGAAAAAAATTCGAGTGCAAAACTGAAATTCGAACCCGCAACCTCGCGGTGCAAAATCCTACCCTCTATCGGCTGAGCTGGCGCACTGCTCGAGAAAACGTGGGGAAACAAATAATTATATACCTGCGTGCGTATCAAAAAAAAATCGTAGAGGGCGCTAAACAACGAGTGCCGTAACGATAGCCACTTCGTATTTAGTATTAATTCCATTTTTTGTACCATTTTGTATCGATCATACAGCATTCACTTCCTGGAAGTTTAAACAGGCTCTAAAGCTTCACTTGGTTTTGAAAACTGTGAAAGCTGTGAACTTCGACTGAAAAGAGGGATGAAGGCCTAACTGAATTCCACAAAGGTGAGCTGATCACTGTTTTTGAGCATGATTGATGGAACAATAAAGGATACAAATTATATTAGCTGAATGTTTGTAAGAGGACTTGGGTAAATGTCACATTTTATCGGATTTCCTGGACTGGAATACCACTTTGTATCTTCAAGTCACCATAATCGGCGCAGGTAACGCTTGCAACGCGCGGGCATTGTCCAACGTTAATTGAATGAGAGTGTGTCAAAATAGATCCTCGTCGTTTTAAATTTAGGTGGACTGACGATATAGATGGCCTATACTAGATACCACTTTGGGGTGAGATGGCCTAGCGGTTAAGAACACTGGACGCATGCTCTGGTGTTTCAAAGGCAACAGTGGCGTGGGTTCAAGCCCGGGCCCGGATACTCCTAGAACTATAGCGGAGCCTCATAGATACAGAACCCCGCAATATTGTTTGCAGCACGAAACACCAATTAAGTACAAAAACGTCCATCAAAACACAGAAATTTCCCACAGAACCGCTGCACAGCTTGCCGCTAAACTCCACACAATACCTCATGACATACTTACGTAGGTTGCGCAGAACAAACATAGGTGGATTCTGTCGGCTTTTTTAACATTTTAACATCGCCTTTTTAAACATTTGGACATGGTCGGGCGATCGCCCGACCATGTCCAAATTTAAAAAAAGGCAATTCGTAGAGTCCTAGTTACTCGGACTACCCTTCAGTGACCTATCAGCCATCAGAAAGTGATAATAATATGTCCTAAAATGTCAAATATAGCAGGGAAAATATTGAAGTATTTACTGCACTGGCCAGATATGGGAGTACATGTATTTCCCTTTTTTAAAGATTTGGAAAGAGTTCCATACTTGGAGTGGACCTCACTTGACACCCTGTCGGTCGTAGTACGACCAACCAAAGACAAAATTCGAAAAAAGTAGTTACTTCTAGCGCCTCAGTTACTGGGTCTACCGTAGCCCAGGTGGACTCCCTTACCGCTTTGCGTCAGTCGTAAAACAATGAAGAGGTCTTCCAACCTGGGCTAGGTCTACCGATACCTTGCGACCATTTTCTGGCAAAAAGTTGTTTTTTTTCTGTGTGCACCAAAGTATTATTAAAATAAATGTTTCTGTGATTTTTTTTTTTTTAATTTCTGAAAAAGTTTAAATTCAAACCATTTCAGACTAGTATTTAACAGTCATGGTGAACCAAATAGTACAAGTAGCAAATCAAGTAGGCCCGAACAGATTTTAGTTTCGGACAGAAGGCAAACTTTATGCATAAATGTTCTACTCACTATACTCTTCAGTCGTTCAGAACAACTACATGTACAGCAGGCATTATTTTTTATTATGTTATTATTTTTACATAATCTACTACAAATTTGGACTGTTTTTTTGGCTCGTTTTTCCCCATGTGATACAGCCTTATCTAGTTTTGATGCTGCAAGCATGTTAACCGGGGCATGGACAGGTCAGCCGACCAGCGTTGGAAAAATCTGTTGTTTTTTTTCTTCAGAAACTGACCCCAATTTGCCATATTTAGTTAGTCAACATTTTGTTTGCAAGCGATTACACACCTATGAACGGTTACAAGCCAGCTAGACTGGTCTCTAACCTTACAATTTCCTGATGTCTATAAATTACTCTGTTTCATTTTAAGTGGGGTCAGGGAACCAGACTACAGGAACGTTATTGTTTTACGAACACAAAACTTCAAGCAAGTCAGTGTAACAATATTTGCTATAAAATACTAACCCCCAAAATCCATCCATTTCTGATAACTACATGTGTACATCAAAAGCAAATGTTGTATATTCCCTTTAAGCCCAACCCAAATCATTTTAATAAACCCAAGCTTCCTCTTTAGATCAGCATTAATCAGCTTTGTCATTTACCTCATCCTTAAACCCCGGCATTAAACTCATCATAAACCAGATTATTATCACTTATAACTTATAAGTAGATTAAATTATGTTATTATCAACAATGTTCATTCTACACGTTGTCAATGTGTAACCTGGTGCAGAATTTACTGGCACCCCTGACTTCCTCTTTTGAGATTTATTTTGATAAGGATTGGTAATTTTTCGACACTGCACCTGATCACTTCATGTATCGCAAGTGCAAACTCAACTCGAGGCCACAGCCATTTCCTGTGTGGTAATGGGTTACGGTATACAGAGGTTTTTGCTTTGGAATTCAGCTACTGTTGTTTTACATGCATGTACAACAGAGTCTGTTGACTGAGTTGTAAAAACAGGACTTTTGTGAGTTTGCTCATGTTGTGAATTTTGGTATGTTTTAATCATGTCTTTCTCGACAAATTCCTTTTGTTTTAGCATTAATGTTCAATGAATGGGAGGTTTACGGTAACACCATGTGAATGAAAGATCTCATGTTGAGTTGTGTGGTTCTGAGAAGAACCAGTTGACGTTTCAAACAGTATGCTCTGCTCGTCATCAGGAGACTCCCGGACTCTTGCTGGTGTAGTGGTTTAAGTAGGGGATGCTAAGTCAGTGGACCATGTTGGCAGGAGATTCTGGAACAGGCTGCTACGGTGGACCGTTAATAAGGGAATAAATGTGTGCTTCGGAGGTTTTTATCACTCTGTTTAAGACCACTTAGAGTCTGGGTGCTGATAATTACCCGAGCCGGAGGCGAGGGTAATTATCAGCACCCAGACTCTAAGTGGTCTTAAACAGAGTGATAAATACCGACGGAGCACATATTTATTCCCATTCATAAATACCTTTTCGGTAAGAAAAAATCATATAATTCGTTCAAAACATCCCGATTTTGTTCAACAAATTCACGTTATGCTTTTTGAAACATCCCTCTTGCAAAATAATGGAGTGTTCAGCTGGCGAGTAAGATGTAAACAACCCTTTTATGGAGATTGACGCGCGCGTATCATGTTCTGCGCGATGTCGCGCAGAACGCACCTGGCGCGTTGCGTTTTGAATTTAGAACTATAAAATTTTGACTCCCTGGTAGTGTTGCGCATGCCTATGTGAGGATTGTGAACGTTCAACGTTCAACCAATGAAACGATAAGAGGCACTGGATTTTTAGGAGTCCACATTTTATTGTGACACTGGAAAAGTGTTTAAGACCAGCTAGCCATGTCTTTATCATCCGTTTAAGACCGGCCACGTGACGGGCTCTCGACCAATAGGAATGCGTAAACTGTCTTAGGTATTTATGAATGTGGGATAAATTCTGACAGGATGCTGGGATGCTTAGGTGCTGGGTACGAAGGTGTTACCGCAAACCTTCCGTTCATTGATCATGTCCATCATAAGTCTTATTTAGCATTAATGTTATTTATTCATCGACTCATTTTACGTCTTGTAATTTTCATCAATATTAAAGTAAGTGTATACGAATGAATGAACTGCCTAAGTTTTAGATATAAAATGCATCAAGGATTAACTGAGATAAAATAAACTCTGCTGCACAAATAATAAAATTTCAGTTTGTGTTCTATGTACAATTTTTCAGTTTGATCTATAAAAGATTGTATTGTTAGTAAACTGATATGATTTGTGTGGCTGAATGACCTCCAATTGTGAGGGTATTTTCATCTTTCAGATTCAGGTTGGCAGTATTTTCCTCGCCTTCCACCGCTGTGACCCGGGTTCGAATTCTTGCCTGGGCCAACATGCCGATTGGGTTTTAAGTCCCTGCCTGATTTCGTGGGTTTTTCTCCCACCTCTAAAACCCTAATTTCTTCTCATTGTCTTCTCTCTACAGGTTTCTTCAGGCTTGCGAGCTACAGTGCCTAGGGCGCTTTTGAGGAATCCTTTGTTTCATTACTGGAAATATATAATTTAATGAAAATAACAATAATCTGTTTGTTGATTCCGAAGTGAAAGGCTCCCATAGCAGTCATGGCCATGAGTCCTGAGGCCATTAAGAAGGCCGTGCTGTCTGGAGATCTGGACATCATCCCTCCTATTCCATCCAAGGTGGTCCGGATTTTCGTCAGCTCTACTTTCGGAGGTACGTTCTAGTTCCGTCTTTGGCTTATAAATCAGTGGTCAAGTCATGTTTCTAAAAAGTTGTACATTGCATTTTGTGTGGTTCAACAAATACAGCGTGTCAATAAAAAAGTAGCAGTCACTCCAACAATTTAAAAAATACTAGCCCTCTCTTTTAGCAAAACTCATCTATAGAGTCTGAAGGTATTGTAAATACTCTACACAATGGTCTTTATCCCATCTCATTTGGATATCCCAGTATAGAGATACAGCTAATTTAATGAAAGGACTTTATGTCCAAGTTGGGCCACTTTTCAAATTGTCAGGTATCTTAATGAAAGACATTCACATACCAAGAAGGTGTGCGAATGCCTTTCATAAGAAAAATCTGAAAAGTAGTCCAAGCACATTTTGACAGCCTTCACAAGATTTACCGTAAGTTTTATACAAAAGGTCCAACTCGCACAGAACAAAAATCGTGTCAAAGGTAAAGAAACATTCTATTTTTTCATATTAAAGTTAAAAAAAAAAAATAAAGTTACTATTCATATAAGATGGAATTTGTGTCGGGATGATGTGAATTCAATATTAGGTTTTGCCCTTCAACTGCTTTCTAGTGCAGATGTCTTACCACTCGACCACCAGGCTTGCGGGATTGGTTGGCTGGTTGGAATCTGATGTAGCAGCATGTACCGCAATGAAACTATTCATAAGATGGAAAGATGTACCCGCTGCTACATCAAATCGAACCTGCTAACCAATCTCGCATGCTCGGTGGTCGAGTGGTAAGACGTCTGCACTAGAAAGCAGCAGGTCGTGGGTTCGAGTCCCACCCGAGTGTTTTCTTTCGCAATTTCACTCGGGGAATAAAATCCGTTGGTGAAGGGCAAAACCTAATATTGAATTTCCATCGCCCCAACACAAAATTCCATCTTATGAATAGTTTTATTGCGGTACCTGCTACTACATGTACATCAGATTCAAACAAGCCAACCGATCCCACAAGCTCGGTTGTCGAGCGGTAAGATGTCTGCACTAGAAAGCAGGAGGTCGGGGGTACGAGTGATTTTTTTTCTCACTTTCACTCGGGAGGCAACACACTGAGTATACAGTGTTTATGCGTCTGTGAAGGGCAAAAGCTAATATTGAATTTAGATTATAGTTTCCTCAGAAAAAAATGTTGTTTGACTACTACATTTTTTTGGAGACACGCGGTACTTTGACTGGAGTTATCAAAGACAAAGGCATGGTCAGATATTGGTAACCCACCAACAGACGTATTGCTAACAGGCTGTGGAGGTACAGCTCAGGTTCAGCATTGCGGGGGTCACAGGTTCATATCCCACTCCAGTAACTTTTTCTCATTCAATTTGATCCACTCTAAAATGTTGAATTGTCCCTCACAGACACCATCGCTGAGCGGAACTCCTTACTGGACCGTGCCTACCCAACCCTTCACGATTGGTGCGTCCTGCATGATCTTGAGTTCCAGGTCGTGGACATGAGATGGGGAGTCCGTGACGAAGCCAGTGCGTACCACATGACCACGGCACTGTGTATCCGTGAGATCAAGAACTGCATGAGGCTATCCTTGGGACCAAACTTTATGGTAAGGTGTTTTTTCATAGAAACTTGTTGCTAGTGAGATACTAAATATTGCGAAACAAATTTTGAGTTTGATTATATAGATTATGTTTGATTTTATACACTGTACATAATAAACAGAACGCTTGTTTGAACATGATTTTTAGGGGACTATGAGAATCAATGCCTTTATGCTTATTATAAATGATGATGGTATCATTGTGATATTTCTAAAAGTCGTTATCAGATTTCGGTAGTAGTATTTCATTGTTGTCAATCTTTTTATGACTGCAGTTCATTCTTGGCCAGCGATATGGCTGGAGACCCAGCCCCGCCAGCATAGATGCTAAAAATTACCAGACTCTCCTCAAATACACCAAAGAACAGGAATCCACCCTGCTGGGTGAATGGTATCTCCTGGATGAGAACTCACACCCGCCCATGTATGCCCTCCAGCCAATCACCAAAGAGAAAACTGATCAGTGGAAAGCAGCTGGGAAGGAACTGCCCAATGTGCTGAGGCGGGCCGCTACACTGGCAGCCCAGGCGGGGGAGATTGAGGATGAAGTGCGGCATACATTTTTCATGTCAGGTGATAACCACTTCTTATTTTTATATTAAAACCCGGCAATACACCCAGTAAACTGTCCCAAGCCAACACAAATAGTTCAAAAAATTATAATCCTGTTGTAAACTTTTAGATTTATAAAAAAATTGAAATTAATTATTTATTTCAGTGAAATGTTAATGATACAATTTGCCTTTCAAATACTTGTGGGGAAGTAAAACAATAGAATTTGTAATAATAAGTGTATAATGATAACAGTAATTGTGTTCAGCATGGAGTTGCTTTCATGCGAAATGTCATTATTGTTTACTATTCATAAGATGGAATTTTGCGTCAAAGTGATGTAAATCAATATTAGGTTTTGCCCTTCACCGACGTATGAACACTGTTTACACAGTGTGTTACCTCCCGAGTGAAAGTTGGAACAAATCACTCGGGTGGAACAATTGCGGTACCCGCTGCAACATGTACATCAGATTCGAACCAGCCAACCGATCCCGCATGCTCGGTGGTCGAGTGGTAAGACGTCTGCACCAGACAGCAGGAGGTCGTGGGTTCAAGCCCCACCCGAGTGATTTTTTCCAACTTTCACTCAGGAGGTCACACACTGAGTATACATTGTTTATACGTCAATGAGGGGAAAAACCTAATATTGATCATTAAACTTTGTTGGCACAATTGAGGAAATAGTATTTTACCTTTCAAATTTTAAAGTGTTTTTTTTTGGCTCCTCAGCTTCACACACATTGCTTCTTCTTGAAGTAGTTAACTGTTAAGTTTTATTTTAATGACCGTGTTTAGTTATTCCTTTCCGCAGTCACTGAGCAAGAATTGAGAGCAGCCCTAGACGTTCCGGTTCCAGACAACCACTGTGTGGGCTTCATGAGAAATCTGAATAATCTCTACGGTTCCACATCCGATGCCAATGCGAGCCGCTACTGTGACGTGACCGCTGATGGCAAGCTGGACGACGAAGCCAGAGAGCTCCTAGAGCATCTCAAGACGACGGACATCCCTGCTAAACTGAGCCCCAGCAACATCCATCACTACAGCATCCAGTGGACCGAGGAGGGAGTCACTACCACCAACAGCGATCACAAAAACTACGTCAAGCAGTTTACTAGGACCTTTGTGGAGGACGTCAAGAGGCTGGTGGTGAAGGCCAAAGAGCAGGAGTCGGCCAAGGGAAACTTGAGCGAAGACTGGCTCTTTAAGGAAGTCTCCCACCACGCCGAGTTCTGCCGCAGTAAGTGTAAGAACTTTTGTGGCTGTGAGGACACCTTGGAAAAGATCTTTGGCGCAATTGGGGAGGGCTCGCAATCATCGATACACCACGTTGTGGCCCTTCATGGCCCCTCAGGAAGCGGCAAGACATCCATAATGGCCGTTGTTGCTAATAAGGCACGTCAGCATCTGGGCTCCTCTGCAGTGGTCATCTTACGTTTCTTGGGAACATCTTCCCACAGTTCCTCCATCCTCCAGGTCCTCAGGAGCATCTGCTTACAGATTTGCAGCGTCTATGGCCTCCCGCCACCTTCCCATAGCATCCTGGGAAACTTTCAGGAGACCTCTGCCTTCTTCACTGCCACTCTCAAATCAGTGTCGGCCGGCAGCGGTAAACAGCGCCCTCTACTGATCATCCTGGACTCGCTGGATCAGTTGGAGGGCCTTCACGGAGCTCACAAGTGCAAATGGCTACCCAAGACCAAAATGTCAAATGTTCATATCGTCCTGTCGACACTCCCGGGCATGCACAGGATCTTGGAGAACCTGAAGTTGCTCTTTCCGGCTGACGCATGTTTCTTGGCGGTGAACCCGCTACCGGAGAGCACGGGGGTCGAAATCTTTGGCACCTGGATGAAGGAAATTCACCGGCGGATCACTAAGGGTCAGGCGGAGATTGTCAGACAAGGTATGGTAAGAAGAATGGTTAATTTACGTGAGTTTATTCTGTGTATCCTTGGGAATGTGCACTAGGGCTGTGCATAGGAACCAGGTACCCAAGTACCCGACCACTAATGTCAGGAATCAGTTCCAGATTATGGGATCGGGTACGCGTAACCAACTTTACATATTACTTTAATTGATACTTCCCAGAAAATGAAAAGAAAGCTTTTAATGCCATTTGTGGGGAACTTTCAAAATGAAAACCAAGCTACATGGAAAACCAAAACAGATTTCACATGCATTGTATATACATGTGCAGTTTTATCACGCAAAAGATGATACTTGCAAAAGTTGCAGTTTACACCGTAAAGCCTCCTTCTATGTAATAGATCTTTGCCATGGTCTATGATATGTGAGCAGATTCGCTGATTAAATATACAAGACAACCGCCTCTTGACCTCTAGATTTTAACCAATCAGCGGGCGCTTTCTATATCGGGTCTTCGGTCATTCGCCCGTTATCGCGTCACAGACATGGATAAAAAAAACGTAGACACAGCAAACAAAGGCTGTGGTCACGCGCTCTGTAATATGTTACGTGATACGCGCCAAGCTTGTCTAGGTTTTATAGATCTATGCCCGTCCATTGTTGTATTACAAAACACTGCATTCGATTTGATCAATGAAACATTTAGTCCTGATTTGGGAATGAAATGAGTCATGATTTAGTAAAGTCGACTCTGATTGGCTGAGGCGCAGGATCGCATAAATCTGCATGCTTAGATATATCAGACGTTAGACCGGAGACTGGGCTCCGTGGACAAGGGGTGATACTCAGACTACCATACAACTTCTGGGAGTTGAATTTCGGAGTTGGGCTTCTTTTACGGGTACCTGGATACCCGTGTTTTACTTCAATATGGTGCCCAGTTCCAGCACAACCTGTAAATACACACCACTAACGTGGACTGATCCATTGATCACCTGATCAACACAGTTATCATTCTTAAAGTCAGAAGAAGCAACTAAGCCTCCTTGTTGATAAATACTTCTTCACCTTGACAGCAATGACTGTGTTGCCTTTCCCCAGCTTTCAGGCACTGCAGGCAGCCTTTATTCCTGAAGCTTGCCTTTGAAGAGGCTCGCCGCTGGAGGTCGTACACCGCAGTCACCGAGGAAGCCCTGGCCACTACCATCAGGGCAGCTATCTGGAAGCTCTTTGCTCGTCTGGAAGTGGAGTTTGGCACCAAAGTGGTCTCGCACGCCCTTGGATACATCACTGCTGCAAGGTCTGTTGATTATTTGGCATACAAATTCAACTATTATGTTTTTTTTATCAAACGTTTGTTTTGGCAGTTTGTAAATTGGCACTCTTCTGAAGAAGAGCAAAGCACACCATTCAGAACATGAAGTAAAGCTACACTCAACCAAAAAAGAAAGTCCTCCCCAATACTTTTTTGTCTAACTCAAAAACTACTGAGCACCTGTCGCTCAAATAACAACTAATCGTACTAATAGTACAGCCCAAAACAGTGATAATGTATACGAATATATGCAATTTATGACAAATGATACCGAAAACAGAATATTGTATACACGAAAGTTGTGGTTCACACTCACCTTGCACGTATACAAAGGTGCAACTTTTTTTCGGTACTATTTGTCATCAATTGCATAATTTTGTACACATTATCACTGTTTTGGGCCAAACAAAGAGTATGGCTGGTTTGCTAAGGAATTTCTGTACTGATCAGTCGTAATTTGAGCAAGATGTGCCCAGTAGTTTTTGAGCTAGATAAACAAGTCTTAAGGGGACTTTCTTTTTTGGTTGAGTGTATTCTTCTCAGAATTACACAAACTCACGAGACACACTCACAAAAGAGTGTAGAGCTCAATTCTGCCAGTACTGCACGAATGCATAAGTCAAACATCACCATCCCTGTTCTCACGCCTACCAAGTTTCACTCTCGAGTAGGGAGAGGAACTTCTGACAAAGTGTCTTGCCCAAGGACACAGTCATTCCAACCCCATCGGCTCTACTTGAACCCACAGTGTGCAGAATTAGCCATGGAATGTTGAGTTCAGTGCATGAGACCATGTACGCCATGACGCCACAGTACTCCAAAATTATGACTTTGATTAACATTTCCCAAGAAGATTCTGCATTGGCCCTGATAACTAAAAAGCTGACATAACCCCCCTCCCCCTCTTCCCCTCCAGGAATGGGCTGAGCCACTCAGAGCTGGAAGACATCCTGTCCATCGACGATGAAGTCCTGGACGAGATTTACCAGTACTGGTCCCCGCCCAGCGAGGAGTTTGTCCGCATCCCGCCCCTGATGTGGACCAGGCTCAAGTATGAGCTGGAGGAATATCTGGTGGAACGTCAGACTGACGGCAAGACAGTCATGGTTCTGTACCACAGGTAAGGATGGGAAGAAACAACCCTATGAAGGGAGGGGGAATGAGTGGCCAAAAAGCATGTCTTGCCTGTCCCTGACCAACCTTCTCCTGGACCATAAAACGAAACCTCCCAAAATTGTGTAAGGGAACAACATCCTAAGAATTTGTTACTATGAAAAAAAAATGAAGAAGACAGGTATTAAGACATTTGACATACTCTCAAAAACTGAGTGAATCCACAAAATATTTTTTTTATTAAAGTCGATGTCAAATTTTCTCTGTTGTTCCATAATAGGTGATTCCTCAAACCCCTTCCTTCTTTTGTACACAAAAGTGACTCAACACACGAGTGGTGTTGTAACTGTGGCTGCCTTAGCGATCTGCTCATCAATCGAGCAGCCATTTTTGAAACCTAGCTGTTAATTTGAATCACTTGCCATGGCCTTTTGGTGTTATTTTTGACAAAATTCTGCAGACAGTTTACAGAAGCTGCCAGAGATCGTTACCTGTGTGATCCTGACGAGAAACAGAAGAGGCATCAAGTCATGGCTGAGTTCTTTGCTGGAACATGGAGCGCAGGACAGAAAAAGGTCAGATTTACAAAACTCTTAGTTTTCTGAACTTATTACTCAAAAAACCGCCTTCAAAAATTTACCACGTAGAAAATACATCAATAAAATGGATAACATTTGTACTTTGTTCATGTCTTTTTTACAGACCTTGAATCTTACCCAGAGGGAGGAGGTTTACAAGGCAGATCGCCTTGTCGCCCCGCAGCCCCTGAAACGCCACAAAGCCTACAACTACCGTAAACTGAGTGAACTGCCATACCACTTGCTCCATGCTCACAACACGGACGACCTCGTCTCAGTGAGTACAGCTTAATAGAGCAATTTGAAGCGAGGATGATTGAGAATTACGGTCGATCGTAATTACTGATGTTGTGGAATCAAATGAGATTTGAGGCTTTGTGATAAACAAAACTGCAGGCTCAGTTTCATTGAAATACGTATAAGTCTACCGTGGTAGGATTTTTAAATAGTCAACTGTTCAAGGAACGAAAATCTGTTCCAGGCTAAACAAGAAAATTACTGTAACCTTGACTTGTGACGTTCAGGCTGTCAAACTTCCTTTTTTGTTGCTGTCTTCAACCCTAAACCTCCTAGTTACTTAAAACATATAGTCAGGGGTATTGGAGGATTTTCAAGAAGGTAGAACCCAACCACTATCATTTTACGTGTGGCTTGATGCCCCTTGAAATTATTACGTATAATGTGCCATTTTTACTGATTTTAGAGGCTTCAGGAGGGTTCCTCTCGGAAAGTTTAGAGTTGATTTTGGGGGCCTGATAATCCTAACCCTCCCATATCCTGCAGTATCCTCCAGTAGGTATTGGCGAACTGGTGTATTAAGATTGAGGCTGTATGCTTGCTAAAATTGTAGTTGATTTAAGAGGATTTGGGTATCTGGATGTGGGTATCTGGATTTCGGTAGACTGAGGTATCTGACACAGTTGTGTTTGTGCTGGATGGTTTTGAAGAATAGAGGTCGCATGTTAGCAGCAAGGCATAGGAGGTTAGGCTTGATAATGTATAATATTTTCAACAAGTAATAGCTATTATAAGATGGAATCTTACCTCAGGGTGATATAAATCAAATCAGGTTTTGCCCTTCACCGACGTTTAAACACTGTATACTCAGTGTGTTACCTCCCGAGTGAAAAAGGTTTTCCAACTTTCACTCGGGAGGTAACACACTGAGTAGACGGTGTTTAAACGTCGGTGAAGGGCAAAACCTAATTTGAAGTAATAGCTACTTTATTCACTCCAGTTCAATTCCGAACCTTTTGATGTTTGTGTGTATATCCCAGCTGACATTTGGCAACTTCAGTTTCCTGGAGGCTATCACCTTGGCCCTGTCTGCTCAGCACCTGATTGAAGAGCTGAGCTGGGTCCTTGAGAAGGAGACTATCCTGGGCAGGAAACTACACACGGAGCTGAAACTACTACAGGACACCATCAGGTTAGATTAGAAACCTGACCACATACATGTATTTGAGGACAGTAGCACCCACAGAGCTTCCGAAATGTTGGCTGCTATAGTGGCTGCACTGTGACAATCTATCTTTCCAATTCAAGCATTAGTATGTGCACTACAAGGTGCATGTGTTAAAGGTATAGTCCATCATTTGTAATTTGTGCATTTTGTTCGTTTGAAGCAACAAAAGTGCTCAAGATCTAAAGAAGGGTGCTGAACAACTAACCTGATGAAGTTTCAGCACAGCTTTAGCTGTATATTTCGAGAAAAAACAACATTCTAGGATCTCGATTTCAAATCAAAAGTTGCTGTTTTGAATTGGGCCTGAATTCAGCGTCCGAGACAAGTTCTCACTGAGCCGATTGCAGCTACGCGATGACGCGCACTGATCCGACGAATTATAGCAAGCGCGCCCGTGTGCATCGTGCCAATGCTTGCGCGCGCTACGGCGAATAACAAAACGAACTACTAAATTTGAATTTCCTACGGTGCTTCTTAAGAAGCACAGTTGGAAAGGCCTTCTTTTGTTGATTTCTTCAAAATGACAGCTTGCCAGAAAGATTAATTTCAGAGGGAGTTTAGTCCACATACTCTCTTTCAACCAAGTATGTTTTTCAACAATAATTACGCCAGTTACTTTTTGGATAGCTGCAAATGATGGACTCTGGCTTTAAATATATAATTAGATGACATTTTAGATGTCATAAGGCTAATGATGCATTGATTGCTCCTCTGACTCCATATCTGAGTTAGATACTGGTCAGTATTTAGACTAACCATCGAAGGATCACTCATTAGCACAGTAGAAGGTGCAATTTATACCAACGGTGCCACACACTGTGCGGACTTCTTGTTCTGGATATTCTTTGTGCATTTTGTTATTGGCAATGATTATCACTTTAATACATTTAACATCCAAAAAAATCACATGTGAAGAAAAACACTGACATCCAGTATAAACGCCTTACACTGCCGCGGACTTAGTTGCAGTAGAATTTTCTATAACCTAAATGTCAATAGGTCACGCGTACTGAATGTTAACACTAGGTAACAAGTGAAATGGATTTATTCTTTGGCTGACATTATCCCACCCATATTTATGTGAATTTAGTATATGATAATTATTTGATATTTGATCACCACCCAAGGCGTCAATCGCTTCTCAAAAGTGGGGGGGGGGGGGACATACCTTGATCTGTACTAATGCAATGCGAGCGCGAAGCCCTAACAGCGTGGGGTTCGGGGCCCGCAATTAAAGGCGTCAATCGCTTCTCAAAAGTGGGGGGGGGGGGACATACCTTGATCAGTACTAATGCAATGCGAGCGCGAAGCCCTAACAACGTGGGGTTCGGGGCCCGCAATTAAGGGCCCTGAAAAATGTTCGTTTCTAGACGCTCCTTGGTGTGATCTGAGGCATTAATTAGTAAAAACTGTCAACACGTATTTTGTCACCATTTATCAAACTTACCATTTCAAGCAAATTTTTCAAAGAATGTTATTCTTGTAAATTCAGTGAAATTTAGTCAAAACTGTCAACAGATATTTTATCACCATTTGTTTAAAGTGACCATTTCAAGCAAATATTTCAAAGAATGTTTTTCTTGTAAATTCAGTGAGAAATCTTTGTATGAATTTTAGGCTTGCCAAATCCACCCTGGACTTCCAGGACAACCGGCAATCCCTGGCTGTTGAAATCCTGGGCCGGCTCTCGCACCTGGCCAAGGACTACCCACAATGCATCGGGCGCATCGTGGAGGGCGCCGGGGACCGTTGTAATGAGATGAGGGAGACTCTGCTGGTACCCCTGCGCAGCTGCTTCTACATGCCTGGCGGGCCGCTCCGGACCACGCTCATTGGACATTCGGGTAAGCTTGGGTGGTCGTCTGTGGACTAGTCCATTAAATCCCACCCAATTTCGTTCGGACCAATAACAGCTGTGATTAATGCGTGACAGTAGTCCGACATGCAAGCACTTGTGTATGATTTGCGCGGTGGAACATTCAGTGTCAGTGCCGTAGCCAGGGGAGGTGCAGATTGGCAGATTGCAACGGGCGAGAGATTTTAAAAGCAAAAACGAAACACTGGTAGAAGCAAAATCGGGACAGAGTCAAAATGGTTTATAAATGTAAAATTGGGACAAAACATAAACGGGACGAAGATTCTATTTGGCAACGGGCAAACAAAACCCTGGCTACACGCCCTTTCAGTTTGATGTTAGAGAGGCACATGAATAATGAAGTAGTCTACTGTAGCGCTATCTGAGACACCTTTGCTAGGAATTTTCCCAAATCTTCCACACCATGCAGTGCAGGAACCCAATGGCAGATTCTTTGTAATCTTCCACAAGGATTATGACAAAAATCTGACAGAATTAGGATTAATATTGCGTTTTGTCATTTGCCAATGTCATTTTTAATAAACACTGTATACCCAGTGCTGTCAGAGAAATTGAGAGACAAGAATTCCTAATAAATGAAAGGTTTGCGGAAACACCATGTGGGACTAATATCTCAAACTAAGAGAATGGTTCTGAAAAGAACCAGAGGTATAAACTCGACGTTCCGGTCAGTATGCTCTGACCATCTTCAGGAGAGTGAAGACGGTCAGAGCATACTGACCGGAATGTCGAGACTGGTTCTTTTCAGAACCATGCTATTATTTGAGAAATAATTCCCAGATGGTGTTTCTGCAAACCTTTCATTCATTAGTATCTCCACCATGCAAAGCCTCCAATCTTTCTTAGAATTCCTAAGCTTATTCGGTTGAAAGTTTTACATGAGTTTTTGAGTTGGCTTTCGAAGAGACAAATAGTAAAATGACACATTGTGTATTTTCAATGCCTGTCATTTTTAGGTATCATCCTGAGCGTGGCTGTCAACTTGTCTTGCTCTATGTTGGCCACCGCGTCTGCTGACGGCTCCGTCAGACTCTGGGAACTGGAACACGATGAAGATATTTACGTTCTGAAAGGCCAGAAAGGTAGAATCTCCATCATCGTTTAGATATGATTAGAATTTATAAAACTCCCTGCCAAATTTATCTCTGAAAATAATTGTACTCTCCAGCAGATGCTGCATCAGACATTTTAATCATCAACATATAGATTGTACTAATAGTAGAGTAAAAAAGATTTTGTGGGCAGTTCACTGGGGAACTTTAATTTTATTTTACAGACCACAGTAAATTTAAAAAAAATTGAGGGTGGAGAGGCATCATCTAATACAAGGCACTGTTGATGATGATAAACAGAGTGTGCCAGAAAAGTGCAACATTCAGAAAACATGAAAGCATTAAAACATTACATTAAAGCCTGACTATTTCTCAATCCACTCCTTTTTGCCCCATTCCATTTGGGTCCCTAGATCCAGAAATACAATCAATTAAGTGAAAGGGTGTACATTTACTTGGGCCACTCTCACCTGTGATGTCACCAACCTCAATGCCTATTCAATGCCTATATCCAATGCTTAACCCAGATTCAGAATGTCCAGGTGAGAGTGGCCCAAGTAGAATTTACACCTTTTCACTTAATTGATTGTATTTCTGGATCTAGGGGCCAAATGGTAAAAATGGTAAAAAGGAGTGGATTGAGAAAAAGTCAGGCTTTAACCCTAACCAAACTCAACCCATCAAAGTCCAACAGCAGGTTTTGTTTAAATCTGTTGGGATAGGTACAGTACCCCTAAACTGATGGTCTTTTACACTGGGGTTGGCATACCTCCAGAAACTAAATCTAACAGTGTGTGTGTACAATTTCCCATATGGTGTTGGAATTTGCCAGGATGGGTATGATTCCTAGTTAATTATTCTGGGGAGTTAGGGTTAATGTAATAGAAAAGTTCATTGAAGAGAAAAACATCAAACAGTTTTAATTATTTATTTTCTGAATGTTGCACTTTTTTGGCACACTCTTTACATGTATATATAACGCCTCACCCACAGACTCTGTATCTGGATTGGCTGAGAGTGAGTCACATGGCATTCACTATTTTTACTCTCTTGCTGTGCATGATAGTAAAACACAATGCTCCATGGATCACCTCAGGAGGCTTGTCTTACCACACCACTCGAAGCAGTCAGTATTTTAGGCAATTCTTAGTGTCACCTTTATGTTCTTTAACCCTAACCCCCAAAGGGCTCTTTGGGGGTCAAGTACCAAATACCACAGAATACTACATGTGCTGTTCACACTTGTATGAAAAGAAATTAATACTACAGGTTACTACTCAGTGGTATTTTGTAGCATTGGGGGCGGTTAGGGTTAAGACCAGATCTACTCCTAAATGAGTGAAAATTCAATAAAGTATCCACTAAAACGTCACCAATGACCCACCAATGTTACTCATCCACCCACAGGAGGGACCATGTCATGCGTGGCCATCTCAGCGGATGACCAGTGGCTAGTTGCAGGGTCCGATGAGAACTATCTGCAGGTGTGGAGTGTCCTCAGTGGTGATCCTGTACTGCTCATAACGGAGAACCACTCAGGGTATGCCCGGCACGCGAACGTGGCTGTGACACATGACTCGACGAGGATCATTTCACCGTCGGAAAATGATCTGATGGTGAGTGTAAATATGGATTATGATATTACACACAGATTTGTGTTGGGGATTGTGGCCTGGTGGTTAGGGTTTGTGGCTCATGATCAGAGGGTCAGGGGTTCGAATCCAGCTGCTGGCCATATGTTGTGTCCTTGGGCAAGCCACTTCATCCCCACTTGCCTTTCTCCACCCAGGAGTATAAATGGGTACCAGCATTAGCTGGGGAGTAACCTGCGATGGACTGACATCCCGTCCAGGGGAATAGACATATTCTCAGTCATTTCATGCTACTGTAACCGGAGATAAATACCGGCCTGATTGGTCACATTGGCTCATGACAGACTTCACTACTACTTTTTTACACACAGATTTGTGTTCATTATGGTCCGCCATGATGGTAATCAGTTGTCTTAAGTCAATGGTCTTGGAACACTACCTTGTCTTCATGTAAAAAACAGTCACCAACAATTCCCTAACTTGTCTTTCATGAGTTGAATGAACAGCATCTTGGACAGTTCTTTCACAAAAACAAAGTGTGTCGAATTAATAGTACATTTGCATGTACAATTAAATACCTGACTGTAAGAAGAGTCCTCAACTGTTTTCGTCTGGAGTTGGGCCCTACATGTTATAGCTAATATAAAGACTTCTTCCTTCCAAGTATCCAACTTACTATTGACTGGGAGCTGTTTGGTGAACTTCAAAAGATATTTATTCTTCCAACCACTGAGTTTTGTAACATAACTTTTCACTTCAATCTTGAAGGTTTACAACATCAACACGGGGGACAAGTTACACACGTTCCGGGGCCACACCAAACTCATCTCATGCATATGCATCAGCGAGGACGACAGGTACGCCGTGACCGGCTCGGACGATGCCACGGTCAAAGTGTGGTCCCTGGTTGGCCATTACATGATCTGTGACATCACGAACCACAAGAAATACATCACCTACGTGGGTCTGACCTCCGACGTGCTGGTAGTGTCTGCGTCCATAGATGGGACATTGGTAAGAAACAAGACTTTTAAGCTATAGTCTGCACAATATAAACATCAGCCGTTTAATCCTTCAAATCTTGTACCGCCTCAAACCGCCCTGCCTGTTACTCTCTGTACTGCCCCAAACTGCTCAAGCACTCTATGGTTTTATGGATACTTCAGGGAATTAATACAATGTAATACAATGTAATACAGGTACCAATGGGTAAGTTTAAATAGACGATTTAATGCTCTAGTTATTTAAAACTTAATGTGTAAAATTGTTGCTGCAGCACCCAGAAATAATAAATTTTGGAATTGAATTCTAAGTCATTTTTTAGAATTAAATAAGTATTAAGGTTTCCAGTGAAATTTTCAAGTAAAAAATAAGCAGGCATGCAACTTTTCCTCAGATCCGCTGATTTCCTCATTTTTTGCTTCTCATGAATGCCAGTACAAACTGAAAAACACTGTAAAAAGTCTTGTGTGATTTGGAATTTCCTGTTTTTTCCCTAAATTCCCAGTTGCATGGCTGAATAAGGAGTGCCCCTAATTCAAGCCAACAGTGATAAATGTTTGTGTACATCAAGCTGATGTACCAACTTAAAATGACATTTTTAGGAGAAGACAAATCAAAATATTCTTGCATCAGTCAGGCATGCACATTTTCCTTTGATCAGCTGATTTCCTTTTTTTCATTTTAATTCCCATTTCTGCCATTAAACATTGAAAGACACCGTACAATGTCTTCTGAAGCCTTGGAATTTCTTCTTTTTTGTGGCTTTACAGCTGCGTGCGTGGCCAATTGCATATCTTTAAATTATTAATTTTTGTTGTCAGTTAATGTTTTAATCGTTATCCCAAGAAATAGTGGGAACTAGATAAAATACTAAAATGTGATCGGCTCCACAACAAAGGCCCGCTCAACATTGAGAGGGTGAACATTTCGTCAAAATGTGATTTTTATTTTTTGTCTTGAATGACATCTTTAATACCTACAGTTTCAGGTTTCATTCCCAGAAATGTTGATCTTTATGAACAAAGTGGAAAAAACAACCATTTTGTGTGCATTGTTCAGTTGTTCTACATCAAAGCCAGCTATTTCAAAGCCTGTTTTCTCAGTTGTGTAATTTGAACTCCAAGGAAGTATTTCATATGCAAATACGTCATATCTCCAGAACCGGAGGGGCTATGGAGCTCTATTATATACCAAATGAAAGCTTATGTTGTGGGCTTTCCAAACATGTATATAACTCAATTTCAACTAAAATGCTAGTATCTATTTCAAAGGTTATCACCAAGTTGCATCCACCCGATGACAAACTGCCTCCCAAAACTGTCCATGTTCTGGAGTCTTGCAATGAGAAGCCTATCTACTCGGCTTGCTTGAGCCGGGACGAGACACGAGTCATCGCTGGCACGGTCAGTATCATATATGTCTGGGACGTGGCATCGGGTAAACTACTGCACTCACTTGGAGGTAAGAGGGACTGGGGGGGGGGGGGGGTAAAGCCATTTTTAACCCGTAGGTCAATGTCAAATATTTGATAATAGATTACTTACTTAAAGTTAAAACATGCTTATTTTAACGCGATTCTTTTTCTATGTTGTCCACAAGACGATTTGATGCTTTGGCTGATGAGACTTAAAACATGAATGAAAACGACATTTTCTCCTGAAAATCCCAAGATTAATTCGTCTGGGTCCAATTTCATGGCTCTGCTAACCACTGAATTCCGCGCTAACGGTCACCATTTGGTGCTAACCAGCCAGCAGAAAAATTCTGTGCTAATCTTGTAAGCACAATAGTTACGTGATGTACGTATGCGCATAAGCCAAACTTCCCCGCTAACCCGTGAAATATGCTTACCATAACCATGGAATGTTCTGCTACGGTAAGCAGGGATTTTTCGTTAGTAGTTAACAGAGCCATGAAATTGGGTGCTGTAGCTTCTTGATTGTTTTAACTATTGATTTACTGTCTTTGTGATCTTATTGTCGCATTCTGATGTCAAACAGAGATGTGATCAAACCATCAGAAGTCATCCAGTCTCAACTCATGTTATTCATAACACTGGTATAAAGGCATTCCTAGGTCATTGTTCATTCCCCATATCTTGTCATCACACCCGTACCTGACTCAATTACAACTCTTTGAGTTCAAAGCTTTATCTTCTCTGTTTCATTTCTAGTTTGAAGATGAGCTCGGTATTATGGTAAATTTACCAGATCTTTGGTGCATGAAAAGAATGTTGTGTACTTTGTGACTTGTGGCTGAATTCGAGTCAGTGGCCCACTTCCTCCATTAAATATCCCACCCTTCAAACACCCCCCCCCCATCAAACACCCGCTCCCATCAAACACCCCCACCCATCATACAGCCCCACCCATCAAACCCCCACCCATCAAACACCCCACCCATCAAACACCCCACCCCTCAAACACCCCACCCATCAAACACCCCAACCCAACGAACACCCCCACCCATCACACATCCCCACCCTTCTAACACCCCACCCATCAAACACCCCACCCATCAAACACCCCACCCCTCGAACACCCCCACCCATCACACATCCCCACCCCTCAAACACCCCACCCATCAAACACCCCAACCCATCGAACACCCCACCCATCAAACACCCCCACCCATCAAACACCCCACCCATCAAACACCTCACCCATCGAACACCCCAACCCATCGAACACACCCAACCTTTCGCACATCCCCACCCCTCAAATACCCCACCCATCAAACACCCCAACCCATCGAACACCCCACCCATCGAACACCCCACCCATCAAACCCCCCCACCCATCAAACCCCCCCACCCATCAAACACCCCCACCTATCAAACACCCCACCCATCAAACGCACCCACCCATCAAACACCCCACCCATCAAACACCCCCACCCATCAAACACCCCAACCCATCGAACACCCCCACCCATCACACATCCCCACCCCTCAAACACCCCACCCATCAAACACCCCAACCCATCGAACACCCCACCCATCAAACACCCCCACCCATCAAACACCCCCACCCATCAAACACCCCCACCCATCAAACACCCCCACCCATCAAACACCCCACCCATCAAACACCCCACCCCTCGAACACCCCTTAACCATTACCTCCCACCATCCTATACCTCAGCCTTATTAGTGCCTGTATTCTGGAAAGTGAAAGACCGACTGTTAAAAATAAACATCCCTGCATGTTCATCGCATGTATCCAAAATTATGGTCACAGGTTTACTGTTGCATGGTAGTGTTCAGTTTATGAGCATGTTAACAAGCATGCTTTTTTTATTTCGGTTTATGGATTGTTAATTTTGATGAATTTCCTCTTGTAAATTTTATCAACCAGTTTGCAGTTTATCAATTGAATTCCCTTGGATTTAAGTGGTAAGCTTGCTTAGAAGGTATTTGTTTTTGCACTTATTCACTGCTTATTTGTATTCTAAATAAGGTCATGATGGTGCCATTGACTGTGTTGCCGTCACCCATGACAACACCCATCTGGTATCCGGGGCCCGTGATGACATCATGGCTGTCTGGAAGTTGACCTCAGGTCGCAAGGTCAGATCCAATGATTGATGTGATTCAATTGACCTATCGCCGTTTGCCAGTTAGCCACGCCCCTTAGACAACCCTATGGAGTTTTTGTACACTAAGTTATGTTTGTCTCAGATTTTGCGCGTTCCGCGTCCATTTGTATATCATGTAATTGGACAATATTTCACAAGCTGCGTTGACGCGATTCTAACGCGATTCTACCGCGATAGGTCAGTTGCTCTAGATTGTAGAAAACCTTGTTCCAATTCATGTTTTCAGAATGAAAAGGTGCAAAACTCACCAGTTCATTCCCTTGAAGTTGAAGATCAACTCAAAATTAGTTTGGCAAAATTCCCCTGTCACAAAGTTGGTCGCACTGTGTCAAATGCCTTGGTTGTGGAGGAGGAGGCCGCAGATGTTCAAACCTTCTTCGATTTTTTATTTCATTTATGATTTTGTTCCTGTGTAAAGGTTTAAGGCCAAAAAAAAGAATAGTTCTGCTTCCGATTACATGCCTTTCAAAAATAGGGTCGGTCGGTCGGAATTTTTTTTTTTTTTTTTGCCAATTTTTTTAATGCAGATTGAATGGGGTATTCAATTATATGCGAAGTGTTAGCCTGAACTATTTCCATTGCACTACAAAAGCTATACACAAAATGGCCACAAAAAGTAAATAAAACCTACCTTAATTATTGTCAATATATTTACGTTCGATAATTCGTAAAAAAATTGTGGGAAATTCAGGTCGTTCGCACCATAGGCACAACGCTAGTCAGGAAGGGGAGCTGGACAAAACTCCGAAGTGTGATGCACTGTACATGATTATAGCCAGACATCGAATTGCGAAGTAGTTGAATCGCGCAGCAAATTTGTAAAAATAACGGAGGTTTCTTTTGAAAAAATAGCGAATGTAAGTAAGAAAACAATAAATACAAGCATTTTTTGATGCAAAAGGGTTGTTGAGAGGTATTTTGTGAAGACGGACAAGACATGAGGTTTTTATTTTTATTTATTCAATCTTTTTTTTTTTTTTCTTTTGGAATTGCCGATAAAATTTTTTAGGGTCGCAGCCTAAAAATAGGGTCGGTCGGGTAACCGGAAGCAGAACTATTCTTTTTTTGGCCTAACCTACTTGTGTAATGCTGAAAGGTCCATGAAAATTCTCTTACTGGTGGTTATATGTCATGTAGTTTAACCAGTTAATTCCGGAGGACGTGCAAACACCATCTTGCAATGTACATTCTGACGGGTGAATAGGGTTAAATCGTCAAGCTTTCCTGAGTCTCCGGCCGTGGACGTGTATACACGTCAGTGGTTCCCCTGTGGTTTTGTATACGGCCTGTCGTAGCAAATATTGCTCCGTGGCGGGGCTTCGGAGTGTTGCAAAATATGATGTTACAGAGAGAAGTATCGTGCAGATATTGTACAAATGACTTTCAAGGGTGAGTACTTGTGGTGTTTGACTTAACTTTAAAATTTGACCAATGGATCTGGCCTTTTTCAAAAACAGTGTTTTTCGGCCCAACATAATCCTGGCGGCAAGTGGTTAAGAGCAAAGCAGGTCTGTTAGGGTAGCGATAAATGTCACAGGGAAACTACATATTATCATGAAACTGACTTTGCTTTTGCATTCATGCCTGAGTTTGAACCAGCCTTTAGAGGCTGGCCTTAGAGGCAATTCACAGGCATCTTGTTCCAGACAACTACTGAGAAGAAAAAGACATTAACAGACAAAATTTAATTCCAAGTAGTGTTCTGAGGAATTTCCATAATGTCTTGGAGAAATGTTCATCTCAAGGGTTTCTTCAGCTTGCCTTTCAATTTAGGTTATAGTCCTTCTGTGTTGTACACTCTGGATTTTTCGTTGTCATCCCATCAGGTCCAGACTCTGGAGGGTCAGCAGGCCATCGTCTCTCACCTCGCCCTGGCTAAGCAGCTGGTGGTCTCTGCCTCCCTACACTCTCCTTACATTAAGCTCTGGGACATCTCCCCGAAATACCTGGAGCAACGGAGGATGATGTTTGGTGATAGGAGTGGCTTGGTTGCTGTGACGACAGATCAAAGGTTAGTGTGACCTTCGATTCGCCGGATATATTGACGATGATTTGGGTCTTTGGTTTGGTTTCTTAAAAAATACCCTTGTCACAGTTTTTTGGAAAGTTTGTTTTTTGAGACTGGATTACTTGTGATTGACTTGTGATTTATTTGCTATGACTTTTGTGATCAAGTTTATGACTTGTGTTTAAGTTGTGATGATGTGAGATTACGTTGTGATGACTTGTGATTAAGTTGTGATGATGTGTGATTACGTTGCAATGACTTGTGATTTAGTTGTAAACACTTGTGATTCAGTTGTGAAGACTTGTGATTAATTTGTCATGACTTGAGATTAAACTGTTGGTGGCTTGTGATAACTCTGGCTATGGAACAAAAACTGGCGTAAGGCTGTATGGTGATTTGATATTGGACACTTGCCATGTAGTACTTTTGTATTGATCCAAATTTATACTTTACTTGTTAACTTTAAATGAGGAATGTAACATTTAACAATTTAATAAGCCCAGTTACCCATCACTATATCCACTTCTTATCATTTCCATAGAATTCTTCACTCAACAATTCCTTTTCACGATTTACAGCTTTGTCATCTTCAAAGGTATTGATCCCTTTGCCAAGACGTCCGTCCACAACATCCATGTCTGGGACGCGACAACAGGCATGGACAAGTACACCTTGCAACACCACAGTGAGGAGGTCACATGCCTGGCCGTCAGCCACAGCGACGAGTTTGCATTCACAGGGAGCCAGGACGCAACGGTCGTGATGTGGCGCATCCGAACGGGGAAGATTCACCACACGTTCACCGGGCACGATGCGGGGATACGGGATGTATACATCCGGGCCGACGATCGGTACATGGCGTGTCTGACATGTGAGGGCGGCCTCTACATCTGGGACCTGAAACAGCTGAAGAAGGTCGCGACTTGTGACCCTTCAGCTGACTTGGGCGAAGTCACATGTGTTGCCTTGACGTGCCGGCATGAGATCCTCCTAGGTACATCATCGGGAGTCGTTCTCGTCAGGCAGTGGTCGCCGGATTCTGGGGAGACCATGGATCTCGGGTCATTGACGGGTCAGAGTTCAGAGGTGGCAGGTTTGGCCCTGACGTGTGACGGAACGCTGTTGGCGTCGGCATACGATGTTCCTTACGTGATTGTGTGGCACCTAAAGTCGATGGAAAAACTGTACCAGTTTAAGGTGATTTGGGTTCTTTGACTTTTTAATCTGCCTCCTAACATAATTTGCTTGTTTGATTTCTCTGAACATTTAACTGAAGGTTTAAATGTTTTGGTAGAATGATATTATTCATTTATCAATATTTTTGGAATTATTGCTAAAACTTTTTATTTTTTCAGCTGTAGTTGACTTCTGCGAACGATTTGGTCATATCTCATATCAAACCTGTCCAGTGCAAACGTCTGTCCCATTAATAGCAAGAGATGTCAGAAAGATTTTCAAAACAAAAGATTTTCATTCTATGTCGAAAACCGGTTCAACAGTTTCACCCTCAGCAAGTATTTTTATGATGTTAACAAATTTGTTGCTGTGTTTTGTGCTTTTAGACTGGTTCTGTCAAGTGCATGTGTTTCACCGGAGACAACCAATTCCTCGTGACTGGAGCTAGTGACAGGGTAAGATTTAGTTTACATCATCCCGACGCAAATTCCATCTTATGAATAGTTTCATTGCAGTACCCACTGCTACATCCAATTCTAACAAGCCAACCGATACCGGCAACCTCGGTGATCGAGTGGTAAGACGCCTGCACTAGAAAGCAGGAGGTCGTGGGTTCGAGTCCCACCCGAGAGATTTTTTTCTAACTTTCACTCGGGAGGTAACACACTGAGTATACAGTGTTTAAAGCTATAGTCCATCATTTGTAATTAGTGCATTTTGTTCGTTTGAAGCAACAAAAGTGTTCAAAATCTAATGAAGGATACAGAACAACTTACCTGATGAAGTTTCAGCTCAGCTTCAGCTTCATATTCCGAGAAAAACAGCATTCTAGGATCTCAATTTAAAATCAAAAGTTGCTAAATCATGTTTCGAATTGTTTTGAATTGCAGCTTCACGCGATGTCGCGCACTGATCCGACGAATTATAGCAACCGCGCGCGCCTGTGCGTCGTTCCAATGCTTGTGCGCGCTGCGCCGAATAACAAAACGAACAACTAATTTAAATTTTCCTAATTTTTTAATTTTAAATTTTTGGAAATGCCTTCTTTCGTTGATTTCTTCAAAATGAGAGCTTGCCAGAAAGGATAATTTCACAGGGAGTTTAGTCCCCTTACTATCTTTCAACCAGTATGTTTTTCAACAATAATTACGCCAGTTACTTTTTTGGATAGCTGCAAATGATGGACTCGGGCTTTAAATACGTCGGTGCAGGGCAAAAGCTAACATTAAATTTACATCACCCCGATGCAAATTCCATCTTATGAATAGTAAGATTTAGTCGTCATGAAGCCATCACAAGTCAATCAAAGGTCAGTCACAAGTCAAGTGATAGGCTGTTCAGTCGAAGTAAGAGGAAGAAATGCTCTTGTCATATTTAATCAGGACCTGACCTAACTTGTAATGTGATTTGTGAGTGAATTGTGAAAGCGTTTGTGATTGACTTGTGATATCACTTGTAATTTCGCATGTGATTAACTGGTGATTTAATTTGAGATCGATTCGTGACTGGCTAATGATTGACTTGTGATTGACTTGTGTCTGACTTGTGAATGACCAGTGATTGACTCATGATCTCACTGTGATTGGCTAGTGATTGATTTGCAAGTGTCTTGATTCCGATGCTTGATTGAACCTCAACAGAAGCTCCTTCTGTGGAGCATCGCTGATGGAACCCTAGCCACCAACCTGTACACCTACTCCAACCTGACGGCGGTCCGAACCGTCCAATCCTCACTCATCGTCGCCTGCACCAAGATCGGCCAGCTCATGGCTTTCCATATTCACCTACCAGGGGAGGCCGGCCAGGCCCAGAGGGACAGAGAAATGCGGGAGAAGAGACGGAGCCTAGTGTCATTTACGAGTAATGGAAGCAGTATTGGCTCAAGCAGTACCAGCGGTGCCCTGAGCACCAACAAACTGTCCAAGTTCTGTAGCATTCTGTGAGCACCTGGTGTCGTTTACGGGTAACGGAAGCAGTATTGGCTCAAGCAGTACCAGTGGTGCCTTGAGCACCAACAAACTGTCCAAGTTCTGTAGCATTCTGTGAGCACCTGGTGTCGTTTACGAGTAACGGAAGCAGTATTGGCTCAAGCAGTACCAGTGGTGCCTTGAGCATCAACAAACTGTCCAAGTTCTGTAGCATTCTGTGAGCACCTGGTGTCGTTTACGGGTAACGGAAGCAGTATTGGCTCAAGCAGTACCAGTGGTGCCTTGAGCATCAACAAACTGTCCAAGTTCTGTAGCATTCTGTGAGCACCTGGTGGCATTTACGTGTAACGGAAGCAGTACTGGCTCAAGCATTATCAGAGATGCCTTGAGTACCAATGAACTGTCCAAGTTCTGTAGCATTCTGTGAGAACCTGGTGGTGTTTACGTGTAACGGAAGCAGTATTGGCTCAAGCAGTACCAGTGGTGCCTTGAGCATCAACAAACTGTCCAAGTTCTGTAGCATTCTGTGAGAACCTGGTGGCATTTACGTGTAACGGAAGCAGTTCTGGCTCAAGCATTATCAGAGATGCCTTGAGTACCAATGAACTGTCCAAGTTCTGTAGAACACCTGAGATGGCATCAACTTAAATCAAGTAGAAGCTTCTTGCATTCAACTACACCTCTGAACCAGCCAATCGTTCCATCAAGGCTGCAACTATGGCAGGAAAGGCTTTAGTCAGGTGGCTTAGATCTAATTTTCGTCAAGATCGTGACCAACTGGTCCAAAGCACCAAACTTGGCAGATAGATTCTTATAGACCTAGAGAAGATATTTAGAAGGGGTGACACCTGAAATTCTTTTTGGAAGGGTGCCTAATTTGCATAATTTGTTAATACCTGCGTGTATATATTGATTCCCATATGGGGGTATATTAAAAAAATAAAAAAATTTGAAAAGTGTATTTTGGGGATTCTACTTACATATCTTTACTTAAATAACATTTTCCAAAGCATATAAGTGACTGAATAATTATGAGGACATAGTAACGATCCAAAATGGCTACTATTATGCCCTAAAGTTGCGCGCATTTACCTTGTCTCCAGATATCATCAATTAGTCTTGCCAAACATCAGCATTGATGAACTTCAAATTTACCAAGTAGCTTACTGGTACAGTTACCCTATTAGATAAAACCTTGTGCAAAATCATGTGAACAATGATAACATTGTGATATTTAGCCCAGAAAACAAAAACTGGGAAACAACGAGGTGTCCATAAATTGGGCTAACAAGTAGGTGGAGGGTTGCCTAACATGGGAGACTGGAACAAGTTCAAGGAAATTCCCAAAATTATTGTTGAAAAAATGGTTTGGCGTAGACAAAATTATTGTTAACAACAATAATCTCTTATTTGGGGGGATTTTGTTGAACTTGTTCAAGTCCCCACGTTACCCTTCCCGTAGTAGCCCAATTTACGGACACCACATTTTCTCCCCTTTTTTTGGTCTTTTGGGCTAAACATCAATATGTTATCAATTTTCACATGATTTCCTACTTATTTATGTCAGGGTAACTATGTCAGTAAGTAACTTGGTGAATTTGAAGCTCATCAGTACCCACGTTTGGCGAGACTAGTTGATGATAGCTGAGGAAAAGGTGAAATGCGCGCAACTATAGGGTAAAATAGTAGCAATTTTGGTTCTTTACTATGTCCTCATAATTATTCAGTCACTTATATGCTTTAGAAAATGTTATTGAAGTGAGAATATGCAAGTAGAATCACCAAAATACACTTTTCAAAAAAATTAAAAATACAAATATACCCAAATATGGGAATAAATATATTACACGGCAGGGATTAAGGATTTATGCAAATTAGGCACCCTTCCCAAAAGAATTTCAGGTGTCACCCCTTCTAAATAAAGTTCTCTAGGGCTATAAGAATTTATTTGCCAAGTTTGGTGCTTTGGACCAGTCGGTCACGATTCCGACCATATGCCACGTGACTACTTGTGTCATCTCCTTCAACACAGGCACGGCTAACAAGTTAAGACGTCAAGATTGCCGCGACTCACCTCTGGGTGACGTCTAAACACGCTAATCCCTCATGCCTTTTGAATGCGCACACAAAGTCCATGAAGTCTGTGGAGGCGGACCGTGTGTTGATCTTGAAGTGGCCGCTTTGCATGGCCTATTGCTCTACAATTTTGTTCTACACGGCCTATTGCTCTACAATTCGTAATAGTGAAACATATTGAGGTTTCGGCAAGAAATATCGCACAAATACTGTGAAATGACTCTTGCCAATCAGTATTTGTGGCGTTTGGCTGTACATGTTTATCAGAAATTGGCTGGAAATTTTTGCATTTTGAAACTGTTTCAGGTAAATTGCAGCATTTAAACAAATCCAGGTTTCCTTTAGTTTAAGCTATTGGACAATGATACCGGTACTGTTTGAAGTTGCAATAGAATAGGCACCAATAGTTAATTTTGCAATGCAACATTCAGCTTCTCATATAATTATTAAAACGATGAGGATTTCTCAATTTAAGAAGTTAAACTAATTTGAAATTTTGTTTGAAACAATGATGTAACGAGAGTCAAATCTTTGTTGTTTTTGAGGAAATACTGTACAAAATTTCTTGCAAGGCAAATTGGACATGATTTTATTTAAAAATTATAAATGAATTTTTTTGTATGTGTATAGAGTGCTGTAATTTAGATGATTTTTTAATCATAAAAAACCCTTCGCATACAAAGTACCAACATTTTTAAAGTGAAAATAGTATAATAGATATTTTTGTATTCATAGATGTTTTTTATTGACAATCTTTATACAACTAACAAATAAGTTTTGTACTAATTTTTACTTCTTACATGAACATTATAGCATGTGATATGCTCAGTATTTTACATGATTTTTATCCATTGCTCGATACTTTAGTTATTTTTTATACACATTCCAAAATGCATGCTTAAGTACTTCAGTCGGACACCTCATTATGCTGCAACAGTGTGGTGATTAGTTTGAATATTTTGTCCACAATGATGTGGCCCCAACTATGGGATAATGAAAAGTTTTGATTTGAAGAGTTTGATTTTTTTTTATCTACTGACAAATTTTCAATTTGTATCTTTAATTTAAACAGAAAAGTATTTTTCCCCCCTTTTTTGGGGACATTTTCCCACCCTCTGAAAATGTTTTATTTCAGGTTGCTTTTGCACCCATAATGAGGAAAATATACATAACGCACAAAATATACAGTAATTATTCCATAGCTAAGCATGGGCGGAATAACTTTTGTAATGCTAGAAAAATAGCAAGTTAAAGGGATATACAACGTTTGCTTTTGCAATTTGGGGGTCAGTATTTTATAGCAAATATTGTTACACTGACTTGTTTGAAGTTGTGTTCGTAGATGCTAGAAACACCAAGAAAAACAATCGTGTTCCTGTAGTCTGGTTCCCTGACCCCACTCAAGATGAAACAGCAATTTATGGATGTTGGGGAATTGTATGGTCAGGGAACCAGTCTAGCTGGCTTATACCCATTCATAGGTGTGTAATCGATTGCAAACAAATACACAATGTATGGTAAATTGGGGGCAGTATATAAAAAAAGTCAGTTTGTTTTCAATTTTTTAATTTCAATTTTTTTTTTTTTTCAATTTCCAACGCTGGTCGGCCGACCAGCGTTTGAAATTGATACAAAACTACCACTTTTCTTGAAAATGTCAGCACACCAGGTCCGACAATTTTACAGAATGCTTTAGACTGCATTCACCAACAGGCCAGTAAGGTATTTCATAATAATTTGGTAGTTATTTTTTTTTGATGTTTGCAAATGTTGTATATTCCCATTAAAAACAAAATCTACTTTTTGAGGTGAAACGTGACAATGCAGGCACGGGGAGAAAAACTTTTAATCTTAATATTTTGAATTTATTTTGATTGGTATTGAAATGTCAGTGCCACCTTAAACAGTGGTTGCTCTTAAACGTTGATTGCATTCTTGGTTGATTGTTTTGAAAATATGGCCATGTCCGAATCACATGGCTACAGCTAGAAATAACATGCGCACCTATGGAAGCCACTGGCTAGCGGCTGAGCCACTTCCCATAGACTCTTGGTTATTGCTGGCCATAGCCATGTGGTTAGGACATGGCCTATATATTTTGCTGATTTTTTTTTATCTATCCTTTTTCATTTTTTCATATCAACCATTGCTTACTGTATGTGATTTAGTTATTTTAAAAACTAGTCAATGTTTTATCCAAATTCTATGTTAATACTTGTAAATCAGTTTAGATGTTTTATACAAATATTTTTAATATTCTAGTTTCAAGATGCAAAATTTTATCCAAAGACGTTAAATTTCAGACATTTTTTAGAGAATGGTAAGAAATTGTGCAATCAGTACCAGGTATAAAATATATTTTACAATCATAGTTTTAGAAATTTCTACCTTTGATGAAAGTAATGTGTGTAATGGAAGAAAAGTGTATTTGCAGGGCTTGAATTCGTTGATAAATGGAATATATAAATGAATTATTTTGCACAGGGATTGTATGAAAGGAAATCTGATTATGCTTACTGAAACTTTTCAAATAAAAACAAATTATTTCGCAGAAAGATTTTGTTCTGTAAGATTGTCATGTTTGTTTATCGTCTCCTCTCCCCCCCCCCCCCCCTGTACTGGGATGACATGTATACACTCAAAGGTTTTCCAGTTTCAGGAACGGATGACGGATATTGCAACAAACGAGGCCGGAAATATCTGTCAGTGACCCATTCGCAGCGATAAATCAGGGTGTGCTACCCACAGATGACAGCCTGAACCCGTCTGGCATCGAGGTTGGTGAAAAGCAATCCCGCGCCTGGGTTCGGTCAACGTCAAAATAATCCCGGTATGAACTGGTTAAGCTAAACAAAAAATTGTTCAGAGATGAAGTGCAAGTTCTTACTCCCTCCCATTCCAAGAACAAACAAACAAACACGCGCACAGACACACACACTGAATTTCTCAAAAATCATAAAATTGTTCAAAAGATGAAATACCAAATGTCCTGAAATGAAAAAATATCTTTGGTGTTGACCATATATAGCTTATAATATTTATGAATTTTGTTGTTTTAATTTTAACGGGGTTGACTCAAAAGATGATAGAAAATTCCGAAACTTCTCAAATAACTTGGATCTTTTATTTCAAAGCGCTCCTGCCATATCTACAAAATATATAACTGCTTTTTATACAGCGTTCTTTCTTAACTATGTACACAAAAGCTTTACCACTTTACAATGTACACAAAAGCTTTACCACTTTACAATTTATGTACATGTCTCTTACAGAATTGGCACTGTTCATAGAACTGACAAGTCAAACCAGTTTCTGAATTCCACAAATATATTTACAGGAGAATGGTACTCTTCAATAATACATACATGTACATGTATATATACAAACACTAAAATCTAATTCTTAGATTTCAGACCAACTTCAAACCTCGTCCCAAGTCTCTGTTCAATACGTTTCATTTTTACATGATTACTTTAAAAAAAAACTTAAAGTGGACTGATATTTCACGATTTCAGCATTAGCAAGGCCTTCTTCAGACCTCTTAAGGACGTCTCGCTAAGGCTGAAATATCAGACCACTTTAACCTTTTGATTTGAATATTTCAGGTCAATCCAGCTTTTTTTTTCATTTACATGATTACTTTTAGTGTGACCCATGACAAAAATCGGCCATTGGCAGTGTACATTGTATCAACAAAATACAAAAATCTATCATACCGGCAATGAAAATTTGGTGTTTTTATGAATGAACTCAATAATGAGGTGTGGACAGACTTCTATAAAACTTTTATAATAATGAGAAAGTTCCAAATTCACGGAACTGCCAGAAAATATCGCTAAGCAAACTTATGTGCTTAGCAGGAATCAGCAGGAAACCAGCAAAAAAACCATACACATTGAATTTGGAGTTTGGCTCACATGTTTTGCTAAGCATATAATATTCACACTTAGCACATCTTTGTACTAGGCCGCTCCATAAAATTGGCCGCAGGCATTTCTTTAAAAACCACAGTTGTTGGAGAATCAGTGTGCGTTTTCTTTTTCCTTATCTATGGAACATTTACTCTGTACGTTGTCAGGGGTTATGAAGACCATATTGTGACATCCATTTGTTGTACAAATATGCATAATTCAAAATGGATAGGTAGTGTTATTTCTTCTTTAGAAATTGGCAAATACGATTCTTAATTATTGAAAATATGACACACTGGTCCTTGCCAAATCAAACATGGTAACGTTCCTTAAATTGTACAAATAACAGCATCATTCAAAAGCAACTCTTATTTTTTTTCACAAAACAGTCAATACAAAAATAAATGTTCTTTTACAGGCGATGTCCGCTTTGTAATACTGGCCCTATAATGTTGAAAGTGAGGTGAGTACATACAATCCAGAGCTAATTTTCACTGCGTGTCCACAATGGGATGCATTTCATGCTAACACTGGAAAAACTAAAACAATTTCTTTTTTGATTTGTCTCCAGTCCAGGTTTGTAAGACTCATATTTGTCATACTCCGTCATAACAAAGTAATAAATTACAGTCTGTCCCAAGCCAACATGGCCTATCAGGCCAGCGTTTATCTCCGGTTTCAGTGGCATGAAATGACTGAGAATATTTCTACTCCCCCTGGATGGGATGCCAGTGCATCGCAGGTTACTCCCCAGCCAATGCAGGGACCCATTTATACTCCTGGGTGGAGAGAGTCAGGTTGGGGTGAAGTGGCTTGCCCAAGGACATAACATATGGCCAGCAGCTGGATTCGAACCCCTGAACCTCCGATCATGAGTCACGAACCCTAAACGCTAGGCCACACTCCCCCCAACTCTGTCATAACAACAAAATAATCTAACTTAGGAACAAAGATATCGACTGGGCCAGGATTTGAATCTGCTCCCTTCTGAACCTCCCAAACGATTTCTTCAAAGATTTCTAAGACAAAGCCGATCCTTTCTTAGTGATTCCCTTAAGCTGGCAGCATTGGTTACGTTTTGCTTTGGGCTAAAGTACCCCACGAACAAAGACATCAACAAACCGGGAAGTGACCAACAAGAGTTGGATAGCTCATTTGGTGGAGCCTTAGTACAGTGTTCCAACGACCCCTCCAGTCAATTTGCTTTGTTCTCTAGAACTTAACACTGACCTTTAGTGATTTATTGGATAAAATAAAATCAAATACAAGTCAGCTGCAAGATGATCAAGATGGGTATCAACCAGAAACGTAAATTAAGTCAGGTCATCAGGTCAAGTAACCAGAAGTTATCGCAAGTCTCACTCACAACTCATCCAGTTGCAAGGCATGTCACAAGCTAATTTCAAATTGGCTGTGATTCAAAACTTCCTTTGTCATTGTTCATCCACTTGTGACTGAACTTGTGAATTGACTTAGGACTTTGACTTGTGATGGACTTATGCTTGACTCGATAACAACTCTGCAACTAATGAATTGAATATCACTTGACCACTCTAAATTTCAATACTTGTGTCCTCTTTTCACTCACAACATGAATTTGCTTATCAGTTCATCTTGTGAAGTCCTCTCAATTCAACCATGCGTACTTCATACGGTGTAGCACAGCACGAATGGAACCGGAAGTTAACGCAACTAGAGCATTTATCCAATGGCCGCTAGTAATCAGGGGTGCGCGCGTGTGTATGACGTTTTTACTAACGAACCGGATAGAGGTTCAAGTCTTTATGTCACATCCACCCTTAGCTCAAGCCACCTTCTCATGACTCAGTCTTGACTTGGGCCTGTATCTGGGTGACGGGCGCTACGCCTGGAGGTAAGAGTAAGCTGTGATCCAGGGTCTGGTGAAGCATCAAGCCAGCACCCCGGCCCGGTTGAACATAGCCTGACGGACGTTGCGCTCCTGCTCCAGGAGTTCATCCAACTTCAGCCACTGTTGATGGAATGATACGATAAATACTGGTGAGGAGTTGCGACTGAATCACAAGTTAATCACAAGTCAATCACAATTCGTCGCATCAGTGCAACAAGGTCGTAACTCGATTCTGCAACAAAGTGGTATCTCACGCGAATACGCTCCGTGCAACAAGGTCGTATCTCGACGTCCATTGACTTTGCGTGTGCATCTGGGTTATTTTAAGCGAGATACGACCTTTTGACATTCTAAAGCTCGCGCTTTGCATTTATGTCGTTTTAGGAGATACGACCTTGTTGCACTGACGCGACGAATTGATGTCCTGATGTGTGATTGACTTGTGGCCAGACTTGTGGCCAGACTTGTGATTAACTTGTGATTACCTTGAGATTAAGTTGTGATTGACTTGTGATTACCCTGTGATCAACTTGTGATTAATGTGCGATTACCCTGTGATTAACTTGTGATTACCTTGTGATTCGCTTGTGATTAACTTGTAATTATCTTGTGATTGTACTTGTGATTACCTAATTTAAAACTCTGATAGTAATTCAGTTGAATACTCTGAGAAAAAAATTTGCACTGTTGTTTTTAGACAGTGCTCAACAAGAAGAAACATGCAAGATTCTTGAGGACCTACGATTCAAAAATTTCCCCTTTTTATCTAAAGCCCCAAACTCCAAACCAAATAAACAGCCATTTTTCTGGATTGCATTCAATACTGGCTGTGTATGTTTTTAATAGTTCATTTATTTAATATTAAAAACAAAAGAAATCAGTGCATTTTAATAAAAATTCAAAGAACAATGACTATTTCTACATTTTGTAGTACTGTTACTCCTTACCCATCTGACACGTTCCAGGTCAATCTCAGCCCGCCTCAGTTTCTCCCAGTTGTAATGTTTGGAGCATTTCCTCTTAGCGACCCGGCAGAATCCTTTGGTGTCCTGGAAGACGTCAGCGACCAGAGGGCAGCCGCACACCTCATCAGCACTCACCTGTGGGTAGCCACACAAACATGTACGCATCATTAGGCCACGCCCACTACAACATGGGTAACAACACACACACAACTGCATCATTAGGCCACGCCCACTGCACACATGGGTAACACACACACCCCTCTGCATCATTAGGCCATGCCCACTGCACACATGGGTAACAACACACACACCTCTGCATCATTAGGCCACGCCCACTGCACACATGGGTAACACACACACACCTCTGCATCATTAGGCCATGCCCACTGCACACATGGGTAACAACACACACACCTCTGCATCATTAGGCCACGCCCACTGCACACATGGGTAACACACACACACCTCTGCATCATTAGGCCATGCCCACTGCACACATGGGTAACAACACACACACCTCTGCATCATTAGGCCACGCCCACTGCACACATGGGTAACAACACCTTTCCAATGCCGTATTGCATGTTCAAGCCGCACACATTAACATATGTGCATGCATACAGGGTGAGTAAAAAAAAAAAAAACCAAACGGCAGGACCAATTTTTGAATGAAGTTTTGCCATTAGCACTTTCAAAATCTAGGATGAGAAATCCCAATCAATGAGCTTTCTTTTAGTATAAGAAGCATTCAAATCAATCATGTACTTTTCAAGTTACGGAATTTTGAACACAACCACCGTTTCAAAATTCTGTCCACGGATCACAAAAAAAAGTAAGTGTTCTTTCAGCGAAATGAAAACAGAAAAGTGTTTAAGTTTTTTTTTGCAAAACGAAAAACAATTCACATGCATCCCTGAGAACTGTTTTCATTTCGCTGAAAGAACACTTACTTTTTTGGGGGGATCCGTGGACAGAACTTTAAAATGGTGGTTATGTTTAAAATGCCATAACTTGAAAAGTACATGATTGATTTGAATGATTCTTGTACTTAAAGAAAGCTTAATCACTGGGCTTTCATATCCTACACTTTGAAAGTTTTACAGGCAAAACATCATTCACAAATTGGTCCTGCGATTTGGGTTTCTTTTTTTTTTTCTCGCCCTGTATGTTGGGCTTTCATGCACGCCTGTCTGACATTATACACTGTTGTGATTGGTCAAAACTTCATGGGGGGCGGGGCTTAATATATCAGTCTACTGCTGATAGCAACAATCTCATAGTTTCTGAAGTCTTATTGGTAGTTACACACCATGACAATTCTGCCTTCAATGGGGTCTGATTAGTCCTGTCCTCAAGTGTGTTTACTTGCTATGCAGTGTCGAACCAGCCAACCGATCCCGTTAGCTCGGTGGTCGAGTGGTAAGACATCTGCACTAGAAAGCAGGAGGTCGTGGGTTCGAGTCCCACCCGAGTGATTTTTTTCCAACTTTCACTCGGGAGGTAACACACTGAGTATACATCACCCCAACACAAAAATTCCATCTTATGAACAGTGTCTATTTGTTGACATGTGAATACAGAAATGAGTTGACCCATGTCAAAGGTCATTAGAATAGTGACATGCTGCTCATTGTTTGACTCTATATTCTGACTGAGATATTGTGGAAATTGTTGTTAACAATGGCATGGGGACAATTCCTTGGAGTATAGAATTATTACCTTAGGTTCTTTGGTGTGTTCAGGGCACAGAACCTTCAGTCTCTTGCAGTAGGTGTTCTGTTGCTGGTTGAAGAAATCACAGAACATGGACTCCCTGGGAATAAGCAAAATTTTAAAATGGTGTCTCAACAATAACCCCATTGGGTGTTTCAACTGCGCATGCGCAAGATAATATGGGTCACTGGCCATTCGGGATAACTGAACACTCATCGAAGACACAGGGAGACGGGAGCACAATGTTTGTGTGAACCCTCCGACGCAGAAAGCACATTTACTAACACGCTTACAGTAAGGGGTCCCTCCAGGGACCCAGATATTTAGCGCCTTGGTTTGAGGCTACACAACACCGTATCTATATGTACACAATCTCGACATGTCTGTAGACTATAAATAAGGCCGTCCTTGAAAGGAAACAGATGTTGTATACAATAGTCTGTGGTCAAGCCGTGCACTGTCTACCCGCAAGTGACCTTGTTTTGTGCACGTGTATATGGGCGGTTTGTCGCCAGCCCAGGTTGTCAGGCTCAGATATGCCTGACCCGGGGTCACACACTAAAGGTGACTGCATATATCCGTAGTGGGTGCCTCTGGCTAGGATTAGTGGGAGATCACCAGAATCGGTTTGAATTTTTTTTATCTATTAAGGTAATTAACAAAATTGGGTCCCCACAAGGGCTAGTTTCTGCGTCGGAGGGTGTAAGCCTCTGTGCTAATGACGTCACACTTTGTTTACATGTGTGCTTTCCTGTGGTGCTCAGTGGACCGTGGGCCCCCACTGGCTCCATAGGAAAGTGCACATGTAAACAAAGTGTGACGTCATCAGTACTGAGTCTTATTACAAGTAGAATGGCCGTCCACGTAACATCGTGTAACATGACCTCCGCAATTTTTCACGAATAACCTTCGACCTGGACTACTTCATTGAGATACTGAACTGGCTTATGCCATAGATAATATCAAGACAATGTTTACCAATGTTCAAATATGAAAATAGTGGAAAAGGATGGGTGTATCGAAATGATAATTAACTTCAGTTGCAGGCAATTTTCCATGAGCTTACTGGCCAGTGGTAGAATTCTGGTGGATTCTGAAAGATTCCTAGTAGCAGTTCTCGACACTTACCCAACAATTTTAGTCTTGAAAGCTGAACCAAAGGACGTCTGGCTCTCATACTATGAGACATGAAATGACAGTGAAAATATTAATAAGTTTTATATTTTGATGAACTAAAAGTGTCCGAGACAAAATGACATAAAGTTCAATGTGATTTAGACCAGTCATTAATCCTCCTGCCTTTCATTCAAAGCATTTATTCACAAACTATGGAAAGGAAAGATAGACAATGAAAAAAGGACAAGTATGCAAACTTTGGAGTACAAAAAAACAAAACAAAATCCGACAAAAATAAGTGCTAAACGGAAATTGTTGATGATTATAATATTTTCTTCATGTTTATAATTACTGTCCTTACTTTGCTGTAGCATTTGCTCATGTGTCTGAGGGCCCTGACTGGATTGATGGGATGGCCGCAGGATACGCAGAAGATGCTCAGGTCAGCCTCCTCACTCTCTCCATCAGTGCTCTGCATACGCAGACAAAAAGATAGGTCCACACAATGAGGATCAAAATACTTCACAATCATTACACAATCATAACAATGTTTTGGTGCAGAGCACAACAAAATATGTATTTGCTTAGCAAGAACAGGTTGCCAGTCAAAGAAACTTAACATGTGCACTGTTTTGAAATGTTCTTGGCTGATTTTTACTAAGTACAAAAAAATGTATTAAAAGTTCAGTCCATCAATTGTAATCTGTGCATTATGTTCATTTGAAGCAACAAATCCAAAGAAGGGTGCTGAACAACTAACCTGATGAAGATTTAGCTCAGTGAATGCTGTAGTTTCTGAGTCCAAGAAAACAACATTCTAGGAACTTGATTTCAAATCGAAAGTTGCCGAGTCATTTTTTGAATTGGGCCTGAATTCAGCGTCAGAGACACATTCTCACTGAGCCGATTGCAGCTATGCGATGTCACGCAGTGAACCGACGAATTATAGCAACTGCGCCCGCATGTGCCTCGTGTCAACGCTTGCTCGCGCTTCGCCGAATAAAAAAAACGAACCACTAATGGAAATTTCCTTCTTTCAGAAGGCCTTCTTTCATTGATTTCTTCAAAATGACAGCTTGCCAGAAAGGATATTTTCATAAGGAGTTTAGTCCCCTTACTATCGTTCAACTAAGTATGTTTTTTAATACTAATTACGTCAGTCACTTTTTGGACAGCTGCAAATGATGGACTGTAGCTTTAAGCAATATTTTCTATTCACCAACTCTCTGAAAATGGTCCCTGATGATCTAACATCTTTTAAACAGTTGAAGACATGCACAAATAAAAAAAGCACAGTCGCATCCTTTCTAAGAAGTCCTATAATACATCTACAACTTCTCACATCCTGATCCTGCGCCACTTTCTCCTTCTTGGCCTGCTCAACTAGCTTGTTCAACTTGACAATCTTGCCGTCAAGCTCAGCAATCTTCTTCTTGACTTCCTCCATCTCGCTCCTCATCTTCTCCAGGGATTTCTTGTTGTTCTCCTCGGCGATGCAGGGACTGCGCTGCCACTGCTGGATACGCTGGGGCAGAAACTCAAACAACCGGCTGGCATTGAACGGAGAAAGGGAAGGCAGTAATGAGAGACAGATGTTAAGGGGTGAAAGTCTAGTTTGGAATAAACTTTTTGATATCAAAGAAATGATTTGAACCAACCAATCTTTTATCATTTCTGATGTTTCGGCAGCACCCTCTCTAACAACCGTACAGAAGGTGATGTTGTGTTGCATTTTAAAATGATCCAACCACCCATCACTGCATTTGAAGTCGGGATGGCCCAACTTCTTGGCCAGGGATACTGACTTATCTTGAAAGATCTGCCATGACACAATTACGTTCATGGCAAGTGCACCCATGCATCATGTCAGGACAGCTTCTTCAACCTAAGGCCAAAAAAAAAAAGTCTCCGGTTTCTGGTATGCGCACGCGTTGACGCAGCCATGCGCGTCGGCAAAATGAAAAAGTTTTTTTTTTCAATACAAGATGATGTCTCAAAACCGCCAAACTCACTAGTTTGACTGGAGTCCTGCTGCTGCACAATTTTAACGTGTTTTTAGATGGGGTTATGATCGAGAATAAGCTTTATGTGGCCTCTCTGGACTCCCATAAATTTGCACTAAGTTTTGTCGGGCACCATTTGCAGTCATCAGCCGACATTTGAAGCCAAAAAAAAAAAAAACAGGTAAAAAAAAAAAAAAAAGCCGCGTCGCCGCACCACTTTTGGGATAAGCTCCATACCAGAAACCGGAGACTTTTTTTTTTTGGCCTAAGGAATCGTTGGCTAGTCTCATTCGCTTTCTTGCCAGAGCCACAGATCCATCAACATTCCCTTGTTCTTCACGATCGTAGACACTTTGTGTGGATTGGGGAATTCCCTATTCCATGGGGATATCCGCTTGCCTTTTCATGCCGCGTTTATCAATTTCTTCGATAAGTTTAACCTTATCAGCAAACGGCTAGGTCTTTCTGGCAGAATATTAGGGAGGATTCAGGAATTGCCCGCCAACAAAGACTAAGGAGGTTTTTTTATGTAAGGGTTAGTTTCAGATTGCTGTAATTGTGTCGATCACAAGTCTGGTAAAAAGTATATCGCAACTCCTTTTTCACAAGTCCAGTCACAAGGAACAGAGGATGAACGACAACAGAGGAATCATTTTGTCCCAGTTTATTTGAATTTGCGACTTGACTTGAGACTGGCAAGCCTTGTGAATAGACTTGAGAGGGACTTGTGAAGGACTTTTGATGAATTGGTGAGGCCATTTGTGGATGATGAGGTCGTTTGCAAGAATGATTTAAAACCAAGAGCAAGAGACGAGCCTCACTTGGTAGCCAGTTTGAGACCGCAAGCCTCGCTGCAGTACTTGCTGCCAGGCCTGGCGGCGTTGACACAGCCTGGCCCGTAGCACTGGGGCAAGTCCTCCTCAGCCGCTGTGCTCGATCGTAGGACTCGCTTGAATTTGGGCTCATCGATGGTGGGCTTCTGCTGGGATCGCTTGCGTTTGCGTTCCTCTTTGCTCGGCCGCTTTTCTGGTTCTTTCTGAAAGACAAGGCGGGAGAAGTGAAAAGTGTGAAAGCTTGACAAATTAAATGCAGCGCTTTGCCCTTCACTAATTTAAATTTGAGCAGTAAATCGTACACATGACATCTGTCTAAAAAAATTTTTGTAAAAACCTAGTCTGTCCCAACCCAAACATATGGCTTATCAGGCCACTGTTTATGTCGGGTTTCGTTTATATGAAATATTTCAATTTCCCTTGGATGAGACCCAAGTCCATTGCAGATTACTCCTTTGCAAAATGCCAGTAACCATTTCAACTCCTAGGTGGAGAGAGGCAACTGAGGATGAAGTGGCTTGCCCAAGGACACAACAAACAACCGGCAGCTGGATTTGAACCCTGACCTCATATGGACAACACTCTAACCACTAGGCCACACTCCCCACCCACCTCTGAGTGAACAGGCAAAACATCAGCTTGGAACGGACTGTGAATTGAATGCCATTTTTTCCGTGCCTGCTCACCTGTTTCTCTTTGATCTCTGGTTGTCTCTCCTTCTTGTCCTTTTTGTCTTTCTTTTCTTTCTTCTCGGTTGTTGGGTCCAGCTCCGGTCTCATGGTGTAGTCATAGTGATCCACTAAACTCACATCAATAGTTGGAGGCGGTTTCTATAGGGGAGTGAGAGAATAACACCCTTTTACATCTTTCTTTGATAGTTTAACAACCAAGACAAAATATAAACTAGTTGGGTGTATGAACGGTAAAAATGATACATCTTCAACCATGTACCAAGACCTAAAAATTACAGCATAATTAAGCGACCACTTCAAAAAACATCCTATTTTATTATGTGAAAGGTTTTGTTGTGTGAAAAGAGTTTAATGTGTGAAGTGCTCTGGGGGGGGGGGGGGGGAGATTCAGAACCATATTTTAGGGGAGGCCAAGAGGGGTCAAGTATTTTGTTTTCAAAAATGGGAAAGAGATTAAGTATATAGCATTGAGCGCAATTTCTACAATGTAATATTTAAATTAAGTCATAATTAGCTGACCACTTGCAAGGGAGATACACAAGGTTTTAATTTGTGATCTTATTTAGTTTTTTTTGGGGGGGGGGGAGGGGGAGGGCAATAGGACCATTTTCATGGCGACACTAAGCACAAAATGTTCTGCTAACAGAGCCTCTGTCGTTTCATGGAGCCCGTAAGCAGTAAGTACAGCAAAAGGCACGATAACCTCAAGAGGAAAAAGTTGCTTAAATCAGTGACGTAACAATAGAAATCTCTATGCGGCAACCATTAGCACATCCAAGCCTTGAATTAGTGCTTGAGGTTAACACAAGAGTCTGCTATAGTAAGCACAACGTTTTACGTAATTTGGTCCTGTTCAACTGTAGTCAAGTGTAAATGAATTCTCCAAGGTTGTCGCATACCCTGGTGTAGCGCTCAGGAAAGACGCTCTGCGAGTCGGTATCCGTGTCGATGCTGGTCGTATCCCAGGATTCTGACTGGCTTGACAAGTATTGCTTCCTCAGAACTTTCTGCATGGTACGGGATGGGAAAAATATTGAAATAGCTTTACTTAAAGGTAAGCATACCATCTGCAGCTATCCAAAATGTAACCGACCAAATTAATGTGAAAAAGCTTACTTGGTAGTTAGATAGTAATGACACTAAACTCCCTGTGAAATAATTCCTTCTGGCATGCTGTCATTTCGAAGAAAACAACAAAAGAAGGTCATTTTCAAAGATGTGTCAAGTGACACATTTTTGGAAATTTTCGTGAATCCGCCTCCATGCGTTCTAATTTGTAGTTGTTTTGCAATTGGGCGAATCCATGAATGGGTGGCAACCAGCTGAATGAGAAACATGTCCCGAATGCTGATTTTGGAATTGTGTTAGAGAGGGCGCGTTACTCAAAATATGACTCAACAACTTTGGAATTGGAATCGACATCCAGAATATTGTGATTATGGTTGTTTTGTTTTCTTGAAATATACAGCATTCACAGGGCTAAAACTTCATCAAATGAGTTATGGTAATCCTTACTTTTAGGACCCCGTTCCTATATAGGAAGGGAAAGACTCACCAAAACAGCTGACTAAATGACACTCAAAATTGACATTCTGATACTTCTTGGCACATCTGAACAATTGGCAATGACACCTTCTTGAATATCAGCAGGATTAATTTTGTGGAAAGAGGGCAGGGCTTTGATTTATGAGGGAAATTCAGGGGTAAAAGACGACGATGACAACCAGAAAACAGACTCAAAAACCAAGATGGCAAATGTGAAAGCTCGATGCGATGAAAGCTCGATGCTGATTGGCTGATAAAAAATAAACATCTTATTTATTTTTAGTCTGGTTCACAGACCAAAAGATTCAGGAATAGTCAGAATCTTTTGGTCTGAGAACCAGACTAACTTATTTATTCTTAGTCTGGTTCCCAGACCAAAAGATCCTGGAGTAGTCAGAATCTTTTGGTCTGGGAACCAGAATAATTAATTTTTTTAGCAGCCAATCAGCATCGGGCTTTCATTATGTAGGGCTTTCACGCGTGTGAGAACTACAACATGCACGTCTGACTGCGAAAAAAGGTAGAAAAGTCACATTTTCTTCGAAAGTGCTTTCAAAACTACAGCTAACATGAGTTTATATGAAGAAAAAAGACTGCTTTAGCCTGCAAAAGTCACTTTGGTACTGGACAGTCATCTGCAAAAGTCAGTTTTGAACAGAACTTGTAAAAAATAGAGGTGTCCTAAAAGTAAGGATTACCTGAGTTATTAAGCACCTGTCATCACTTTTGTTGAGGCAAACGGGGAAAAAAAATGCACAAATTACAAATGTTCTACTCTAGATCGGTTGACCAACAGCATTGCAGGGATTACTTACACTGGCCAATCGGACACACTGTTTCAACCGACACTTCTGTCTCAGTTTGTTCTGGCCACCATATTTCTTCATATCCTGAAGAGGAAGAAAAGTTCATTTTGAGAAGGTAGTCCTTTGCATCACGATCTCTGCAATGCAAGACAATCTTCTCCCACACTTATTAAAAATAGCAAAATACGATGACAAAAGTTGCCAATGTGTTCCATAGAAAACAGACGGAAATCAAAAACAATTCTAAACATTCAAAACATTTCTACCCTATCTAGTTCGATAGTGACTTTGTCATACACGCATGCGCACCACTGATTACTTGCACCCATTGGATAAACACTCAAGTTGTGTTAACTTCCGGTTCCAATGGTTCCAATGCTACTCAATGTGCAGTGGGCGTGGTTTGACGAACCGGATAATAGACCAATCCAGTAAGCCCCGCCCACTACGTACATGGGCAACCAACACGTGCACCTCTCCAATGCCACACTGAATGGTTCCAATGCTACTTAATGTGCAGTGGGCATGGTTTGACGAACCGGATAATAGACCAATGCAGTAAGCCCCGCCCACTACGTACATGGGCAACCAACACGTGCACCTCTCCAATGCCACACTGAATGGTTCCAATGCTACTTAATGTGCAGTGGGCATGGTTTGACGAACCGGATAATAGACCAATCCAGTAAGCCCCGCCCACTACGCACATGGGCAACCAACACGTGCACCTCTCCAATGCCACACTGAATGGTTCCAATGCTACTTAATGTGCAGTGGGCGTGGTTTGACAAACCGGATAATAGACCAATGCAGTAAGCCCCGCCCACTACGCACATTGGCAACCAACATGTGCACCTCTCCAAAGACACACTAGCATGTTCCAGCCGCGCTGGTCACACATGTGTGCACACACATCTGACTTTTGTGCATGCATGTCGGACTTTTGCGTACGCATGTCAGACTTGAATCACTTCAGTCACAGTCGTGTGATGGTCAACACACCATTGGCCAGGTCCTAGTGGATAAATCTATTGTCAAAAAAAACACCTCCATTACCATGGAAATCGACTCATGTTTGAACAGTTATTTACGGAAGGTTCTGGCAATCTACAACACCAGCTGCACTTACCATACAGAAATCACACTTTCCACAGTCACTGACAAGCTGGCAAGGCCCACACTGACCGCATCGTCTTGCATGCCTCTAATGAAAGAAAACAGGATGAAAAAAAGATCAAAAGAGTTGTTAAATGGACAAATACTGATGATAAGAATATTTCTAGTTTACCTGGATAGCCCCAATCAGTTGAATTAGAACTGTTATCCCTGACTGAATAGCAAATAAGGATATTAGTTCAGCAGTTTTTGGATATGGTCACAACATGGCCTTCTGACCATAACCCTCCAGGGTGTTTTGGCTAGAAACCCTGCCAAACGCAGCAACATGCAACACTTGTCTAAGTGACAAGCCTCCTCAGTGTAGCAAAAGATCCATCAGGTCAAAAGTCTCAAGGCCAAACTGTCTCAGAGCCTGTGGTCACCGAATGCAGCAGGATACAACTGTGGCATTGTTCAATGGAACTAGCTCTCATTGTCTCGGAAGTGGCCGATTATCGCTGGCGTTGTTAGCTAAATACATCAGAGCACCAGATTTTTCCACCTGATGCACTGTGTTGCGTCTGGCATGGTTAGGGTGAATACACCTCATTCACATTTATAAGCCAAACTCGCTACTTTCCTTGGTCAATGTTCAAACACGCCGGCTTGGTAAAATCAGCATTCCCCACACGCTTGCACATGCCACGCAAGTACTACCGGGGAAGTACTACCGGTGAAGTACTATCCAAGTTTAGCTTCTTCACAATGCAGAGTAATAGCCACTGTCAGGTTGCTGGTTGTACTACTCTACTTAAAGATGAATCCCCTATAGATTATTTTTTTTTTATTCAATTGCTATTTTCCTAGCAATAGAAAAGTTATTCACTTTTAAAGGAGACATTGAACAAAAGCATCCACTGACATTTACATGTAGTTATTGAATTATTTGTTCACAAAATTTGGCACTCGCAAGTCAATGATTCGGCACTCACAAACAGGTTATTTGTACACAAAATAAAAGCCCCCTTTTTTTCAGAGGGTTGCAGACGCCCAAAATTACAATGAAGTGTTTTCTTGTTAAAACAGAACATAGGCCTACCAACTGAACACTTGCTACGAGAAAATATTCATTCTTGAAGAGCATGGGGTATGCATCTTTAAAGACAGACAAATTACCACACGCATTCCAATGAGGAGATTTTCAACTTTGAGAGATAATTGCGGTTAAAGTGTCTTTCCGGCACATGAGTTGAACGCTGTAACCACTGGACCACAGTGCTCCACCTACGTGTTATGGCTTGCATTGAGAGCAAAATCCACAAAAACTTGTTGGGTATTTCTGAATGGCCAATGGTCAGTATGATTGTCCCTACACTTCAGGAGCCAAAGGGAACGCTGACTGAGTCACTGACTGACTAAGTCACTCCCCGACTGACTCCCAGAGTCACTGACCGAGTCACTAACCCACTAACTGAGTCAATGACTGACTGACTCCCCCACTGACCGATTGACTGAGTTACTGACTGAGTCACTGACTGACTCCCCGAGTCACTCCCCGACTGACCAAGTTACTGACTAAATGACCGAGTCACTGACTGACTCCCCGAATCACTGCCCGAATCAATGACTGACTGAGTCACTCCCCGTCTGACCCAGTCACTCCTCGACTCCCCTACTAAACTGACTGAGTCACCGTCTGACTGACTGACTCCCCGACTCCCCAAGTCACTGTCTGACTGAGTCATTGACTGACTGAGTCACTGAGTTTCACTAATATCATTGACAGACACTTTGGGTCAGCACGAACATGCAAACCTAGAGTTATTTTAATGAAAAAACAAATTGCTTAAAAAGAGTTTCATCTCACCGCTGCTGCCCCTGTAGCCTTGCGAGCCTCTCGGTCTGAGGAGGAGCTGGTCACTGCTGATGCCCCTGAAGCCTTGAGGGCCTCTCGTTTTGAGGAGGAGCTGCTCGATGTCTTACTTTTCTCCTTCTTCTTCTTTTTCTTCATCTTCTTCTGTTTTTCTTTCCTCTTTCGGCGTTGATATTCCTTGGATATCTTCGTCTTCTTTCTCTTCTTGCTGTTCTTGAGCATCTCCCCGGATGCCTTCTCTGTGTCCTCCTTGTCTCGGTCTGGCTCCTTCTCCTTCTTAGCCAGGTCCTTGCTGTCTCTCTTCTCTTTGTACACAGTCTTGGCGTCTGGATTGGCCTCTATAAAATCAGCAAAAACACACAAACTAATTCTGGTAACCAGAGACAAGCATCTGATTTTTCAAACAATTATGCAACAGTAAACTCCACTTCCACTACTTTGTATTGCATAAGTTGTGTTACAAGTTATGACACATTTTTTTTTTAAAGTGACTTGCAAAAGTCTGTGACAGTGTGACTTGCAATCAAAAGTTAATGTATAACTTCAAAGCTTCCGTTTTCAGATGGTGTAAGTTACGACTCGACATAAATGGACCATTTCACTGACTAAGCACGATTGTCTCATGCACATCAATAAGGGAATAACAGTGTGAGGATCCGGTCTTCACTGCGTGATAATGACCGGGTGTGGGGGTGACCGCTGTTAATGGACCGAGACGAAGTCGAGGTCCATTAACAGTGGTCACCCCCACACCCGGTCATTATCACGCAGTGAAGACCGGATCCTCACACTGTTATTCCCATTAATAAATACCTTTATAACGAAATAAACAGTCAAAATGCTCCAATTTTGTGACTTTTTTCCGGCGATATTTCCAGATTTTTTTGTGTTCATGTTCATGGGCCATATTTTAGCTTAACAGCTATAACGACGTAAACTCAACAGAAACTGCTGCCGTAGTGAATTACAACAATGTTTTCATATCTTTACCTGATGGAGGAAGCTAAAATCTCGTTTACACATTCCTTGTGTCCGGAATTACAAAGATGCTTGGTTTAGGAAAGGTAAATATGTCGGTGGGTGAAGTGTTTCAAAGAAAATAAATCGTAGATCTACGCTTTCGTCCCAAACATCCTCAGTATATACTGCACTGCTGTACGATGTCGTTTCAAAACTTCCTTACGCGCGAGCACGCACGCATCCCTAGCAACTGTGTTGCGTACGCGCGCGTCAGTCTCACGCGATGGGGGTTGAGCGCATGTGCAGTGCTCAATTGTTAAAAGCTACCGCAGGACTGTTACTATATTTTGACCAATCATTGGCTTGCATGGGGCTGAACGGGGCTTGATCAATGCTGGTTCAGGGGCCATTTATTCGCTTGATCTTTGAAGCCGGTCCATTATCACCGTTAATGACCGGCCACGTGATCGAGTCTCGACCAATCAGAAACCATCAACTCTCCAAGGTATTTATTAATGTTTAATATAGCAGTTTTGATACCAGAAAATCTGATATATTTACTCACTAGAGCATGGTGGGCATGCATATCTCTTGATGCTTCTAGAGGCATCTTTCTCTATGCCAATGCAGTCACCATGGTACCACTCTTCACAGTAGTCACAGCATCTGGAAAAGCCCAAAACAAAACAAACATCAAATACTGTCTGGTTGGAATTCCAAACCTCAAGCTCTATTGGCACAATCCAAAAGAATCCAACATTGACCCTAACCTTCACAAATCCTTCAAAATCCTCATTGCAAAAGGGAGGATTTTGCAGGATTGAGGCTATATGGCAAAAAAGTGTGCCTGATTTTGGAGGATGCACTGTGTCAAGGTCTTGGGCCCGATCTTGTGTTGTTTATGCTCAGCCTTGCATAAATTAAGGCCTAGATTATACTTGAAATCCTCTGCACTGCTCCAGGATGTCACTGGCTCTGACTCAACATATTGACAGTGATTGATGGAGGATTTTGCCAGGTTCAGGCAGTGGTCACCCCTCCAAGGACAACATTCAAGAAGGAACGGAGGATTTTGCAGGATTGAGGCTGTATGTAATTGTTATATGGAGGCAGCTTGAGGACTTTGCAGGATGGAGGCTGCATCCTAGCAACAATGCCTTGGGACTTCTAGGGCTAAAGCTGACAACTGTTAACTCAAAGACCGCCGAACACAAGGTCTGATCACTGATTAGACCAAAATTTGCAGGATTACCAGCTAAGCGACCTTGGTACCTGTTCATTTTGCCCACAACCTACCTTATAAGGTATAGCACAATCCAACCAGGGGTGTTCAAGGATTTCAAGGCTTAACCCCAAGTCCCTAAGCTCCAGGGTTAGTTGGCATGATATCACATAATCGGATTTCAATGTTCTTACGAGTTCAATGGCCTATTAACTCACTGAAATCCTCCGTTGTTACCCTGTATTGTGGATTGGCAATGCCAAGGCCCTGACTAGTTGGAGTAAAGAGGTTGTGCAGTGTGCAACAATGGCATATGCTGGATGCCTGCCGATGTAACCATAAAGCAAGCAACAGCCAGAATTCTCCGAAATCCTTTTTTTTTGGGGCACAACCAGCCAAAGCCTCAGTCCTACAAATTCATCCAGCATCAGAATGGGCCATGTGCCATTATCCTCTGGAGGCTAAACCCTTCAGTGCTCCAATTTTCAAAGGCCTTCAATCCTTCAAAATCCTCCATTTTGTAAAGAGGATTTTGGAGGATTTGGGAAGGTTAGGTTAAGGTGCAACTGAAGTCTTTACATTAAGAATATGCCATGGGGATCCACAACAGTTTTTGATTGCGTAGGCATGGCGGTTACGGGCAAGGCTTTCTCCTGTGATAAAATACTCACATCATAAATCGCGTCCCATCGGTTGACCGGCATATGCAGTAGTGCACAGGCTCCTCGGCTTCATCCCCAGTGGTCTCCTTGTCCTTGTCTTTATCTTTGCCGGTCTTCTTCATCATGCTGAGGAGGGTCGCGACCTTTGCCTGCCTCTCCGGCAGGTAATGGAAGGATCTGGCAATCTCATCTTGCTGTAAAACACAAAGGATAAAAGTACACTTGTGTTTTTACCATCAACAAGCTTTAGGGAGAGTACTAGGGGTGTGCATTTACGGGTAGTACGTGACCGGGACGACTTGACTTTTCCAGCTGGACGCACAACGGTCGGGTTGGTTCAACGGTAGAGTTGGTAAAAGGAAGAGTTGGTTGAGTTGAGTTGACAGGATACCCTGACGATATGGGGTTTGTGTAGTTGAGGACACCTCCATCTCATTTGTAAACACGAGTGCATTTCGAACGATGATAGGGAGTCGGGAACTAGGGCAGCTTTTATGAGCGGAAACCCGTTCAAGCTAGTTCCTGATACCCTATCATCGTTCGAAATGCACTTGTGTTTACAAACGTGATCCAGTCTACTCATTATCATAACCGATGCATCTTAATCATCGATCTCTACTTGTACCTCAGGTGGCGTAACTATTTGAAGGCAGTTTTGAGGGTGAAATCTGATGTTTATGTTGGGCAATGTTGAAAAAGGCAGCACTTTCTGATTAGCCTAGAGGGTGAGTATTACTCCTGGGACTATGATGCTCTGCGTGAGCGGAGCCTCATAGATACAAAACCCCGCAAAATTGTTTGCAGCACAAAACACCAACTAAGAGCATTCTCGTTGTCTTGCTTTCCTCGACAACGCACCAGACGAAAATTGAACTCACTTGCGGCGCCTGAAAGCGGTGTGGTACCCACATACATCGCGCGCGCAGATTTTTTTTGATGTCATCACGTGATGCATACATTTACATAATTAGCAAAACAAAATGGACGACAGCCGTTGGAACTGGCGTTTTTTTACGGACAAGCCACCGAAATCGTCAAGATTTTTCACATTTTTTTGTGTGGTCTGTTTCAAGTCGATCATTAGGCTTCGTAAATGACTGTTGAATGTATGAGGTATGTAAATGAACTCTGGGGTGGGATATTAGCATGGTGAAAATGAACAATTTTTGAGAGGCCTTTTTTTTAGGGTCTCTTGCTACCACATTCTAACGAACAGGTTATGCCTCCAGCGTTACATGTGAATGAATATGGAGCATGTCAGCTGAGCTGGAGTTACTCAAGCTACTGACTGATAGATAATTAGAAATTATGGAAAGGAGAGACTAGAGGAGGGAAAGTGGAGGAATAACCATAAAAGATGTAACTTTTGGCGCTAGAAAATTAATTGAAAAAAGTGGCGATCGAGTATGGAATTTTTTCCTCAAAATTTGACAAAGTTCTATTCCTACATGTTTTTGTATATTCCTCGAGTCACCATAATTGACGCAGATAACGCTTGCAACGCGCACGTTGTCCAACGCAAATTGAATGCGAGTGCGTCAAAACATATCCTCATCGTTTTAGGTGGACTGATGATACATGGCGGAAGTGTGGCCTTTATTTACGAAGGTAGTCAAGTAATGGGGCTACCCTCATGCGAGTTGGCATGGTCCCAAGTTTGGGTCCGAGTTGGCTCAAAACTAGCCCCACTAGTGTGGCCGCGGTATGCTGCGCTGAACCTCTGGCCACACACCGTGGTACCGCGCACTACTGAGGGCGTTTTCATAAAAATTACAGGCAGTTTCTTACATATGGTTGTATTCTATGATGTCCCATCTATCACTTCTGGGATGCTTAGGTGTAATGATGTTCAATTTTCCAAGATATTCTTGAATCTTTCTGGAGCCCATATGCACTCTTGAAATGTCTGGTGATGGCAGCCATTTTGAATGTGACAAGAGATGACCTCAAGCTGTGACGTCGCGTTTATGCAAATGGCTTGTCGAGCGAGGGCGCGAGTTGCAAATGCGATGCCTGTTTCCTGTACCATGCATTTATCGTCTGGGGGCCACGTGCACTGATCTCTATTCAGGATCCACGGCACAGGAAACAGCCGTCGCATTTGCAACTTGCGCCCTCGCTCGACAAGCAATTTGCATAAACGCGACGTCACAGCTTGAGGTCAGCTCTCGTCACATTCAAAATGGCTGCCATCACCAGACGTTTCACGAGTGCATATGGGCTCCAGAAAAATTCAAGAATATCTCGGAAAATTGAACATCATGATTACACCTAAGCATCCCAGAAGTGATAGATGGGACATCGTAGAATACAACCATATGTAGCTTGAGTAACTCCAGCTGACATGCTCCATATTCATTCACATGTAACGTTACATGTGAATGAATATGGAGCATGTCAGCTGGAGTTACTCAAGCTAAACCATATGTAAGAAACTGCCTGTAAATTTTATGAAAACGCCCTCAGTAGTGCGCGGTACCACGGTGTGTGGCCAGAGGTTCAGCGCAGCATACCGCGGCCACACTAGTGGGCGGTCATACTAAACAGCGTCAACACAGCGTCAACACACTCCAAAGCGTCAACACAGCGTCAACACAGCGTCAACACATCCGAAATGCATTAAAATTGACAAAAGCAGTATGTAACCCATACAGTATGGACAGAAACAAGATTTGTGCTTAAAATCAATAGGTTAAACGTCTAAAAATCGCGATTTTTAGTTCAAGAAAATTGGCTCTCCGTGCCGCTCCGAAATCGGCTGCCGAACACCCGCCATGTTGCTTTGTGCGAAGTCAAGATGGCGGACAATGGCCGTGCAAGTTAAGGTCATTTTTTTCGCGTGAAAATACGATATTTTTAACAACGAAATGGAAACTCAATCCAATGGAAATTCTCTTTTATTGTATGTTTCACAATTATATGCCCTTTTTGTCAATTCAGAATGTGTTTTGGATGTGTTGACGGTGTGTTGACGCTTCTGTCATGTGTTGACGCTGTGTTGACGCTGTGTTGACGCTGTTTAGTGCGACCCCTAGTGGGGCTAGCTCAAAACTCTCAGGACGACAGGCATGACAGGTAGTGTCGGAAATACAGTCGTTTCGTATCAAATCGTGTGGCGTGCATTAAACATTAAATGTAAACAAGAAACGTTAGACATGTTCGAGGACAAAACGACCCTCAATCGAGGCTACATAAGTATACGTACCGAAGAGCTGGTTCCTTCACTCTCTGACATGTTTTCGAGTTAAAAAAAAATCACTACCTAGCACAAAAATAACAGGATTGACACACGCAAAATTGATTGAGATTGAACGAACTTTTGCTTTGCGAGTGACGTCATGATTTTGTGCAGGGTAGTTAATTAACATAAAAGTTGAAGGGGAAAAAATGTTCACTTTTAACTGAACAGATAAGCAAAATACATGCTAATACAACATGTATTAAATATCATTCATTCTAATTGATTTTATTCCCTAATTTTATAGAATTTTAATATTATTGCAGTAGCTTGTATTTTTTTTTTAAAAGTGTTACTAATGTTGAGGCCTAAACATGTTCAAGATGGCTGCGCCCTGTGTGACAAAAATTCATCAGCGACTAAGGGTCCTACTAAAGCGCGTCAACAAGCGTCAAAAAGCGTCAACAAGCGTCAACAAGTTTTAGTAGTCGTTAAGTGCGCGTCAACAAATTTTGTATAGGCCTTTGAACAATAAAAACAGCTTTATATGGTAGAAACAGCAATAATGAACATCTTCTGCATATCAATTAAAGTTAAAATTATTTTAAAACTTGGTGTTTTGAACGCGAAATGTACGACGAATTTGTCGATAGAAGTAGGCCGCCATCTTGTTTGGATGGCGCTAGCTGTAGACTTCGCGCATGCGTAGTATGGCTCTTTACACTTCACGCATGCGTAGTACGGCTAGCTACACATAAACAAGATGGCGGCCAACTTTTATCGACAAATTCGTCGTACATTTCGCGTTCAAAAAACCAAGTTTTAAAATAATTTTAACTTTAATTGATATGCAGAAGATGTTCATTATTGCTGTTTCTACCATATAAAGCTGTTTTTATTGTTCAAAAGCCTATACAAAATTTGTTGACGCGCACTTAACGACTACTAAAACTTGTTGACGCTTGTTGACGCTTGTTGACGCGCTTTAGTAGGACCGGCGACTAAACATAATGGCCTATGCCGCCGCGCCCAAGGCTAGGGCTTGCGACTAACCCAAGCCCTGGCCGCGCTGCGATCGACGCTGATTTTTCGCTCGTACCCCCCGCCCTGCTGTTTGCAGGGCGGGGGTACGAGCGAACGCTGATTTGAATTTCCAGTCATGTGGTTGCTAGGGCAAAGCTTCTGGTGTTGTTAGGCAAAGCTAATGCGATTACGTACTTACACGCTATGGGGTCGCATTATTTTCAAGGAATTTCTATGAAAAATAAAATTTTGACAGAGCTAGTGTTTTACCCCCCCCCCCCCCCCCCCCCCCGGATATGGACCCGCGCCTGTACACAATGACCGGGCAGCAATGGTGTGACGTCGTTGTTATTTTCTTATGACTATACATAATCCATTGACGATGTGCACTGCAAATAAAAACACTGCGGCCGGCGGGCCTAGCCTCGTGCCGTTTATTGTAAACAATGGTGACAGCCGGTATCGAATGATCATGAAGCTGCACTTTTGTTTACAACCACATTGCCACGATCAATAAAAAGAAGCCAGGAAAGGAAAGTTTTTATATCCCAAGAGGCAATTTCAGAATGTCAATGATCTTCAGAAATGTAAAGTTTATATCCAAAATGGCTTACCAAGAGGCAACTCAGAATGATCTTCAGAAAATGAAAGATTCTGCAAGAAGAGGCTAACCATTACTTTACTAAGCCAGTGAAAAAAACAAATTCAAGGATGCTACCAAGGAGACCATGGAGAAAAATGTACCTTATAAATTCAAGAAAGAAAGATCCTTAAAGATCGGGAAGCGCCCCGACAATTTTGGACATGTTCGTAACTCAGTATTCGTAACTCATTCTGGATAATCTTACAGCATTCTTACAAGTTTCTTAGCGTTATTTTCTTGACGTTAAATGGTCCAGAATCATATGCCGAATCATTACGAATATGTCAAAAAATATTGTACATTTATTATAAAGAATAACTTACAAATACACTAAATAGGCATAATTCTGGGTCATTCTGGATGATTCTTGAGTTATTCGTATATTATTCTTGACAAAATCGCCAATTCGGTTATTATTCTGCACTAAATCGCAATAGTTCGGCTTGATTCGGTCTGATTCGGCTTCCAATTCGTACCTAGTTCCTGACATTTTGTTTTTCATTCTTAAGTTATTCTTACAAAAAAAATCAGGGTATTTGTGGCAATAACTCGGGAATGTGTGAGCCTAGCATTATAGAAGAGAAGAGCAACTTGGATCCAAACTTGGGTAAAGACTGGAAAACGGAGGACCTAAAAGGGACCTAAATAAAACAGTTCAAGATGGACAACTAAAAGCAACACAGGGGTGATTATCTTGTGAAAAGTTCTTCACACCAACAGGATGATCTTTGGCGCAGGTTGCGGAGGGACTTGTGGTGAAGCAAAATGGTGGACACGAACACAGAGGAGACACCAACTGAGGAAGTGAAGATCCAGTCGTTTCACCCCCGATCTTGGATACATGTACATGTACTTGTATAGGAAATGTTTTGTTGTAGTCGAGGTTATAGCCATTAACAATGGCTTATTATTCAAGCTGCTATTGGCATCTCAAAAACTGAATGAAAAAAATGTATAGGCTGACTGGAAAAGATGTTTATATTACCGTAAAACTCCCAAGGACAATGCTCACTCAAATATTAAATCTTTGGTTCATGTGTTAGGTAAGCTTGATAAAACAAGCTGTTACTTTGTGTCATTTTGTAATTTTCGTGTTACAAAATGTAAATGTATATATGCTTTATCAATTTTTTCAGTTTATAGTTCAAGTGAGAACACTTCAGTTAGTGGTGGAAATTGTCATCTTTACATGTACATGTACTGTAAATTTCGAAATGTACCTCTCGTAATACCTAAAATGCATGTATGATTCCTTGGCAAATGCACAATTTGCGCATACAAATGTACATTTTGAAGACTAACATTATTTTTACATTCGTCTGTAAGGCCAAACAAAAAATTTACTCGGTCTCTGGTCTATGTGCGCGCGTCGATTTTAATCATGCGCGTCAACCTTTTTTTTTTCTTCTTCAAATTAACACGGAAGCTACAACTGAACAGCGCCCTCTATTGCCGCACCTCCTCAAATATTTGTACCAAGGAGCACCAAGGAATGGGGAAATTGCACCAAGGCAAATGATAGAGGGCACAAAGGCAAATGAAGGACATAAAAAAACAAAATAGTACCCACCTTGTCTGTGCAATTGAAGCTTGAAAAAAAAAAAAAAAAAAAAACCGCGTCGCCGCATCAATTCTGGAACTTCGGTCTGACCAGAGACCGATTTTTTTTTTTGGCCTTAAAAATCGTTTGTTATTAAACAGAGGGAAATACTTTCTTGTTTAGATTACAAAATAATGTGTCCGCCCATCTGTTTTATGTACAGGTACTATATTACGTAGCGCCCTACAGTGTGACCCAAAAAGTGCAATCCCAAAACATTTGCCTTAAAAAAAGGGATTGGTGGATTTTTATGTTTTGGATATCAGATTGAAGACGAGAGCATTTTCTTTCAAATACTGAAAAAAAATCATAAAAATAGCACTTGGGGTTGCTGAGAAAATGCCAATGATGTAAAAGTAGTCATTCCTGTACACAGGTACTCCAAACAGTGAAACATGTTTGTTACTGTATTAAAGCCTACTGTGCAATTATCCTTCATTTGTGCAATTTCTTTAATAATTATTTTGATAAACATGTATTTATGATGCTGAAAAGGTTTCAATAGGACTAAAAAAGGATTTTTGAGGTGGAAAATAAAAGGTATCCCATTAAGGGATTTTTCCAAAATCCCTTACTTACTGTGGTATTTTTTTTCTGTGCAGTATGACTACTTTTACATAATTGGTATTTTCTAAGCAACCTAAAGTGCTATTTTCATGATTTTTTCAGTATTTGAAAGAAAAATCTCTCAGCTTTAATCTGATACTCAAAATTTAAAAATCCACCTATCCTTGTTTTAAAGGCAAATGTTTAAGGGTTCCATTTTTGGGGTATGTGTTTTGTTTGTTTCTCATTTATGATGGTTTGTATTGGATCTTTGTTGGAAATCTGTACGAGTTTGGGTGTTTTGCCCCCCAAAACACAACTTCTGTTGTGTAGATTTTCAAAGCTATATGGCAAGAAACTGGCCTGCACTCCCACTCTAAATTTTTTTGTTATTAGATAGACAAACTGCAGCTTTGCGTAAATAAATGGTATATCCTCAATGGTATATGAAGGAGCAATACATTTTCTGCAATTATTAAAGTTGATGGAAAAAGTGTCGTGTATCGTTTCTGCTTCTGCTTGTTGTAATGAATGTTGTATACCGTACACAACGCCGTCGGACTCGGTAAAGTGCCAGCAGGATAGTAGTACTGTTCGGTTCCTGAAATTCTAACGGAATGAAATATTGTCATTTACTCATCCAAAAAAATAATAAAACCATCCCCGATCCCCAATGATAAAAAAGAAAACGGATACAGAAACGAAAACAGTACTCAGTAGTAAGTAGCAGACATGGAATTTCCAATCTCTTTTTTGAAAATGTGGTGGCTCTGAAAAGAGCCGATTGGTTTGATTGTCGATCAGTACACTGTCTATTTGGAGGTGGTGTACTTGGTGACGGCCTTGGTGCCTTCGCTGACGGCGTGCTTGGCCAGCTCACCGGGCAGGAGGAGACGGACGGCGGTCTGCACCTCACGGCTGGTGATGGTGGACTTCTTGTTGTAGTGAGCCAGGCGGGAAGCCTCGGCGGCAATACGCTCGAAGATGTCATTGACGAAGCTGTTCATGATGCTCATGGCCTTGCTTGAGATGCCGGTGTCGGGGTGCACCTGCTTCATCACCTTGTAGATGTAGATGCCATAGCTCTCCTTTCTCTTGCGCTTCCTCTTCTTGTTGGTGCTTGGCGCACCCTTGGCTTTGCCGGCCTTCTTCTGACCTTTTCCGCTTGGCTTGGGAGGCATGATGAGTTTCTGAATTCTAGCAAACTGCAAGAAAATCGAATATCGTTACAAGAGTGCCTTCAGTATTTATACCTCCGTGTATGCAAATTTGGATTCTAGACTGTACCACCTGCAATGCCCGCTAAAATTTGCCGCGCACAATTACGTGTGTTGATTGGCTACGTGTTGCACACGGAACTAAAATTTCCCCAATCGCCGACCTTCGAAGAGTGTTTGCGGACGTTGAATGAATCGTTTTCTGCAACAGGTGGAGCGATCAATTACCGGGTAGTCTTGGCACAAGACGTCAGTGACGATAGTGATTTTTAGGAAGGCGCGAATTTTTCAAGGCTGGATAGCTCAGTTTGTCCATAGGCAAACCTTTTCACGAGTACGAGTATTTTGCCATACAAGTACGAGTAATTTTCCCGTACACATATTCCCTTGTACTTTTTGTACTTTTCACACATTAAAGAAAAACGAGAATTCCCTCAGTCTTATTAAACTATTTTCCAATTGGACAACTCAATTTAAATTTATGAAACCATGAAACTGGAACAAGTGGAGCCATGGAACAGTTTGATATGTGGTTTTACTTGAAGACAACTGGAGCCACGGATTTGATAGCAAATGTTTCAGGACAGGAGTGAGATAAGATGTAAAAAAATATGGTTTAATAATGCTTGGTGCTTAAACCATGGAGCTATTTTTATAGCTCCATGCTAAAACTTGCTCTCTAATAGTTTATGATTTCAATGAGACCTAACAATTCATTAAATCATTGTTAATTTATCTTGTAGGATAGGAGTTAATCACTGTAGGCATATTACACTGTATTTTTAGGAGACGTATCCTAATGGTTGGGGTCACAAAGAGAGACAGAATAAGGAACGAAGATCTTAGAAGAAAGACAGGGGTACAAGACATAATAGTTGAGATCAAAAAGAAAAAGTGGAGTTGGGCAGGACATGTCATGAGAAGAGACAACCACAGATGGACCCTGAAAGTAACGGATTGGACGCCATTATCATTGAAGAGGCGAAGAGGAAGACAGCCTAAGAGATGGCGAGATGAAATCTCTGATTTCATAGGGAAGAAATGGAAACAACTGGCAAGGGATCGAAAAGCATGGAAAGTTAGTGGAGAGGCCTTCATCCAGCAGTGGATTGAATTAGGCTAATGATGAATGAATGATGAATCCAAGTACTTTTCCATGAGTACGAGTACACTGGGGAATTTTTGTTTGCGATTATGAGTACGAATATACGAGTACGGAAAAAAACTACTCGAGTATGATTACGAGTACTACAACACTGATTGGTAAGAGCACCGGAAATCCAGAGGTTTTTTGCAGTCAATTTCCCTGTGTTCCCATTTGAAAAAAAAAACTGACGATGAATTTAGGTATTGTTAATTGTAGATAGAGCGCTGTTTGAGGGCGTACTGCACGAGCCACTATCGATCACTAGCGTCTGAAGCCAAGACTATGTACATTTTTTTGTTGTACGGGGCAGTGTTATGATTGGTTGAATGGAATCCATCAGAAACGTATAAATACTCGTACTGAAGGCGCAAAATTCAATTTTCTTTGAAAGAATCATCGAAGAACAATCATCAACATGTCTGGACGTGGAAAGGGAGGAAAGGCGCGCGCCAAGGGAAAGAGTCGATCATCCAGAGCTGGTCTGCAGTTCCCAGTGGGCCGTGTTCATCGTTTCCTGCGCAAGGGCAACTATGCCGCGCGTGTGGGAGCCGGTGCCCCGGTCTACCTGGCCGCCGTCATGGAGTACTTGGCCGCTGAGATCCTCGAGTTGGCCGGCAACGCTGCCCGCGACAACAAGAAGACAAGAATCAACCCCCGTCACTTGCAGTTGGCCATCCGCAACGACGAAGAGTTGAACAAGCTTCTCAGCGGTGTCACCATCGCCCAGGGTGGTGTACTGCCCAACATCCAGGCCGTTCTGCTGCCCAAGAAGACCGCCAAGGCTGCCAAATAGACGCTGAATCATCGGCTCAACAAAAACAACCGGCTCTTTTCAGAGCCACCACAACTTCAAAAAAGAGATTGAATTCATGTCTGTTTATCAATGCCGCATTTTTTTTCTAATAAAAAAAATAAAAGGCCTACATTACGTCCGCCTAGAATCCCCAGCTCAACAAAAAACAACCACCCCCACAACTTCAAAAAAGAGATTGAATTCATGTCCGTCTGTTTTCAGTACCGCATTTTTTTCTAATAATAAATACAATCATAGTCATGATTATTGATAGTCCCGCCTAGACACATTGTTATGATGAAGATCCGCGTGTGAAGCCCCATACCATACTTGCTCCATCATGTTCATGTACTTGTACTGATGTTAGGCCTACCAAAAGAAGTACCAGAATCTCAGGATTTTGTTTTGGAGATATTCTGAATTAGGGGCCGGGAGTCCAGTACATGTACAACTAGAGGGGGGGGGGGGGGGGGAGGTTCCCCGACACAGAGTGGTTCTGGTTGATTTGCCCCACTTTTTTAAACGATTAATTCTAGCCAGCACAACTTCAAAAAAAAAGAGGTAGAATTAACCGTCTGCAGGCCTACTGTGTAGTGTCCCTTCCTATTTAACTTAAATCAATCTTTCCCTATATATGCATTTGTTAGCATGGACATTTGCCCCCCCCCCCCCCATTAAATTAACTATGACTTCGCGCCTCTTTTTTTTTTTTTTTAAGGGGGGGGGGGGGAGCAAGTGCCCTCCTCCCCCAATAAAATGACTTTACTACACCTCTGCCAGGGGTCAAATTTCAGGCTCAATATACCCTTGAGAGCGGAAACACAATTATCCCGGTACATACAGTTATTTCGTTTTACCGTTTTGGATTTCCTCAAAAACAAAAACATTAAATTGTATGAAGTCACAAAAAAACAATAAGTTTCTTCTTCTTTTTTAAATTAAATTGTAAAAAGCGCTAAATGGTTAGCTGCTTGTCGACCATTTTTGGATTCAGGTTTGGCAATTAGGCCAAGTAAAAAAAAAAAGGTTTACAGTCCAGCCTTTTTGAATAAAAGGACGAAGGCCATTTTGGGGTTTTTTTTAAATTGCTACCCGACCCATTTTCCAAAACTACCAGCCGCGCTATTATTCGAAGTTGGCTGCCAGCTTTTTTTTTAAATGGCTGCCACTTGGACTCAGGAAATGACATATTAGCTTTATATGGGCTAGATGGCAAAGAGGCAAAAATGATGTCACTGTTTAAAATTTATAATTTTTTTTCAGGTTTTTTTTTTCAATTTAAAAAAAAAGGAGGTGGCCTCCAAAGGGAAGCGGGCGGGGACGCTAAAAAAATTTTTATTTGGCCTTAAGCAATGCACCTTGAAATGTTGATGTGTCTTTGGGATCAACTCACCACCTGGGAAATTGACCTCCTTACATTTATGCCATTCTCACGACAGAACTTGTGAACATTGGCCGAACTCGAATTTCCTTCAACATATCTGCAACTTCTTCATATGTCTAACCATCCCGTAGGCCCCTATCCATTGTGAAATGTCCTCCTTGAAATTTCCGGCGCCATTTTTGCTTGCAACTCTTTAAGCCCCACCAACTGAATCGCATGAGATGGTGGTCAGTGGTCAGTATCACGCCAGGTATCACACAGGACATGTACGTTATTGACGAGAACGAGACATGTATAGAATGCAGTATGGCTGTTCCTGGACAGTGTAGTGACTTGTCTGCAAGTCTACATGGACAGGCTTCGCGCGCAGTGCATGTGCTCGAACATGGAGTGACTGTCGTGCGTGTTGGCCAGTTAACGATGTTAAACAAGTTTAAGCCAAATTATCTCTTTTTATTCTTTGGAAATCCATTGGAATATCAATTTTTTTTCCTGATAAATACGCCCGAATTTTGGGCCCACTCAAACAAAAATTATTGTAAAAAAATAGTGATCGACTGTTATTTGCAAATGAGTATGGTACGGTTGATGGCAAAGCCAAATTAAATCGCGTGATGCTGCCTCTTTATCGTGATTGCCGAGGCTGTTCAAAATAGTAAACCTGGTTTGTATTAACAAGGCAAAGTCCTCGGAAGTTCCCCCATAGAGAAGTAAGCCAAAAATACGTTAGAGAAGACTTTTTTTAAAGTCACAAATCATCGTTTTACTCAGGTTTCAGGTTTCATAAACGTGTCTGCTTTATAGATGAACAGCAATAAACCACTCAAATGTCATCTTCTCATCTTCCCATCTTCCCTTTTTCAATCCGAATGAGATTTGGCTACACAATCTCACAGGGTGCCATGTGGCCTTCAAAAAGGCCTTTGTTGAGGAATAAATGCCAGGGTCACAGCTCTTTAGTGCTAGAGAACGTCTGTGTTCCTTTTCCGTGTTGCCTCGCCTTTTCGAACGAGACCAATGACTTCTTCGATGTCACAGATTGCACTGAACATGCCCTCAGTGTGTTCACTCTGAAGCGCAAAGTTTCGCAACTTGTCCAGGTATCGCGTGGCCTTTGCAATAGAGACAGCCGGGCAGGGGGGTACTGGGGGTTCATCGTCATCCTCAACATCATTAGCTTCTGCCAATACAGCATCTAAGATGGCGTCGTCATTGAGCTCCATGGTACATCGCACGTTTGCATCAACTGCGGCGTAAGATTTGAGTGTTACTTTCCTCGGAATATCCATCCCGGCATCTCTAAGTTGATCAAAGAGGTCCTTGTCTTGAGTGGCGGAGTTGATGTCAGCGTCAGGCTCAGCTGTTTCGGTGTTCTGGGCAGTGGCTTTCTTGTTATGAAAGCCAGCAAGTTTAAAGCCGTGAGAGATGGTACTTTCCTTTACCATTTTCCAGGCTTTTTGGAGGAGAAACATAGCATCCAACACGGTGGGGTTGTACTCCTCCTTTTTGTCCACTGCTGCAAGGAATGATGTGATGAGTTGGCGGCGGTAGTGTGTTTTCAGGTTTTGAATGACACCCTGTTTCATGGGCTGGAGTTTGGCTGTCGTGATAGTGGGACGGAAGACCAGATTGATACTCTTGAAATCAGTGATGCGGGGATGTGCAGGACAGATGTCGACAATTATGGCGATCTTTCGGTTTTTCTTTTGGTATAGTTTGTCGATATTATGAGCCCATGCTTCGAAGATGTCAGGCGTCATCCATGCTGTTTTGTTTGCCTCATACTGCATTGGTAGCGACTTCACGTTAGCCAAACACTGTGGCTTCTTTGACTTGCCAATGACAAGCAGGGGCAGTTTCTCGCTTCCGTCCATGTTGGCACACACCATGGCAGTCAAGCGTTCTTCACTTCCCTCACCGCCATTGCAGGTCTTCCCCTTGCATGTGAGCGAGCGGTCAGGAAGGCGGCGGTACAAAATGCCCGTCTCATCCGCATTAAATATGTCCCATGGTTCGTACCCTTCCAGGACTTGATTTAAGCCGGTTTCCGACCGATCTGTCACCATTTCTCTTACTTGGGCGGCAATGGCAAGAAAGGTGATGCTGTGTTGTATCTTGAAACAATCCCACCATCCATCATTGCATGGGTAGTCGGGACGGCCCATCTTCTTGGACAGGGCTCTTGCCTTTTCCTGAACGAGCGGCCCTGACAAGGGAATATTCATGGCACTTGCAGCCTTACACCACATCAGGACAGCCTGTTCGACCTCAGCAATCGTCGCCTTCCTCGTTCGTTTTCTTTCCTCCCAAGCGTCACATTGGTGTTGGAACTGCTCCATCAACGTTCCCTTCTTTTCCAAGATAAAAGCCAGTCTTTTTGGCGTAATTCCCCATTTCCTAGCAATATCTACCTTCCTTTTCAAAACTCTGCCAGTTCGCCTGTTCTCAAATTCTTGGATAATTTTGACCTTAGCAGCAATTGACAAGGCCTTCCTGCCGGTTGTTTCCTTCGTTTTGGTTGTTTCCTTCGCTTTGGTTGTTTCCTCTGTTGTTTTTGGTTTGGCAACTGAAGTTTCACCCCTGAAAAATATCAAAATGAAATGACGTCTTGTTTCAAAGTTTCACGCACCAAATTCTGGGTCTGATCGGAAGACAGGTGTGCAAGCTGCAACTGGGCCAGCAGTAACTAGTCAGACTGACTCACAGCCAGGCACGAGCCATCAAATTTCCAGTGGGGTGCCACGTGGCCATTGCAAAGAACCAGCGATTGCTTGTGATTGGACTGCCAGTGTACAGGCAACAGTCGGGCCAGCAGAAACTATCAGGCCAACTCTACAGCCATATTTTTTGCTGTTAGTGCCTGGTTATTGTGACTAGTCCGACAGCGCTAGCAGCGTGCACGCCATATCCTAAGTTAAAAAAACAAACTGCATCGGTCAGTAACAACTCTTGAAAAAACAAAAGATCATGGTTCGGGCATTTCCAGTTACAGGGGTATTTATATACATAATATCCTATTCTCTTGATAGGAATGAAGTATAACTTCATGATAAACAAACACTCAAGTTATCCAACTTTTAGTTATCGGGAGTTTGCCGTATTGCTCGACAGATTTAGTATGAAGAATGTGCCCATGTATTTCAGCACAGTGACAGACTAAGGGATTCAGGAGGGTTCCCAGCCAATAAAGCCTGAGGAGCTAGGTGAGGGTTAGTTTCACATTGTTGTAATCATGCCCATCACAAGTCTGGTAAAAAGTAAATCACAACTCCTTTCACAAGTCCAGTCACAAGTAACAGACGACAGAGCAATCCTTTGTCACAGTTCATAATTTGAATAGCATGGCACTTGACTGGAGGACTTGTGATGGGTTTTTTATTTTTGGTGTGGATTTGTGATCGATAAGACTGCAACACTTGTGGTTTCATGCAAGAATGGATTAACCCTAACCACCCCAACTTCATCAAAATCCATCCCCCCCCCCCCCCTCCCATTGTGGGGGACTTGGTCCCAGAAGGCCTGGTGACTAAATATTGATGGAGAATGATGAACTTGGGTCTTATGTCCTGAAGCAGTGCTAGGGGTATCCGATTGATTTTGCCTAGCTTCCTGTACTGCTCATGTGATAAACGCCACGTGTAGCAAGTCCATGCATGTCAACCAGTGCGTCAGTGGTGGATTTCATTATGTCATGTACAGTTTTGTATTAGATGCACAGTGATTGATGGATTTTGATGGAATTGGTCCAGTTCCTAGTAAAAGACGCTAGAGAGTTAGGGTTTAAAACCAAAAGCAAGAGACCAGCCTTACTTGGAAGCCCCCGTGCGTGATCGCAGAAAATGCTTGGATTTGGGTTTATCGTTGGTGGGCTTCTGCTGGGATTGCTTGCACTTGCGTTCCTCTTTGCTCGGCTGGTTCTCTGGTTCTTTCTAAAGGACAGGGCGAGGAGAAGTAACAAAAGTGTGAAATCGAGACAAATTAAATAGTGTCTCGCCCTTTAATAACCAATGTAAATTCATTGTGTAAATCCTACACATGACACAAGTTCTGCTGTTTCAGGAAATTTAACTGTTGGTGAACTTATGACTTTTGATCTGCAAATGACTTTGCTTCCTCATTATATAATTGGAATTGGTTTTAAAAAGAAAACCTAGTCTGTCCCAACCATAGAGCTATATGTTGTTCTTGCGCATCGCATTTAGAGTACACTTTAAAAATTAAATCCATCAAATTTCATTATGTTCTACAAACACGCATATGAATTCAAAATGTCTGTGCGCAGGACGGCTTCAAAGTGTCTGTGCACTTAAGAATGAGGAGTTAGCGCTGAAGTAATTTAATATAGCTCTATGGTCTCAACCCAAAATATGGCTCACCGGGCCACCGTTAACCCCTTCAGGACGCCATTCACTGAGGGCACATGCGTGTAGTACACTAACACTGTGTATATGGAAAGCCCAGTGTGATCAGCCAAGCATAACCATGAACAATGAGCGCACATACACCGAACAAAAGCCAGTCAAAAAAGCCCATCTATTTAACCACGAACAATAAGAAGTGTCACTCAATACATTTCAATTTTCATGACTGAAGAAGGTTCACTGAACTTTCCCTCTCCTAGAAAATACACCATTCAATGCAAATCTTGCAGCAACTGCAGGTGCACGATGGATGAAATGTGTACGTTCGGGAATGCGGTTCTAGCCGTCACCCGGTACACAGCCTGTGATCAAGCTGCGGCTATAGACCTTAATCATGCTGCCACTATTTCAGTCATGTTCCCTGTACCCAATAACAGTTCTGAATGTTTTTTGTGCAAAAAAAGGAACCAGACTATTATTCCTTTTTGCCTCGCCTTGGTTATGTTGATTTGAATGGGATAATATCTATATGGCCGCAACATGATAATGGTCTACTGCTGTCAGCCGGCCAGGAGGCGACATTTCTTTCCCAAACGAGATCGAACAATATCAAAAGAGGGCGCTCTTACTGCGTTATGCATATTCATGATGTCCAGGGCTTTAGAGAATAAGTTATAACACAAGGAATAATAGTATTTAAATCACCGTCGATTAACAGCTGATTCGTGGACTGGTTGGAAGTAGTCCTGACTTCTAATCAGGTGATCCGAGTTCGAATCCCAGTGAGCGTTTTGCACTTCTTCTCATTTTACCTTTTAAATAACTAAAGTTAGGAAGGAACATTTCTCACAAGACGTAAAACCTATCTTGGGATTGTGTTGTGGAGAACAAGGCATTAGATATGCATGTGATGGACCAATCAGAAGATGGGAAATGGATGCCGTTTTGGAAAAAAAGATTCGCGCCCAGGAGGGGTTAATAGCTGGTTTTGTTTGTATGGAATGACTTAGAAAACTTACATTTCTTTTGATGAGATGTAAGTCCATTGGGGCTACTCCCCTGCAAAATGCCGGCACCCATTCATGTTTCTGGGTCAAGAGAGGCCAGTGGGGATGAAGTGGCTTGCTCAAGGACACAACATACAGTCCAAAGCTAGATTTGAACCCCTCGACCCTCTGATCATGAGTCAGACACCTTAACCACTAGGCCACACCCCCCATCCATCTCAAGTGAACAGACCAAACATCAGCTTGAGACGGACTGTGAATTGAATGCCATTTTTCCATGCCAGACTCACCTGTTTCTCAATGCTCTCTGATTGTCTCTCCATGTCCTCTGCTCCTTTGTTCTCTTTCTCCTCTGTTTCAGGGTCTATCTCAGGTCTCTTGATGTAGAAAAAGTGATCCACTAAGCTGACATCAACAGCGGGAGGAGGAATCTATCAGTAAATACAAATAAAGTACATTTACTTGATCAATACAACAATCAACCACAATTTATTCTTTAAATATCCCAAACCTTACACAAACTATGGGCAAAAATGTTGAGGAAAAGCTTAACCACTTGTTGACAGGATTATTTTTTTTCCTTAGTCCGGCGCGGTGGCCATCTCAACAATGTTCAACATATTGATTGTTGGAGAATTTTGCAGGATTGAGGCAGTGGTCACCAAGGACCACATTCAAGAAATATTGAAGGATTTTGCAGGATTGAGGCTGCCTGCAATTTTTACATGGAGGCAGTTGGAGGATTTTGCAGGATTGGAGGGTTTGAACAGTCTTCTGAGGAGTTTGAGTGGTGTTATTATTAATGATTGAAATGATCCTATGTCTATAAATGCACAATTTGCACAAATATGAGTCAGAGCAGTGGACCAATAGCATTGCAGGGATGACTTACGCTGGCCAATCGGATGCATTGTTTCAACCGACACTTCTGTCTCAGTTCCTTCCGGCCACCGAACCTCTTCCTGTCCTGAAAATATAATGAACAAAAAAACATCTTAAGAAGACCGCCCTTGCCATCACAATCTCTGAAATGCACAACAATTGTCACATTTAACAAAATTGGAAAAATATTATGACATCTGATGCGACACAGCATGTTTGGATTCACAAAAAAGTTATCACTTTTCACTTAAGAAAACAGACGAAAATCTCAAACACTTCTAAACATTCAAACACTTCTGACTTATACTTGTAGACAACTATCATAGAAATCAACTCATGTCTCGACAGCATTATTAACCTGAGCACTAAGAAAGTTGGGTCAATATTTATTTTATTTATCGTTTTATTTTACCAGGGTAGCCCCATCAATTAACTTAGAACTGTTCTCCCTTGGGGCCCTGGATTATACAAAACTAGCTGCACTCACCAGACAGAAACCACACTTTCTACAGTCGTCGACAACCTTGCATGGCCCACACTGACCGCATTGCCTTGACTGCCACTGATGAAAGAAAACGGGATGACAATAAAGTTAAGGGGAACGAATACTGATGATAAGAATATTCATATATTTATTTATTTTACAATCTTAGTACAAAACTACTGCCGCTCAGCCGATACCTCAGGACCAGTAAGTTCACACTATTATCCTCCACATCTCTGGACTGCGTAATACAGAATTTGTTTAGAGCAAAATCCACAATGTTGGGTATTTCCGAATGTTGGGTATTTCCGAACGGCCAATGGTCAGTATGATTGTCCCTACACTTCAGGAGCCAAAGGGAATGCTTGATATTGCTGGAGGTTTACTATTGTAGTGAGCGTTGTAGTGGTACACTACCTTAATTCCTGAAGTGTTTAACTGGTCCGGTAGTGACAGCCGTTTGTCCTCTGACTGAGTCACTGACTGACTGAGTCAATGACTGACTGAGTGAGTCACAGATTGACAGCCTAGGTGAGTCACTGATTGGCTGAGTCAGTGATTGTCTTACTGAGTCACTGAGTCACTGATTGACTGAGTGAGTCACAGATTGACAGCCTAGGTGAGTCACTGATTGGCTGAGTCACTGATTGTCTTACTGAGTCACGGAGTCACTGATTGACTGAGTGAGTCACAGATTAACAGCCTAGGTGAGTCACTGATTGGCTGAGTCACTGATTGTCTTACTGAGTCACTGAGTCACTGATTGACTGAGTGAGTCACAGATTAACAGCCTAGGTGAGTCACTGATTGGCTGAGTCACTGATTGTCTTACTGAGTCACTGAGTCACTGATTGACTGAGCGAGTCACAGATTGACAGTCTAGGTGAGTCACTGATTGGCTGAGTCAGTGATTGGCTGACTGACCCGAGTCACTGATTAACTGATTGACATAGTCACTGACTGACTGAATGGCCGAGTCACACAGCGACTGACCGATTCTCTGAGAATCAATAATTAATATCATTAACTGAGACTTTCTGGTCCAACTTCAGTTGTTTATTAACATAAGTATGAACTTTTCAGACAACTTTTAACAACAAAAATATATACCAAAAAACTATGCTTAAAACAAGTTTCATCTCACCGCTGGGGCCTTGTAGGGTCTGATCCTCGACGCTGTCTCTGTAGCTTTGAGGGCCTCTTGTTTCGAGAAGGGGGTGTAAGTTTTCCCTTCTATCATTTTCCTCCTTGCATTTGCTTGCATCTTCAGGCGTTTTGTTGCCTGTAATTTCCACTGATTCTTTCTCTTTGTGATGTTCTGGAGCATCTCTCTCTTTTCGCTGTTCTTGAGCATCTCCACGGATGCCTCCTCTGTGTCCTCCTCGTCTTCGTCTGGCTCGTTCTCCATCTCGGCTGGGTCATTGCTCTCCTGATCTTCTGAGTACACAGTCTCAGCTTCTTGACTGGTCTGTATTAGTTCTTGGTCTGGCTCCTCCATCTCCATGTACACAGTTTCTCGATTGGTTTCTACAGGGCGAGTCAAAAAGAAAGTGACAAAATTAGAAAAAAAACACATAAAAAAATTTGGGCTATTCAACACAATAAAACAACCCAAATGAATGGAGGAGAACTTGCAAAAGAAAACACACCAAAATTGCCATTAGTATTTCAGAAAAAATAGATGACTTGTTCCACATAACTCAAAACACAAAATCTGACAGTAAAAATAATGTTTCAGTCTTGATTTAAAAATCTTTGTCTTTGAATGCTTGTGTGTAATCTGAATGGCCAAATAAAAAAAAAGCATGTTTAGTTTCCTCGCCCTTTTCCTTTTTGGCAGCCGCCTCTTTTTTTTTTTCTTTAATTGAAAAAAAAATTAAAAACCCGAAAAATTGATAAATTTTAAACAGTGACATCATACAAAGGTGATATGCCATTTCCTGAGTCCAAGTGACGGCCCTTTAAAAAAAAAAGTGGCGGCCGTGTTGAAAATTAGCCCGGCCAGTTTTTTTGGAAAATGGGTCGGGCACCCATTTTAGGAGGAAAAAAAGGGCCTCCTTCCTTTTTTTCAAAAAGGCAGGACGCTTACCATGTTTATTTTTTATTTGGCCTATTTCTCACTCAGCTCAATAGCTTCCAATGGCATTTCATGGACAGCTATTAAATGGGTTCTTTTAGTAAAAACATACATAACTTCTGATAGTATGGAACAATTTCAGTAATCCTCTTTTTTTTCAGATGAGGGGAAGAACATGCTCTTAGAACAGATACTTCATTGGAATTTTAAATTTGATTTCTTTTTTAGAAAAAAGGAATTAAAGGGGTACTAGGTCCTGAAATCCCCGAAAATTTCACGTTTTGGATTGTTTACTTATCCTATTTCAAACATATGGTTGAAAGAAAACCAACCTAATGTCTTACAGCTCCGAAAAAATACGGAAAAAAAGCCGATTGTTTACATCAGACACGACGGAGTACGAATACGCTTTTCCTGTCGTTTTCCATGTATAAATACATGTACACGTTCTGTGTATTATAACACACGTACACAGCACCGTGTTCGAGAGCACCAGTGATTCACAAAATATGGTTTCTTACACGTCTGCAAAAGGGAAAACTTTACGGATGAAATCACAACTAGCACCAAAACAGCTCAACCTTTTGGGGTCGCAAAAGTGGACCCCGAAAGTTGTTCTTGCATGCAAAATACAGGATTAACACAAAAATTTCCAGTTTTAAAAGGATAGTTGTGTGGATGTTTATATTCTACTTTTAACAGTTCGTTTTGTAGCCCTATTGTGCTGTTCCAGGACGCAGTGTCCCTTTCGGGTCACTTTCTTTTTGACTCACCCTGTATTAGCACTTGGTCTAGCTCCTCCTCCTCCTCCTCATCTTCGGCTGAGTCCTTGACTGCCTCTTCCTCTTCATACACAATCTGGTCTTCTGGCTTCATCTTTAATAGTGCTGTCCCAAATAAACCGATAAGTCAAATAGTTCATCAACCAAATATTCAAACAGCTTTTGGGGGGTTTGATGAATATCTTAAAACTAAAAACTATGCACACACATACATACGACCGTGATGTTATTTACCATAAAGTTGCAGTGCTTTTTGTCAACGTTAACTATGTTGTCGACTTTTTTGTTCCCATCCTTTTAGCAGGCTAAATCCCTTTCTGTTATAAATACTGCAAAACACTGTATCGCCACTTATCAATCGCTGCACGCAAATTTGACCGGTGAAGCATTGTAGCTGCAGCTGGCAGTTTTGAATATTCTAATATTCGGTCAAAGGCAGTTTTGATTACCCTAATACTAAATTCTTCAAAATGAACAGCACTAGTCGCTATACGTAATTCTGGTAACCAGAGACAAGTATCCAATTTAAATGTGTGCAACAGTAAACTCCACTACCACTACATTGTATTGCGTAAGTTGTTTAACTGTATGACAGGTTTTTTAAAAAGTGACTTGCAAATGGTCTTTGACATCGTTACTTGCAACCAAAAATTACCGTCTAAATTCAAAGCTTCCCTTTTTAGATGGTGCAAGTTACGACATGGACGGTTTCACTGACTGATCAAAATCGTCTTACAGCCAATCAATGCTGAACATAACAGGCTTAAAGCCAGAAAACCTGTATCTACCTGAACAAGTTTCTACTGTAAAACCTGTAAAAGTATCCACTCACAAGCGCATGGTGGGCATGCATATTTGGTGATGCGTCTATAGGCATCTCTTCCTATGCCTATGCAGTCCCTATGGTACCACTCATGACAGTAATCACAGCATCTGGAGAAAAAAAAACAAGCACCGTTTGGTTTAACTCCAAAACCTTTAAATCACTTTGCACAGTCCCAAATAATCCTAAAACAATAAGGTGTGACGCTCAATAAATTCAAAATTCCAGATTCTCGGTCGGATAACAGATTAAATAAAAAAATTCTAAATTTAAACAATAAATGAAAAACAATCGCATTGATTAATTGATCAATTGATCTTGGTTCCTAGTATCCTTCAATGTTGGCTTATATTACTTTCTAAACCTGCATTTTAAAGCAACATCCTTGAAAACCAGGGGTTCTAAAGCAATCAGATTTTTAAAGTCAAAGAAAAAAAATTGACAGAGACGGGGTTTGAACCTGCGACCTCCAGATTTCTGTTCCAGTGCTCTACAACTGGGCTATCCAGCCATATGTTGGTGGTTGAGGTTATGTATGAATCATAATTTAGTGTTGCGGGTAGCAGCTCAACAAATCATCATGTCTCTCCGTTAGTCCGTACGTTTGTTAGTACCAAATGTTGACATTGTCTGTTGTTCCTACAAGTAGATATTTTGACTGATTTCAACCAAACTGGGTTTGATTGGTTAATTCGAATGCAGTGTTTTGTAATACAACAACAGCCGAGCACATTATCGCGTAACATGATACAGAGCGCGTGACACAGGATTTTTATCCATTGTCTATGACATGCAACGGGTGAATGACCGAAGATATAAAGCGCCCGCTGATTGGACAAAATCTAGAGGTCAAAAGGCGGTTGTCTTGCCTAATTAATCAGCAAATCTGCTCACATATCCTAGACCACGGCGAATACTATTACATAGACTTAGCCCCAACATGTCACATGACCAAACTGAGGGAAAAGGTCATCCTGGGGTCCAGGTCAAAGTAATGCAAATTTCAAATAAGCTCAAATGACAAAAGTAGCGCTGTCAACATGTTGGCCTTGGTCAAACATTAAAAAATGTCGACGGTGACCTCTTCATCCTAACTACAGTTATGGGGTCAAAGATAAAAATAGGTCAAATTTTAAAGAAGTTAAAATTACAAAAGTAGCGCTGTCAACATGTTGGCCTTTGTAAACATTAAAAAATGTTCATAGTGACCTCTTCCTCTGATCTACAGTTGTGGGGTCAAGGGTAGAAATATGAGGAACACAAATTTTTTGGACCAAAGCTTCTGAGATCTGATCGTGCTTGTTTGAACAACTTGTTAATGTTTAAAAGTCATTAAAATGAAGGTAGTTTTCTACATAGGCCCTTTTGCTGACATATCTTGGTGAAAAGCTTGCGCGTAAACGCCCTTCTGCCAGGCACACGATGAACTCTTATTGTGTGTCCCTTGAACCTGCAGTTCGTTCCACACAAATGGGTAAATGAACAAAAGACAATCAACCAAGAGCAATCAATCAGTGATTGCCGTCTGACTTCTTTGCCTCAGGAGCTTCACCACCCTATCCATGTAACAGTAGACAGACCACCAGCACAAGATCATCCCTGGGTTGGCTGTGCCACTTCACTAGCAAGAACTGTCTCGGGAGTTCTAACAGGTAAGGTTTTACGTCTTTGATAAAATACTCACATCATAACTCTTGTTCTACCAATGGAACAGCATAAGCCGCAGTTTCTAGGCTCATTGCTAGTGGTCTTCTTGTCCTCACCATTCTCTTTGTCCCCCATTTTCTTCCTTTTTCGGTGGTTGTCTACCTTGGCCTTCCTCCTTTGCCTTACTTGGCCATCCACACCGGTGGTCTCTTGGTCCCTCATCATTTTCTTCATTCTGAGGAGGAATTTGACCTTGGCCTTCCTCCTTGGCCTTCCTTGGCCTTCCTCCACGCCACAGTGTCTAGTCTCCCAAGATTTATCACCGGTGGTTTCCTTGGCCTTGTCCAAGTCTTTTTGGTTGTCCCTCATTTTCATCAAATGATCATAATCCTTGGATATCTTTGGTTTCTTTCTCTTCTTGGTGTTCTTGAGCATCTCCCTGGATGCCTTCTCTGGGTCCTCCTTGTCTCCATCTGGCTCCTCTTTCTCGGCCAGGTCCTTGCCTCTCTCCTCTTTGTATACAGTCTTGGCTTCTGGATTGGCCTCTATGAAAGCAGCAAACAATAAACATATCATAAAGTATAGTAATACTGTAACCAAAGACAAGCGTCCAATTTTTAAAAATTTATGCAACAGCAAACTCCACTTCCACTACATTGCTGTGGCCTCGTGGTTAAGGGCACTGGATTCGTGGTCCGTGGGTAAAGCTGCGGGTTGTGGGTTCGAGTCCAGCCGGGGTCATGGTGCGTGTGCCCTTGAGCAAGGCACTTTGTCACTCTTGCTTCTCTCCACCCAGGAGCAAATGGGTACCTGTGAGGGCAGAGATGGTTATTGTGATTGAATAAGCTTGCTTGCGCCTGACAGGCAGCATCCAGCTGTATACTCCCCAGGGAGCTGAGATGGTATTTGGAATGTTTAATTGGCCCAATGATCAGGGGTAATAATAATACTGTAAGCACTGTGATTTAGTTTACTAATAAGAGCGTTCTTAAATGCCGATTATTATATTAATATTATTACTATTATTACTCACTCTTTAAATAACAATATTCTCCAAATTTTTATCAGACAAAAAGACAAGTTCCTAAGTATTTCACCAACCAAGTTTGAAGTCTCAATTCAATGTTTTAAAAGAGAATTTCCTTCACAATTTTCCTCTCGAGAAGGAAGTCAAGTGATATCAATTTGAGGCCAAAGAGTCCCAATTTTCGCACTAATGCAATTTTAAACAGGCATGCAACTGGGAATTTAGAGGGGAAAAACATATAACTCATTTTACATTTAACCACACAAGACTCTGTACATTTTTTTTTTATTTGGAATGGCATTCATGAGAAGTAAAAAACAAGGAAATCAGCAGAATCGAGGAAAAGTTGCTTGCCTGAATTTATGAAATAAATGGACGTTTTCACTGACTGATCATAATCATCTTACAGGCTCCATGCTCAACATAACAGAGCTAATGGAAACCGGATAAGAACTCACCAGAGCATGGTGGGCATGCATATCTCTTGATCCATTCAGTGGTTTCCTTCTCTAAGCCAATGCAGTCCCCATGGTACCACTGTTCACAGTAATCACAGCGTCTGGAAAAAAAACCAACCAAGTACTGTTGATTTAACTCTAGACCCATAAATGTGGCACATTTACTGGACTACCAAAATGTGGCCAATTTGCTGGTTCCTGGGTTCCTTACTTTAAAAACCTACCTTTTAAAGCAAGATTGTCCCAAACCGACCAGAGGTTCTCAAGCATTTTCAAGGATACTTTTCGACAGTTAAACAAACATATTGAGTGACTGAAGAGGGGTTTGAACCTTAGATTTCCGAATTTCTGTTCCCGTTCTCGGAAAGAATATGTAGTATTTCAGACGCTACTTTGTGGGTTGCGAACAAACTTTATGGAGAGTAAAGAATATTGAATTTTCTAACAAAATTGGAAATGTTGATCAGTCCCAGATTCGTGCCTTTTTAACATTTTTGCAATGACTGACCTCTATTGAGATTAGCCTTAGTCAAGGCGTTTGTCATTATTCGGTCGTCCGTACGCGGTAAATGAACAGAGGCCTATCCTCGCTATGCAGTGCATTAAAATACAGCACGAACAGCAACCTCATGCGGCCACTATTTTATGCAAATCATTTGGGTCCAGACAAACGTCTTGCTCCAATCGTCCGCGAAAGCTTATGTTTTTCTTCATTTTGCGCTAGCTTTACAGGGCACGACCTCGTATGCGAATACAGATAAGTATAGGCGGGGCTATTATGTCATCATCATGTCGCCCGCAGGCGGGATCCCATACGGCGTCTCCAATCTTCCCTACCCTTTATGCAGGCAGCCAACTCTGTTGTGGTCTCCGCCCCGGCATCTCTCCTCAGGACACCAACATAGCTCGTCCTCTGTCGTCCCCTCCGCTTCACCCCATGAGTCGGTTCCCACAGCACCAGACGGCTTGCAGGTAGCTCAGGGTGTCTGCAGCAGTGCCCTGCCATGCCCATCCGCCTGTATGCGATCTTTTGTGAGATCCGAGGTAGCATGCCGTAAGGGTGTTATTAGGCACGTGGTCTCTCCAGTCGATGTTGAGCACCATCCTCGACATTCTGGTGTAACACCCGTGGAGGGACTTCTGAAGGGTCGTGGTTAAGGTCCAGCACTCACATCCATATAGCAGGATGGACTCCACCATGGCCTGGAAGAAGCTGATCTTGACATCCCTTGACATGTTAGAGCTCCATACAGTTTTCATCCCCTGCAGAGCCTTCCAGGCAAGGGCTTTCCTAATGCTTTCCTATGTGGAGTGTCGAATCTCACCTTGCTACATCCGGACGTCATCAAATTATTTGGAACTATTCGCCTTTTGCGGCTGGTCAGAAACCACATTTTTTGTGCATTGGTGTTGTGTGTAATGTGAGACGCAGTACGCACAACGTGTGTGTATGTTATGTACAGTACATGTCAATGCTATGCAAGTTTCCACGCAACGATCGACCAATACGAAAACGACTTTAAAGGTCAGCTTAGGCTATTAACATAATGAGCACCACCCCCAAAAGCTCACATGGACGATTGGACCAAGGCGTTTGTCAGGATCCAAAGGATTTGCATAAAATAGTGGCCGCATGAGGTCGCTGTTCGTGCTGTATTTTAATCCACTGCATAACGAGGATACCGCCGATCGTTTACCGCGTACGGACGAATACAGACAAACGCCTTGACCAAGGCTATATTGAGATGAGACCGAGTTAGGATGCAATATTCCTTCTGCGCCCTCTACCAACTGAGCTATACGGCCTTATGTTGGCGGTTCCTCATTTTGTCAATGCCTCTGTTCAATGGGGCGCTAGTCAGGATTTTCAAGGACTTCAGTCTTAAGAATATGCCATTGGGATCCACACCACTTTCTCGATTTGTAAGTAGGTGCGGAGCTTACTAGCAGAAACTGAATGGGGAGTTTACGGGTAAGATTTTTCTTCTCTGATAAAATACCCACATCATCAATCTTGTCCTGTCGATGGACGAGCATATGCAGCAGTGTCTAGGCTTGTCAGCTTCATCATCAATGATCTCCTTGTCTTTGTCCTTGTCTTTCTCTTCGCCTGCCTTCATCATGCTGAGGAGGTATTGGAAGGATCTGGCAATCTCATCTTGCTGTAACAAAAAGGAATAACGCATAATTACCTTTTCACCTTTAAGAAGCTGCAGAAAGAGTATCTTACGATTGGCAGAGGATAAAATCATGCACAGAAACTGCTCAGCCAAAATGTAAACAATATCATGTTAAAACGTAACCCTCATTTTATCTAGTGCCAGTCTAGGGCCGGTCCACAGAGTTATGTATTATGTCCATGTATTCACAACAGGCAAAGACCTAAATGTTGGGGTGAAGCACACGTAGTACATTCTTCATACACAGTACAGTCCATTGACGTGACGGCTGTTGAATGTCCTACTCGGCATAAATAATCGAGGTACGGTGCCCTCTGATTGGCTGTTCTGATGCTTGATGCAATATTTTTCCCCGCATTTATGATACGGCCATAACCGGCCAGCGCCATGAACTAGACTAGTTCCAGTCCACTTCTGTTGGCACATTATTTTTTTTTAGAACAGAAGAATTTCACCAGAAGGAAGCACGGGGAAGTCCTACATGTAATTTTGGGCTATAATTTTGTTGCCCAGATATAAAGTGAACCCACATGCCAAGAATGAGCCCGAAGGATTTCCATTAAAAAAAAAATTGTTATTTTCGTGTTGCGTTTTGGCGGTGTCATCGTCATTTACCCCCAAAATTTCCCCCAAACGACATCTCACGTTTGACTGCAAAAAAAACAGTAGAAAGTCACATTTTCTTTGAAAGTGCTTTCAAAATTGCAACAATGAGTTGATCTGAAGAAAAAAGACTGCTCTAGCCTGCAAAAGTCACCGTGGTACTGGACAGTCATCTTCAAAAGTCAGTTTTGAACAGAACAAAAAAAAGTTGTCCTAAAGATAAGGTGAGCATATTGTGTATTTCTTATGTAAAGTCTATAAATTGACTCATTTGTAACCTACCAACTGTACAAAAATAGTCATAAAGTTGTAAATTTTGAAGACCCCAACTGATTTTTAGTAGATTCTGATAGAGGAAGCATGCTCTAGCAAGTTATTTTTATTTCGTTGATTTTCGGAATGATACATTATTACAAAAAATGGGTCAAAGGTCACGATAGCATATTAAAGGTCATGTAACCTACTTTTCACAAAATTTAATTTGGACAAAAGAAGTGCTTTGAGCATGCAATCCTCATTATTTTCAAAACAAATTCACGTATATTCGATGAAAATTGCCATCGTTTTGACATATTTATACCAAAAGGGTGGACCAGGTATTTTACTCTAAAAATGCCAATTTTTTTGTGGCTTCTGCCCTGACCAGATAATAGGTCGGATCGAGCTAAAAGTTGGTGTGTATTCATTGCTCATTAGGACCTACAAGCACAGCAATTTTTATCAAAATCGGAAGACATGAGGTAAAAAAGTGCGTTGGTCTGACATGGAATGACCCTTTTTAGGACATATTATTACTTTCCGATTTGTGATGGCCAGATATGGGAATCTTTCCTCCACAAAATTAAACCTGTTGATATTCAAGAAGGTGTCAACTGTTCTGTGTCAAGAAATCAGAATGTCACGTTTGAGTGTCATGATTTTGTCAGTTGTTTTGGAGAGTCTTTTAATATTACCTAATTTAATACTTTAGGCAGCGGATATTTAGCCGGAGATGACAAACCTTTAGTAAATGTTAGCTTGCCGGATATGCACTGAACATGCATGCGCAGTTACCAGGTTACTGTGTTTTTTGTACTAAGACATTTTCCGGTGACAAATTTTAGTCTGGTTCCATGCCAACATTAATATTATCGTTGTATTTTCGTATTCATAAGATGGGAATCAGACCATTTTACAATTTCGGACTTTATTTTCCTTTTAAAAAACGCAGTGGCTATTGTTACGGCAGCGGTAACGCATTTCCCATTTTCTATCGTTACGGTAGACTGCAACTTTTATAAAAACATGACAAGAAAATACAACATTAGAAGGAAACTAGAGGTTGTAGAAACAACAACACGGTGTTGGGCCATGGATTACCGCAAACTTTGCATGACGAAACCAGCCCTCTTAAGAAAGTGGCTAGTTTCACACTGTTGAAAGCCCCTGGGGAGCCCGCAAGTAAACCAAACTCCCCTCCCTGCTCCACAGTCCCAGCTAGATAATGACTTGTGGTTAAATGAAATACCACCTGTTAGCCACACTGATTTCTGGAACTATACTTTCTGGCGAATTGCGGTTTTATGCAAGCATAACAGTAAAAGATCGTTCTCAGCCATTTATGCACGGATTTTCAAATTTCAACATATAACAGGGGTGTGAAACCTCAGCTTTAAAGCTGATTTCAGCTTGATTTGATTTGGATTTCAGCTTTTTTTCCCTCACTTGCTGTGTACAAAAGTATAGGAGATTTCCAAAGTTCAGCTTTTTTTTCACCTTTTTCAGCTGTTTTCAGCTATTTTTATCAGTGGTCACTCACACCCCTGATATAAAACAAGTTAACATTTCAGGTACGTCATTATGATAATACTTTTGTTGGCCGACAGATTAAATTTAGCAACCAAATATTATGCTTGAAATCTCCCAGGCAGAGTGACCTTCGCTCCTTTTAGGAACCAATTATAGAACGAGTGATAATGCATTTTTGACGTTTTTTAACCTGCCGCTAGAGGGCACTCTGACATTTTATGACGTCACCTGTAATATATTGCTATAGTACAGCCTAGACAGACACTCACATCATTGAAAGCAAGTTCGCATCTTCTGCCAATTTCAAATAATAAGGCACTTCCGGTTTCAACCGGAAGGAAGGGTCACGTGATTTTGCACTTAATACCAAAACTGAAGATCCTGCAATATTGTATCGATTGCCATAAAAAACAAAATCAAATCTGTAGCAGTTGATTTTATATTGATTTTCAAAGATTAAATCTAGAAATCTTTGATTGCTTGTAATACGATACTGGATGACGTCATTATGACGTCATCACCAGAAAGTTCAAGAGCTATTTTAACTGTGCTATATACAGCCAAATCTCGATTATATCTATCACGGTATATTTTCTAGCAATTTTTGAAGGTTTAAAGGTCTTTTTATTGTAGCTTCCGGTCTGATGACGTAATCATTTTTTTTTCGCGCACAGGTGCTGTCTGCATTAAGGTCATCATGTACATTAATTTTGAAGCGATTACCGCAAACTTCGCCACAGACATCAAGTGAAAATGCGTTTTTGACGTTTTTTAACCTGCCGCTAGAGGGCGCTCCAACACTTCATGGCGTCACCCATTATTTTTTTTGAAAGGTCAATCCAGGCAGACACTTCAATCGTTAAAAGCAAGTTCATATCTTTTTCCACTTTACAATTATTAGGCACTTCCGGTTTCGACCGGAAGGAAGGGTCACGTGATTTTGCGCGCAGAAGATAAAATGAAGAGCATGTATTACCATGTCGATTCCCGCAAATTTCAGGTTACGGTCTCTCACGGTTAATTTTATATGGAATTTCAAAGATTAAATTTATTAAACTTTGAAGTGACGTCACGTGACCCGTGATGACGTCATGATTACGTAATTGCAAAAAAACACATCTGCGGTAGGTTGTGCATTCATGTATTGACAATTGAAGTTCATATATGTTTTCATTTTGACACACAGTTCTGGAGAAGGAATATGTATAGAAGAAAAAAAAAATTCTAAAAACCCTAGCAAAAACAATCTGACAATAGGTGTTGGGCTAAAGTCCAACACCTAAAAAGTGAATTTGAACGTTATGAAATTCGGACTTTATTTCCCTTTTAAAAAAATCCTCCAAAGCCTCAGGTTAGAAAAGAAAAACTGTGCAAAACTGAGATTCGAACTCGCAACCTCGCGGTGCAAATTCCTACCCTCTATCGACTGAGCTGTCGCACTGCTCGCTAAAACATGGGGAAACACATAATTATATACCTGCGTGCGTATCAAAAACGTATCGTAGAGGGCGCTAAACAACGACTGCCGTAACGATAGCCACTTCGTTAAAAAAAAAATCCTCCAGAACCACAAATCTGAAAAAGAAAATGTAAATACTCTAAAATAAAAAAATTTGGGGATGGGGGAAAAAAACCTTAAAAAGCTTAGGCAGGAACGAACCCGGAATCTTCACACTCATGAGATCCGTCGCTTATCCACTAGGCTAGGCCATGCTACACAACCGTTCATGGGATTATCATATAATTCAGCCCTATCTTAGCGAGTACAGCACCCTCTGTTGATAGGGATTGCCGCCGGCAAACCTTAAATAAACGTTAGCTTGCCGGGATTACCGCCGGCAATATATCCACTATCTTTAATAAACACGAAAAGTTAAAGGGAAACGAAGTGGCTATCGTTACGGCACTCGTTGTTTAGCGCCCTCTACGATATTTTTTTGATACGCACGCAGGTATATAATTATTTGTTTCCACACATTTTATCGAGCAGTGCGCCAGCTCAGCCGAGTAAGGGTAGGATTTTGTACCGCGAGGTTGCATGTTCGAATCTCAGTTTTGCACTCGAATTTTTTCCCTTTTCTAACCTGAGGCTTTGGAGGATTTTTTTTTAAAGGGAAATAAAGTCCGAATTTCATAAAGTTCAAATTCACTTTTTTCCTTCTAATTTTATATTTTCTTGTCATGTTTTTTTTATAAAAGTTGCCAGGTTGCAGTCTACCGTAACGATAGAAAATGGGAAATGCGTTACGGCTGCCGTAACAATAGCCACTGCGTAAAGGGAAAAAACGACTCTCACTCTCAGTCTCAATTGAGATTTAAAGGGAAAAGCAAGTAAGCCCATACATACTGGAGAGGTTGTTCCTTCACTATACGACATGATTACGAGTACTGAATGGCAAGAAAAAAAACTCGAGTTTGAGAGATTCAATCGGTGAAGTAATAACGGATCCGCTTTTTCCCAAACGAATGGATGGTCGATGCATGATGCAGCTAGCGGCCGGCTTTAGAGCGCCCTCTGGATATAGAGAGGGGAAAATGCAATCAACAAAGGGGGTAGCAGACCAGTAAATGAACTTCGATAGACCCCAATGGTAAATGCTCCCACTTCAAAAATTCGGGAAAAATACTCACAACTCTTTAAGGTGTTCGAGACACACATCAAATTAAAGCTTATTTCATCATCTTTCATTTTCTTTTCAATTTCCGGGGAGTCAACTAATGACTTTTAGGAAAAATTTCCATCTGAAGATGATCACCCCTGAAAATCACCATCGCCATTTTGAAAAACGATGCCTACATGTACACTCCATTGCAAAATAGAGTACTTTTAGGGTCCAAATTGGCATCCGAATTACACAGACCTGCAAGCTCCCAGTCCTGTGCACGGCTTCCACCCATATTTTTTACAAACCCTCAAGTTCATGGCCCACAGCATGCTGAAGATTTTGAGGGCATGCAAATCGTGATTTGGCCGGCGTAGGCAATTTCGGACCGATTTACTGGTGTGCACCCATAGATTACAGAATGGTGTACCGTATTTTGAACAGGCAAACATTATACCAGTATACCGTTTTGGGTGTCACGGGGGGGGGGGGTTCGACTTATTTTTTGGGAATGTGTTTTGAAAAAAAAAATTCTTGACAGAGCTGGGGGGGGGGGGGGGGTTGACACAATAATACCGTATTTAATGATTACAAAATATTGAAAGAACAATAAACGACTATTCACCGGTCACTAATAAACAAGATACATATAACTTTTTATAAATATAGTGTGCACGAATAAACGTGGAACATAAAAATACAAAATCCATAATAGGCGTTTAGGGCCATGAATTATTATTATTTGTTAAAAATATATATATTACAAGGTGAAGTATATATTTTATTGATAGCTAAAATTTACTTGGCCGAGTTGTATGATGCACACACACAAAACTCAAATGAAATCAACCTCGTCTCCAGGGGTTACCGTACTTTATTTTCAAACTCGTTTATAATAGAAACCCCTGGATTTGAGACTTACTTCAAGTGTAAACTAATTCGATACAGCAATAGTAAGTTGAAGTAGTGGATTTATATCGGGTACTTGGTGTTATTATTTCCGAACATGTACAGGGTGAGTATAAAAAAAAAACGCCATTCAAATGTCGGAGCCATTGTTTAAGTGCAGTTCTGCATGCAGCGCTTTCAAGGATATAAAAAATGATATAAAAAAGCCCAATTCATAAGCTATCTTTTAGTACAAGAACATTCAAATCACTCATGTACTTTTCAAACTACGGAATTTTATAAACACAACCACCGTTTTAAAAAGTTCTGTCCACGGATCACAGAAAAGGTGTGCGTTCTTTAAGCAAAACAATTCACACACATCCCTATGTGATTTGTTTTCGTTTTGCTGAAAGAACACTTACCTTCTTGTGATCCGTGGACAGAACTTCAAAACGGTGGTTGTGTTTAAAATTCCGTTACTTGAAAAGTACATTGAATGATTCTTGTACTAAAAGAAAGCTTATGAATTGGGCTTTCATATCCTAGATTTTGAAAGTGCTACATGCAGAACTTCACTAAAACAATGGTCCCGACATTTGGGTTTCGCTTTTTTTGACTCACCCTATATAACTAACGTTCGTTGTGAATTTAACGTCAACTCCACCTCAAATACAATGCCCCCTTTTCCATTTGCTTATAATATTATATAATGTGACACTGCATATTGGCTTGATAAGATTGTAACACTTTAACTTTAAAAAACAGTTTTCAGAACCCACGCCGCGACGAATTGATTCTGTTTTTACCCAAGACACCACATTCAAAAACAAACGCTGTTTTAAAGCATAGCCTAGACACCAGAATAATTTGCATATGTGTGCAAGATTTTTGAACATGCAAATGATCCAATACCAGGGTATCGAGAGAGCAGGTAGTGGTGGGGGCACACTGCTCGACACCATGGGAACGAAGTTGCAATAATACAGATTTAATTACTGCAACTGCATACTTTTCACATCCTCCATACTGACATTTGTATCCTTGTGGAGACATTTCTTTGTTCTCGTGTACTAACATTTTTGAGTTTGAAAGTACAGTTTCAAAATGCTCCTATTTTTACCAGAATAAATGCCCTTGGCTAAAATTCGGACATAATATCCCTTTTCTAAAACTCTACCATTTGCGACAAATCAACATACCTTGAAAATTGCTGGTTTTTGAGTAAAATCCATAATCTATTTCGTGTCTATAGAAATTGCCATGTGGATATGTATACAATCTTTTGTTCCCTCATATTGTGTGCATGTCTCCAGAGGGCACGGTGTATCAGATAACTGTGACAGATGGCTTAATTGTTGGACCATCTAGTTTCCTCTACACGCAAGTGCACTGACGCGCAAAGTAAGAACAATTGCCGAGTCACGTTAATTATTTTATGCGAAGTCATCGCACTGGTCGAAATTATTAGTTTGCAATGCGTTTCCAGAGGTTTTCTTATTGTTATTAACCTGTTTTCCCGATATATTGTTTTGTCCCAAATTTCGCAACCTTTCCAACACATTCAACAATGTCCCCTGAAATTCATTTCTGAACTGCCGAAATGTTCTTGTTTATTCGATTTAACAATCATGTTTCATACACTTGTATACACACCGGTGAACTAATGCTCAAATTAACGGAACTCTTCTCTGCATGCTAGTCGGAAGGGGGAAAAAACTCTTCAAAAAAGTGCATCAGCTCACAGAGCCTCCCGTCCTCGTAATTGTTTGCATCCCACGAAATGTAAAGAAATGAGGAACGGCCCTGATGGTGCTGATAGCGAGTCCCACTTTGCTTCTTATCTCCTTTATAAACTCTGATTCACGGCAGCAACTCTCTTGGAATATTCTTGGAATTATCCTACAACAAATTAATATCGACGATTTATTCCCTTGCTATTTTTTCAGCCATAAAATCACTTCTCAAAGAATTAAAGTCTGTGATTAATAAGAATTCATGGTGGCGACCATGCCATTCTCCTTCCCATTTTATTTTTGGATGTAGTAGCGGCATGTATGATTACGCCCCTTCCCAATAAACACAACGGAATTCAGCCGGACCACAATTTCCACGCTCTCTCGCAGAACTCGCTCAGCTAACACTGACTATACACGACCATAATAGAGTCTGCTTGAGCATAGCGCGAAGACTTTAAAGAAGCCAAAAAAATCATAAAACTAAATCAGCCAAAGAATGGTCTATCGATCCCGGCAAAGTAGCAAAATACAATGCCCCCTTTTCCATTTGCTTATAATATTATATAATGTGACAGTGCATATTGGCTTGATAAGATTGTAACACTTTAACTTTAAAAAACAGTTTTCGGAACTCACGCCGCGACGAATTGATTCTGTTTTTACCCAAGACACCACATACAAAAACAAACGCTGTTTTAAAGCATAGCCAGACACCAGAATATTCCTAATTTGCATATGTGTGCAAGATTTTTGAACATGCAAATGATCCAATACCAGGGTATCGAGAGAGCAGGTAGTGGTGGGGGCAAACTGCTCGACACCATGGGAACGAGGTTGCAATAATACAGATTTAATTACTGCAACTGCATACTTTTCACATCCTCCGTACTGACATTTGTATCCTTGTGGAGACATTTCTTTGTTCTCGTGTACTAACATTTTTGAGTTTGAAAGTACAGTTTCAAAATGCTCCTATTTTTACCAGAATAAATGTCCTTGGCTAAAATTCGGACATAATATCCCTTTTCTAAAACTCTACCATTTGCGACAAATCAACATACCTTGAAAATTGCTGGTTTTTGAGTAAAATCCATAATCTATTTCGTGTCTATAGAAATTGCCATGTGGATATGTATACAATCTTTTGTTCCCTCATATTGTGTGCATGTCTCCAGAGGGCACGGTGTATCAGATAACTGTGACAGATGGCTTGTTGGACCATCTAGTTTCCTCTACACGCAAGTGCACTGACGCGCAAAGTAAGAAAAATTGCCGAGTAACGTTAATTATTTTACGCAAAGTCATCGCACCGGTCGCGATTATTAGTTTGCAATGCGTTTCCAGAGGTTTTCTTATTGTTATTAACCTGTTTTCCCGATATATTGTTTTGTCCCAAATTTCGCAACCTTTCCTACTCATTCAACAATGTCCCCTGAAATTCATTTCTGAACTGCCGAAATGTTCTTGTTTATTCGATTTAACAATCATGTTTCATACACTTTTGAATGCTCCAACAGAACACAATGGAGACTAAACTCTACTTCCTCAACCTCTTACATTAAACACATGATCATACCTTACAAACAAAATAAATAAGCAAAAGGACAAGATCCTCTCCTTTTTTTGTACAGTAATTAATTTGATTTCATAAACCAGATAATATTGTTTCGTTTTCTATCGCACGAAATTAATTTTTTTTTTAAAGCCAAAATCCTCATTCCTCACCCAATTCAAAATATGAGGTTATATAAATTCCAAGTTCTTGACTGTACACCTGTAAATTGGCTCGCTTAAGAATTAATGGCAAATCGGTTCTAAAATGGACTTGAGTTTTCATGGCTTCGCTGAGGTTTTTTCCAAGCTATTCCCTTGGCTCTGCTACGACACGATAGTCCTCCGGAAAGACTTCAAGAAACTTGGCTTCCAACTTGGGTTTCGGGTCGCTCTCCGAGAGCTTGAACTTGAAGTTCTGCAAGAGTGTGATGTAGAACAGGAAGAACTCCTTCATGGCCAACTGTTCCCCGATACAGCGTCTTCGTCCTGTTAATAGGACATAACAGAAATGAAGATTACTAAAAACAACGTTACGCCATTCGCTCTTTTCACGCTCCGCCATAGGCATGCAGAGCCTCGATCTGTCAATTTTACACAATAAAATTCAGTGATCTGAAACCCCCGACATGGAAATCACTGAACCGGCTATAGTCATTGTGTAAAACTGCCAGATCGAGGCTGTGCATGCCTATGGCGGAAGCGTGAAAAGAGCGAATTCAAGAATACGTATGGACCTAAATGCATCTCACATAATGCAGTTGTAACGTTTATCATTTTAACTACACCGATGTTAACAATGGCTGGGACGTAAAGCGTTGAGATGAAGTGGGTTAGTGAATGTAGATTGAAGTTTATTTTACTTAAAATCTTTACCATTTTGTTGAATACCTCTAGCATCCCTCAATAAAAAGACGCTGATTAAAGGAGAGCACAACTATAAAAGGGCTCACAATGCTAAACCGTATCCAAGCAACCACAGGTTGAAACTCCGCTTGAATCTATTTTTTTTTCACACACTAAATTAATTTATTCTAGTCCACCTAGTTACCCTTCTGTTTTATTTGATGATTTGTATAAAAGTCAAGAACCATGCCTTTGAAAAACACTCAGTCCTAAGTGTAAAGAGAAAGTACTTGAAAACAACTAAAAAAGTACCAACCTATTGAGAAGGGTATGAGGTATTCTGGTTTGCTGATGCGGCCTTGCTCGTCGATAAACCTCTCGGGTCTGAAGTCTTCTGGATCACCCCAGAGCTCCGGATCAAAGTGGACCGAATAGATGTTAGGAATGACCGAGGTATCTTTGGGAATCTTGTAGCCTAGGACATCAACATCAGCTGCCGTAAAGTGAGCTATCCAGAGCCAGAAATTGGTATCCATGCGAAGGGTTTCCAGGATAACAGCCTCCGTGTACGGCATCTTCTCTTTGTCATTCTGCGAAGGCGGCCGGTCCCCGATGACGTCTTGGATCTCCTGGAAGACGCGCTGCTGCACCTCGGCATGAAAAGCAGTGGCCAGAATCAAGAAGAGGAATAGACCCGTTGTCGTGTCTCCTTGGTCCAAAATAAAGAAGACAAGCATCCACTGAAGGTTCTCCTCTTTGAAGCCTCTGGAAAGATCACTGTTGGGGTCACCTTTAGCCATCTCAATCAGGCACTCGTCCAGCATGTCACGAGGGTTGTCTGGATCTAGAGTGACCCTGTGCCTGTCGATGTGATTCTTAATGAATCCTAACAAGTCCTCCGTATTCCTCTTGCCCTGCTTCAATCGAGAGCCCAGACCGAACCTGTGTAGGAATGGGAGGAGCGGCTCCACGTCATACATGTTAAAGATCGGCGTGAACCAGTTCCTGATAATATTCAGTATCTTGGAAAACTCTCTATCGTCTTCCTCGTAGGTGGCGCTGAAGATCATGGAGAAGGTCACGTTCAGGAAACAGAGGCTAACTGGATTGCCAAGAAAACACGGCTGACCGTTTCTCTTCTTGATGAGCTCGACTAGGTGGTTAGCCTCTCGATGAATGAGGGGTTGTGCTGCAGAAGTACCGTAACCAAAATGGCGGACGGTCCTCATCATGTACTTCTTCTCCCGTTTCCAAGAGTTGGTGTAAGACTCGAAGAAAATACCTAATACACGAAGAGAGAGATTCGTTTTACGACATGGTTTTTTGTATTGAACATTCTGCATAAATTAATACAACTTTGTAGGACTATTTCGGACTATTGAACATTCTGACTATAAATTCGGACTATCGAACCTTCGGACAAAATAAGGAGCATTCGGATTATGGAACCTTCGGACATTAATGAACCGTCGGATTTTCGAACCTTCGGACTATCACATCAAAAGTTCAGATAAATGTACCTTATCTCATTTTCGGACTAATGTAAACCCATGTACGGTCATCCCAGCAGATGGGATTTCTGGGGCGCTTGCATTGTTGTCCTTTTATCCCTTTTCCTTAGAATTTCATTTCTGGGATACCGTTTTTCTAAGGGTGAGTAGTTGGGTAGCATTGTTCCCTAAATTTCTCTTTGTATGAGTACCTCAAAAGTAGCAGGGGTAAGTACGGGAAATTGTGAGTTCGGACTATCGAACCTTTGGATTAATAAACCTCAGGGCTATCGAACCATCGGACTATCGAGAATACACGTTGATTTCAGAACAGATAGGCAAGACGAGAGTGTAAAAAAAGGCCTGTAGTTTAATTTCACCTTGTATGGTTTGAAATCAGCACTCACCAACACTTTTGCGGTTCTTGTTGATATATTTGAACGGCCAATCAGGAGGGCGGTTAGATATGAGCTCAGACTGCCTGATGAGACCGTCCTTTATTGCCTTATAGCTGTTCAGGATCAGGACTTTCCTGGAAGGAGTTCAAACAGCTAGGTGTTCAACCAACTGATTTTAACAAGAGGTGTTAAAGGTTAAAATGACTTACAGGTAAACTGGAAAGGTAAAACGTGCAAGAAAAAAGTATAACACATGTTAACTTGAACTAAATAACCCTTTTAACCTGAGCTCTATAACAACAAGTACCAAGTGGTACAACCCACGGCGGCCGGGTAACGTGTGAAGACGGCTTACGGCACCGTCCGTGCACCCGGGCCGTACGGTACTATGGAGTACAAAAAACGAAAACGAATGGGGCGTGACCTAATATGCAAAAATATGCAAATAAGACGCACGCGCATCAGTGTTTGCAAAACCGGTCTTCGAATGAAAAGCTGCAATACTCGAGATGCATGAATACAATATATTGCCAGGCAAGTGTGTATTTGCCTGCAATCGGGGACCCCCTATTGTCCCACTTTTGTTTCCTCTAACTTTTTAGGAAGACCTCCCATATGTTTTGTACACGATCAAAAATTAGGGACCTTCGGGAAATTGGGGACCCTATTGTCCTCAATTATTGTTCAACGTCCCCTTTTATATTGAATGCAGAAAAAAACTCAAGTAAAGTGTCCACCAACCAACCCACACAAGTGTGTAACTGCCTGCAATAAGGGACCCCCCCCCCTTTTGTCCCTCTTTTGTTTATACTTCAACTTTTTAGGAAGACCTCCTATATGTTTTGTACACATCGCCAAATTAGGAACCTTCGTGAATTGGGGACCCTATTGTCCTCTATTGTTCAACGTCCACTATTGAATGCAGAAACAAACTCACCCACCCACCAACCGAAAAAAGAGACTTAATCACGGGCGTCGCATCAGGGGGAGGAGGGTGTAATCAAGCTACCAGGATTTGGCTCTTTGGGTGTGGCCGTTTCTTCCACACCTTGTACTTCACGTGTTCGTGCTCAAGGCTTGGACAGTTCAGCTCTCCATTGAAGACACAGTGCCGGCCGTGTGTCACGCCACCCCTCCATGGCTTAACCGGCCTCCTGTTTTCTCTTCAATTCACCGAGATTTCATTCAGTCATCATTTACGTAAAGAATCGGCCGAACGTATAATAGAATAATCTGATATTTCAGCATCAAAAACAGTTGACTGAATATGGGATTCGTCAAAGATGGTGTAATGTATGGTATAGTTTGTATAAAATTAGAGTCAACACTCCAAAACGACTCTTTCAATATAAAGCACGTACATTTTTCGTATCTCTAACATCATTATTTGTCATTATTAACTCATTATTAATTTTTTTGCGGTAGAAAATGCGATTTTCTTACATTGTTTTTTTTTGAGGGTTCACATTTGAATCAGAAAACCCCTGAACTAAAAAGTGTATAACGATTTCAATGATGTCACGGCAATTGGTTAGAGAAGCATGGAACGTTTCAAGTGCATCGTCGTGAAACACTAAAAAAGAAGTGTCTCAATTTTTTCTAACATTTCAGAGAAATGGACATTTGAAGAAAAACATAATGCCATTGCATCATGGGCCCTTTTGAAGATTATTGTGCAGTGTAGGCCTATATAATTATATGTGTCCGTATACGGAGCAGGACCACTAAAACTCAATTGTTTTCGTCCATTGATTCCTAATTGATTGGAGTGACCATGCATGACCACTGAGTGAGGTGGTCAGCAGGTCACCACTCACCGACCGTCAACAGAGCCCTTGCTTCATGGTCTGGCCGCCACCTGAAGGCCAGTTCACAATAGGTCAAAACGCAACCTTGATCAATACGTGACTGGTCCACACTGCGTCAATAAAACCCGAGTCTTACATTGCGGATTGGGAAACATGCTGAACAAAATCAGCTGACTTTACTTACTCCCAGCAACAACATTTTCAAGAAAAGTTCAGTAAGGTTGAGATCCCTCATATGCAGTAGTCCACAATTCAAGTTTATGATCTGAAATTCGTTCGAATCTGAATTGTTTCAAAAGTTTGATAGAAAGATTTCTGTTTTCTTGGACACTGTCACACCCAGAAGTGGATCAAGCAATTTTGATTTAACTTAGGCCTAGACTGGCACATGCCCGTGGCCCCGGGATCTACAGGGGAGATTTTGGGGTCCAAAGCCCCCTCGATATTTGGCCACAAACATCAACATCACAAACATTCAGAAAACATGGCAAATGTTTGAAACCTGCAAATGCCTGCATTTTAGGCCACGATTCCTAACTTATCTAGCTGGAGTTACCCAGCCCGAAATTTTATCATTGGGTTGTCATTTAGGGCTGGAGGAAGTTGTTAACCCAAACCAGCAGCATTGGCAGGTCCAAAAAAATTTTTTGAAGATGTCCAATTTTGTCCCAGTTACACACTAACTTCAACTGGAATTCACCCAAACCTTGCCTGGAATAACCACTATACAGGTCCTTGAAGTAAAAAACAATCCACGATGAAAATTCAGCCTACAATTGCAGTGAAAAACCGACAACCGTGCGGTCGTGATGATGCCCGCAGTTTGTTTGTGCACAAACTAAGCGCCCTCGTTTACCATGCACAACACAGCGAACCACCAGTCACCCTTGCCAACTGCACGCTGCAATGCGGCATGGCGCTGAAGCGCGCACCCGACGACTGTTTGTCAGCCAACTTCGGCTGCCGTTCTACCTATCTGCCGCGATGCAAGTGAAGCCAGCCTCGACTCCATGGGCGCGTGCGCGTTCCTTACACTAACCCCTGGCCCTGATGATGACGTAAATGATGCTGATTGGCTATTCACAGCATACTGCGCGCACATTTCGAAGATTGCACGCCCTGCGCGCCCCTAATGTGCTCGCGTGCTTTGCACGTACCGTCATGTACGAAAAAAAAAGTCACGATGCCTGTACGATATGGATTATAGCAGCCTCGTGTTTCGCTAAAAAAGCCCCTGTATCTTCGGTTGTAAAGGGCCGAAAATGGTACGTACATTTGATACAAATCTTTGCTAAATAAGGCAACGTCCAAAAGTTATGTTTGAAAAGATTGGTTCTTCAAAATCACAACTTTTAACATTTTAAAGATGGCGTTGGCACGTAAAACGGATAAACTGCAGCCTAATTATAATGTGCCATATTTTGACACATTTAAATTACACAATTCCAGGGGTTAAGATCGCGCAAGGCATGATGGGAAACAACATGGCGCAGCAAGATCGTACCCATGGGGAACAAGGTTGAAGTGAAGCCTCACAGTGCAGCAGTAGTGCATCAAACAGTCGTCGGCTGCGCGCTTCAGCGCCATGCCACGTCGCACCATGCAGATTTGGCAAGTGTGACTGGGTGGTTCGCTGTGTTGTGCATGGTATATCGACAGCGCTTTGTTTGTGCACAAACTGCGAGCATCATCATGACCGCACGGTTGTCGGTTATGCCTCCTTATATTCACTGCAATTGTAGGCTGAATTTTCATCGTGGATCATTTTTTTACTTCAAGGACCTGTATAGTGGTTATTCCAGGCAAGGTTTTGGTGAATTCCAGTTGAACTTAGTGTGTAACTGGGGCAAAATTGCACATTTTCGGAAAAAAAAAAAATTGGACCTGCCAATGCTGCTGGTTTTGGTGAACATGTCCTCCAGCCCTCTCCAGCCCTAAATGACAACCCAATGATAAAATTTAGGGCTGGGTAACTCCAGCTATAACTAGAGCTAATGTGCTTCCCGAAGCACGGATATCAGCCTAAATTGCCGTTTTATCGGTTTGTTTGAATCCTGACTCGCACTGACCACAAGCTGCGCTAAATGTGGCTGAGATCGGCAAAAGAATGTAAGAGAAAAAAACTATGAATATTTGAAACAGTAGCTAATGCCTGTAGATTAACCCATAAAAACACTCAAAAATTCAGTACAGCATTAGTGTTATTTATTGGCCTCCGTACTCTTGAATCCACGGCAGAGTACTTGGCTGAACACATTACACAGGTGGCACTACTACTGCTGTAATAGACCAAAAGTATGCAGTGTCAAGGCCGCATAGCAGTTAAGTGCAAAGTCTGTGGAGAGTGTGGCACTGTATGTCACACAACATCCACAGTATCGTGGTGGTTTGAAACCTTCCCAGAATTCCTATGTGTTTATATTGTTTTTTACATGCGTTTGAAAAATGAAAAACTTGAAATAACTCAACAACCAAATAAGTCAGGAATATGAAATTTAGGAATTAGAGATAAAAAAATACACTGAACAGGGCTGCAAAGATTTAAAATGTAAAACAGTTTTTGAATTTTGTTTCATAAAAAGACCCCTACTGACCAATAGGTGACCACTGGCCAAATTCTGTGAACAAGTTTTGTGAGGCTTGGTCTAAAGATACAACTGACCAAGTTTGACATCAATTGGGTCAAGACTGTGGGAGAAGAAGCATTTGGTAAAAATTCATTAAATGACCTCTAGTGCCCCTTTAATGACCAGTGGCCGGATTTTACGAACATGTCTAGGTAGGGCATGTGACAAGGTTTAATTTGGCCAAGTTTGTTTGAAATCAGCTGAATAGTTTAGGAGTTATGGCCATTTTATATTGGTCACGTGACCGTTTGCCCGAAGAAAGAAAGAAAGAAAGAAAGAAAGAACTAGAGCTAATGTGCTTCCCGAAGCACGGATATTAGCCTACATTGCCGTTTTATCGGTTTGTTTGAATCCTGACTCGCACTGACCAAAGCTGCGCTAAATGTGGCTGAGATCGGCAAAAGAATGTAAGAGAAAAAACTATGAATATTTGACATTAAGACCGCCGATATATTACAAAAAATAGCCATAAAGACAACTCATGAAACAGTAGTTAATGCCCGTAGATTAATCCATAAAAACACTCAAAAGTTCACCACAGCAATAGTACTCTTTAATCCACAGTGGAGTATCTGGCTGAACACATTACACAGGTGGCACTACTGCTGTAACAGACCAAAAGTATGCAGTGTCAAGGCCACATAGCGGTTAAGTGCAAAGTCTGTGGAGAGTGTGGCACTGTATGTCACACAACATCCA